AATATATATGCTCCAAATGATGAAAATGTTAGGAAAGAGTTTTTCGACCATGTATCAGCAATTATAACAACAGAATTTTCACAGGAAAATCTGATTCTAGGGGGAGATTTTAATGTTACTATGGATAATAGATTAGACAGATATTCAAAAAATGTTGAACATATTCAAAATAATGATGCATCTCGTGGGGCGCTGCTGGATTTAGTTAAATTTTATGACCTCGTTGATATATGGAGGCATCAGAACCCCACAAAAATTCAATATACCTATGAATCTTATGCAAAAGATGACATGCGAAATTCTCTTTCCAAAAGTAGGTTAGATATGTGGTTCATTAAAAGAAATATGGGTAACAGTAGCCTCTGTAAGATAGCTCCATCGGTTAAGTCTGATCACAAATGTGTATTACTAGACACTATGTCAAATGGAAATAATAAACGAGGCCCTGGCTTTTGGAAAATTAATAATAAACTGATTGAGAATGAAGAATATCAAAATATTATCAGGAAATTGGTGAAAGATGTTAAAACAAAATATAATGACCTTGATAATATCCAAATGTGGGAATTTCTAAAATACAAAGTTAAAGTTCGAACTATTGAGTTTTCTAAGCAAAAGGCCAGGGCACTTAGGGCGCAAGAGATAGAGCTAATTAAATTATTAGAGAATCTAGACAGTGAGCTGGTCAACGGAAATAATCTTAATGCAGACAACTGTAGGAAATACGATGAAGCAAAATCTAAACTAAATGACATTTATCAGTATAAAGCTGAAGGGGCAATCCAACGCTCAAGGGCTGAATGGGTTGAAAAGGGGGAGAAAAGTACTCAGTATTTTTTCAATTTGGAAAAATCTAACCATAATAAAAAACACATTACAAGACTTATTGTTGATGGAGCCATTGTTACGGATGAGACTGAAATTCTTAATCAAATAAAAGCATTTTATGAAGAACTATATTCATCGAAATCATTAAAAGATTGTGAGAAATTTAGACGTTTTGATGAAGGAATACAAATAGATAAATTAGATAATAATGAACAATTATCATGTGAGGGAACCTTAACAACTGATGAATGTTTTAGAGCCTTAAAGAGATTTAAAAATGGAAAACACCCGGAAGTGACGGTCTTAGCTCCGAATGGTACAAGCATTTTTGGGATGACATTAAAGAATCCGTAGTTAACTCATTCAATTTTGCATTTGAAAAGGGTATTCTTTCAATGAGCCAAAGGCAAGGTGTTATATCCCTTATACCGAAGGGAGAAAAAGATTCAGAATATTTAAAAAATTGGCGACCAATTGATTATAAAATTGCATCCAAATCAATAGCACAGAGAATAAATGCTGTTCTAGGTAAAATTATTGGATCGGATCAAACTGCTTTTATTGAAGGGAGGTTTATCGGAGAAAATATTCGCTATGTCGAGGATCTTTTGGAATACACCAAGAAGAGGGGTATACATGGAATCGTTTGTATGGTGGATTTTCTCAAAGCCTACGACAGTGTCGAGTGTCGAGGGTGTTTAATTTCGGAGATGACCTGATCCGATGGGTTAAGATGTTTAATAATGATATTAAAAGTTGCGTCCTTAACAACAACGTGTCGACTGGCTGGTTTAGTGTTAAACGCTCATGCAGGCAGGGGGACCCGATCAGTTGCTTGAATTTTTTACTTGTTATAGAGATGCTAGCCTTAAAAATTAGACAAGACAATGGTATACAGGGAGTTGACATTGGCGAGGCAAGTCAAAAACTAGCGATTTTTGCAGATGATACCACGTTGACTCTTAAGGACGTAACGTCATTACAAAAAGCATTGGACATCTTTGAAGATTTCAGACTAATATCAGGTTTATGTATTAATAGAGAAAAAACAGAGTGTATGTATATTGGAAGTGATCGTCATAATAATGAAATAAACCTTTTTGGTCTGAAATGGGTAAAGATACCAAGTAGACTTTTAGGGATAAAAATATCATATGACACAAATGCAAATAACACGGATAATTTTGAGAGAAAGTTAAATATGCTTGAAAAGGTTCTTATATTGTGGTCAAAGCGAGATCTTACTTTTTATGGAAAGGTACTCATAATTAAGTCCCAGGCAGTGTCGAAGCTAATATACTCGATGACAATGACCAATACGCCTGATGATATCTTGACGAAGGCTCAACGACTAGTCTATTCTTTTTTATGGGGAGGAAAGGGTGAGAAAATTAAGCGAAATACTTTAATAGGGGATTTTGAGGATGGGGGTCTAAGAATGATTAATATGTTCACAATGGAGAAAGCCTTGAAATTAATGTGGTTAAGACGTTTACTTGACACACGAACTAGTCACTGGAAGCTTATTCCTCAAGTTTATTTCAAGCGTCTTGGAGGACTGAGTTTTTTGTTGCAGTGTAATTATGATATTAAAACACTGGCACACAGTGTTCCTACCTTTTATATGAATTTGCTTCGAAACTATTCAGAATTAAGAAATAGGTCGCCGCCTAGAACCAGTTCAGGGGTTAAAGGTGAAATAATTTGGAATAACAAATCAATTCTAATTAATGATAAGGAGGTGATGTACAAACATGTCATGGAAAAGGGGGTCATTTATATTAATGACCTTCTTAACGAGAATGGGGCTTTTTTTACAGTACAATGAGTTTAAGACTAAGTATAATATTAATATCAACTTTTTTGAGTATTTTTCAATCATATCGGCTATACCAAATGATTGGAAATTTCTATTGAAATCAGATTTAAGTTCGACCTTTGAACCCAGCATACAGGAAGAACTCGTGTATTTGAAACTTGGTGAAAAACAGGTGACAATCTCTAGTATAACGGTTAAATCAATTCAAACAATATTAAATGGAAACAAGTTCTTGGAACCGTTATATAAAGACAAACATGATTGTGAATTAAAGAGAACCGATTATTTTAAAATGCCTTATATGTGTACGAAACAGAATAAAGCGCGACAACTTCAGTTTAAAATACTTCATGGTATCTGCACTACAAATGCCTTTTTAGCGCAGATAGGCATTAAAAATGACTCTAAATGTAACTATTGTGCCTTTCGAGATACGTTAAAACACAAATTCTGGGAGTGCAAAAGAATTCAAATATTTCTGGAAGCAATCAAAGGGAATTTAAAGCGTATATTTAAAGTTGATTTCGATTTTAACGCCCATGACATGGTTTTTGGAAGGCAAGCTAATAAGAAAAATATCTTACCAAATAGACTTACCCTTGCAATTAAGTACTATATTTTTATTAAAGAGTTCGACGAAGTGAATCCCAATTTGTATGAGGCGCAATTTGAAAAAAATATGTTTTATTATGTACCTGAACTTAAAAGTATGCCTGTTGCAAATGTCTGAATGAATGGAGGTGGTGTGAAAAATATCTGAACTGTTCTAATTATTGTACTTGTACTGTTTGAATAAAGAAATAATAAAAAAAAAATGTTGTAATGGGGGTCACAAGGACTTGTAGCTAGACTACGAATAAGTGAGAACTGGCCATTGTCTAATGTTGATGGATGACAAGGGGGATATATTCAAATACGTCTATGTAACATAAATAGGTAGCTATGGAAAATGCTTGGTTATCGTTTGGTTATATTAGTTGAGATATCTTATGTCAAAGACTGGTGAAACAAATATCAGACGTTAACGTATTCATTGCTTTTTGTGAGAAGCATGAAAATTAATGTGATATTCTCACAAAATGAGTCGCAAGATGAATTGACAGACTGGTTGCCATTTTGATTTTTTAATTTTTTGTTCAGAATTTTTTGGGGGAAATTGAAGCATTGATATCCTTTATTTATGTTCATATTGTAGAAAATAAACCGTGATTTATTGATATATATATTACTTTTGAATGCAAAACCTTGCGAAAATTCAAAATGGCCGTCAAAAACATCCCTCAATGGCGTGCACATGAACATCTTATATTAACAAAGAATGAAAATAAAATATAATAAACATTATAAACAGGTATATTGGCTCTATCAGTAGTCTTATAGCGTAGTATAATATAACTAAATGCATCGTGGGAGTTTTTAATAAACAGCTTTGAAAACGTTTCACACTGGACACGTTTTACACTGGACTGATACCTTGCATTTTCTGAAATTGCTAATAATCCGCTTATTTCAGGATATTTTTATTGGACTGTGATAAAACATTGTGCGCGATTCAAACATATTCTAACACTTATATGTGGCATTTATAATCATAAGATACTCAAATCGCCGTCACGACGATGACCGCTCACTTTTGCATTTTGGGGTGGTATATTATATATCGACTCCCAGATTTACACATTAGCATTATGAAACAAACCAGCCTGTGCTCAACAGAGCCATTATAGTTGATGTTGTATTGGAAATTAGACATCCATATTTTGTGAACATACATGCTGATAACTATCACGTTCAAAATTCGTGTCAACGAGGACACGTTAAGAGGGCACATTTACTCAAGAGAGTATATCGTATACTTAAAAATCTAAATTCACTTTAAAAATGCCTCTTCGTTTGTAAAAACATTTTCTCAAATGACATGGACATACAAAATAAATTTGTGAAAAGGCGCAGTGTTGGTACAAACATTTACATCCCCTTATGGTCCAGGTGACACATCCTAGTTTTGAGCATTTTAGTCGTCTTAAGAGAGATTTTAGAAAATAAAGAGATCTGTGGACGTAATATTTTTACTGTGGATTAGTGTTTATGAGATACACTTTTAATATTTATATTAACAATTGGGACAACATTGTTGCATATGTTCTTATTTTGCTGTTACATATAATTTCACATTTTTAAACGAAATGGCGTCTTGACTGTTCTGTTTCATTTGGTACACAACTATGCCCCGGGTATTAAATAAGCCCTTGGAATTGCCGGACACTTTAGTAAGTGAAAGAAAAACACAGTAAACGGATAGAAAAAGCGCAAAGCAAATTAGGAAGACCGTGAATTTGTTTATCGGTTATACCTATTAAATATTTCTCTGTGTACAGCACCCACTTAGCATCACTTATGATATGAAGATCAAATGTTGTGTTCGGTTGTGTGGAGAGAAGTTCGCAAGTTGCATTTTCAGTGTTGAAATTTACAGCGACGCACTTTGGACTCCCAGCTGCATTTCCGCACGATAATAAGCATTGAATGGCTGCTATTTCCATATCATATCTGCCAAATTCCATAACTGATCTACTGATACTAGAACGTGAAAAGTTGTAAAATTGACCATTTTTTCGGTAATGCTTATAAGAGACTCCGTAGCTGCTTATTGCTCCAATATAGTCAAGTCCTATGAAAAGCATGTTAATCGAAACAATTAAAATAATTAAAACGTTATCCATATTTTTATGTTCTTAGAAAATCGAAAATATGATACTGATCGTGTTCTTTTAATACTTGAATTGGGAATCTTCTCGTGTATTTATTGATTTGATTTCATGAAGTAAATAAAACACGAAGTAGTTGCATGTTTATGCATATTAAAACTACTTGAGTACAATAGCCCATGGCAGTATATATTAAGGGATCACTTCCAACATAATGTGTCATTTGTTTCACAAAAATGTTTAGTGCTGAGGTTTTTGACATCCAATATATGGTACCAAATATAATTACCATGCGATGCCAACAATCATTACTGGTTTTAGATCTTTTCATGATAAATTACCTTTGCGACAACATAACGATTTGTAATTTATAACTGCATGTTTATTTCAATAACAGCATGTAATCTTTTGTATTTGATGCTGTGATCAAGCTGGCATTTTATTCAAAACGAGCTGGTTGCCATCGTTGTCACTGAACATATACATGTAAACGGTCCAATGCTGCTTGACCCCCAACGATCATGAAATGATTCTCAAGCTTTCGAATGGTATAATTTTATTAACAGTCTTATGTCATTATCCTGTATTTTCACCGGAATCCTTAGTACAATCTTACGATGTTTTTCGGCTCGTCTACATATCTCTGTTGAAAAAAGCATACATCTCAAATAAATCACTGAATAAAAAATAAATTCTCGATCACACTTTCAACTTTACTCGAAACATCGATAGCTAATGATGATGACGGACCTATGATGATCTCGCCAAATTGGATATACAGGGTGACCGGAAAAAAGGAGACCATTGAAGTAATCAATTTCTCCTAAACTAGACAAGTGCCATCAATGAAATTTTGCATACACTGGAACAGTTATATGGAAATTTGTTACTGAAGGTTTCAATACAAGCATTCAACTGGTTCAGGAGCTATGATCATTTACATAACATGCTCCAAATAGGCACAATTGAGACCAACGCAGAGTTGGATTCATATGGCAAACTACCCTTACATGTTCTGCCCTCTATGGCATTATTATGGCATTACATATAGCAGTGATTGCCTTCTTTAGGTCAACAATAGTCTGAGGATTGTTTTGGTATAGATTGTCTTTCAAATATCCATACAAAAAGAAATCAGCAGGATTCAAGTCTAGGCCGTAATGGCAATGAAGGGTTATCTGACATGTGGTTCATCATCCTGTTGCCAAAGTGCTGATTTACCAAATCTTAAGAGTCACTTTAGGTATTGGGCATAGTGCCATGTTACTAAAACCACTATATGGCACAATTAAATCCCATATGAAAACCAAGGGCTGCCCAAAACCTCCTTAGGATGATACTGTAACTGAGTGGGACCACTGAGTCAGAAGCCATAGGTCAGATAAGCTTCGTCTCCATACACCTCAAATTTGAATCCACCTGATTTCTTTTTGTGGGGCAATTTGAAAGACAATGTGTACCAAAACAATCCTGAGACAATTGCTGACCTAAAGGTGGCAATAAATGCTAAATGTAATGCCATAACAAGGTCGGAATATGTAAGGGTATTTGCCAAATGTATCCAGCTCTGCGTTGGTCTCAATTGCGCCTATTTGGAGCATGTTATGTAAATGATCATAGCTCCTGAACCAGTTGACTGCTTGTATTGACACTTTCAGGAACAAATTTCCATAGAACTGTACTGATGTATGCAAAATTTCATTGATGTCACTAGTCTATTTTAGGAGATATTGCCTATTTCAATGGTCTCCTTTTTTTCCGGTCACCCTGTACTATATATTCTACTTACTTTGGCGGACGTTTTATTTTAACAAACTGTTAAAGTTTGCCAAATTAAGTCGCTGCCAATACCCTGGACTATTTCATTAATAAATGTGGATGCAAAAATTATTTCCAAAGTTATGTGCAAGCGCATTGAATCTGTATTAGGCAAATTAATTAAATCAGATCAAGCAGCATTCATAAAAGAAAGACAAATGGCTGAAATTATAAGATTAATAGATGACATGATGTTTTATACAGAAGATGAGAATATAGGGGGCGCTTTCGTAGCTGTTGACTTTCTCAAGGCCTTTGATTCTCTAAGCCACGATTTTTTAATAAAAGCTTTAGAAAAACTAAATTTCGGAGAATATGTTATTTCATGGGTTAAAATATTGTATTGTAATATAACTGCCCAAGTTATGAATTTGGGGTTCTGCGGGGAAAAATTTAAAATAGAAAAGGGAATTAAACAAGGTGATCCATTATCACCAGTACTCTTCATCATTGCAGTGGAGTTTCTAGCCCAAAATATAAGAGATGATGTATTAATAAAAGGAATTCAAATTGGTAATAAAGAAATAAAACTGAGCATATATGCAGATGATATGACGTTGTTTGTTAGGGATAAAAACTCCATACTGCAGTCAATGAAAGTACTTGATAGCTTTGAAAAATGCAGTGGCCTTAAAACAAACTTAGACAAAACTGAACTTTTTACAATAGGAAGATTTAAAGATCAAATTTGGGACATTGAACATTTGAAACAAGTTCAAGAAATTAAAATTCTTGGAGTGTATTTTAATTATGATAGAAAGCTCAAAGCAGAGAAAAATTTTAGGTCGACAATTAATCACCTTAAGCAGGTATTGAGCCTATGGCAAAGTAGAAATTTGACAATTTTAGGTAAAATACAGATCGTAAAAACTTTTGGGCTGTCAAAATTTAGCTTTATTAGTTCAGTTATTGAAACAGATGATTGTTATGTAAAGGAAATAAACGGAATTGTTTTTAAATTTATTTGGAACGGAAATGACAAGATTAAAAGAAAAGCACTTATTTCAACAATTAAAAAAGGTGGACTCAACATGAGCGACCTCAAAACCAAAATTCAAACCTCTCAATTAAGATGGGCCCAAAAGCTTTTAAAGGATACTAAAAAGGAATCACAATGGACAATTATTCCAAATCATTATCTCCATAAATATGGCGGGCTTCTACTTTTACTAAACTGCAATTTTGACATAAATAAACTAAATGCAATTAGCCCAAGATTTTATCATAATATTTTAAAGGCATATAAGCTTTTAAGGAGACCAAAGAAAAATACATTGGATGAAATAATTTGGAATAATGAGAACATTGTCATCAGAAATAAATCAATATTTTGGAAGGAATTTTATGATAAAGGTTTTCTAAGAATCAAAGATGTTATGCTTAATGGAATGGTTAAATCATGGAATCAGGTCAAAATGCAAACTGGACTCTCACACAATTATATGCTAAAATGGTTTGGCCTCATTCAGGCAATACCATCAGATTGGTTAAGAGTACCGAATGGAAATATGAATGACCAGGTATCTCTAGAAAATATAATGGTAATAAAAAACGATACAGAAGTCAACTTTTTAGAATGTACATCTAGAGAATTTTATAAAATATTGCTGGAAGCTATTGCAGAATATCCAACAGCAAAACACACTTTATCAGATAAATATCATATTAAAGAAGAAGATTGGTCATTTTACTATGAACACTTTCATAAAACCCTGACATATTCAAAACATAAGGCATTTCAATATAAGCTCATAAACAATATTTTGTATACAAACAGTGAACTATTTCAATACAAAATAACACCTTCACCAATGTGTGAGTTTTGCCATGTGAACATAGAAACTTGTGACCACATCTTCTTTAATTGTGATTATACGAAACAGTTTTGGAAATCAATAATAGATAATACATTAAAAGATCTCGAAAATTTTTCTCTGCTTACAGTAGTATTTGGTAGCCCAAAATGGAGTGATTTTGAAAATATGGTAATTATTATAGGAAAGTACTACTTATATAATAAGAAAATGCAACAAGAGCCTCCAAATTATTACAACTTTAAGGCATATTTAGATTATTGTTTAAAAATGAAAATGGATTTTAACAGTATAATGGTATGAGTGGAGAATGTGAATGAATGGGTAATGGAGTGACTTGTATAATATTTCACCTATATGTATACATTTTATGTTTGATGAATAAAAAAAAAAAAAAAAAAAAAAAAAAAAAAATACCCTGGACTATTTGATATTGCTCTAAAACGTAAAATGACAATCAGACAGGTACAATACTGACCGAAAGCGTAACAGGTTTTCTGGGTCAACTGTTTTGATCAGCTGATGCAAATATATCAATGTTTGAATGGCACTTTAAATGCTCGTTTGGAGACAAACCTATTCTCTGTGAATCCATCTCAGTTTTAAATGAATGTTTGTGTCGTTTTCGGAGTGTCTTAACTGCCTTCTATGATAAACTGAATAAACACAGTTCTATTGTCTCATTTTTTCATATCATAACCATTAACTTTCTGGGGGGAGTTTTATTCATTATGAAGTGCTTTGAGATGATGCCGTTTTGTCTGCTTCATGTATTTTCCATTTTGGCAAATGCTTTTGCACCTTTCATCCGTGTTTGCTGTTATTAATGCCAAGTAATAGCATATTCATTATTATTACGTCATCATATCTGTAGGTGCATACAGTTCTCTGTAATTAATACCACTACAATGGTCACCTGTATTGCCACACCATCCACCATCACTGCAGCAGTGGTGTATCGTAGGGCCCCAGCCAGGTATAGAGGAATTAATGGGACATTCAAGATTATTGAACAGAGGTCCACATCTACCATCAATCGTCACCTTTGAAGGGTGTTGAGCTGAAAATAAATATATCACCATATTCACCTCTATCACGTATACGAGGGGTGATCGAAATGTAAGAGCGTTTTGTCCAAGACTTTTGGATCACCCCTCGTATTGTTCATAAATTTATCAATTAAAAGCAAAGGGGAGAAGGTTGAATATATATCTAGAGTAGGAAAAGAAAATATAGTAGTCCGGACAGAATTGTCCAATGGTCACTTTTTCTTTAATAACTCTTTTAATTTTCAGTATTATCAAAATCTGATTACATACTTCAAAACTAGAGTAAAATTCGGACATACAAAAAACATTTAAGGATCATCTCTTAATTTGTTGATAATATAGGCATTCATAGTATGAGTGACGCAAATACATAATTCACCATTTTGCCTCATATTTGTCCAAAATATTTCAAAAAATTGTTCAAAATAGCAGCATAGTTCGTGAATTTGAATGTTCAGTTGAGAGTTAATAATTAAAGATTGTCATAGGCCTATAAGGTCATGCTGCCACCTTTACAATCTTATGTCACCAACTGACTAATCATCAAAATAGATGTTTTTGTTGTGTTCTGTATTACAATATTTGATCCGTTGCCTTTGGTACTTGTGCATACATAGTTGTCGTAAAGTTCCCTATGCTAAAATAAGCGTTTATAGTAGCTTTGGGTATTCAGTGCTCGAGACCGCGCGGCCAATTCAACAACCCTAAAAGGTGGTTTATCAGCCAATCCGACTAAGGGAAACTAAATCCTAGTTGTAATTATTGACTAGTGCGTAATTATGCTTAAGAACATATTTTATAGTGAACAAGCCATTATTTTATAGCAAACTATTGTTATAAAATGGTTTATATATCTAAAAGGATATCAAGTTGTTAGAATATTGTATTAATTGTATGCAATATTACTGCTGAATGAAAAAATAAAGTTGAAATACTCATTTCTAATTGGTTATAATAGATAATGTTTAGTATTTACCTCTTCGTTAAGAGGAGGGAAAGCCCCAGAGTTTAAAGATGACAGACATAATTACGTTTCTTGCTTACCGCCTTCGTTCGTTCGAATTTTCATCGGCTAGTTATCAAATACTACACTTCGATGGGATGTTTCAATTGATATAGGCATATTCCGTACACCTTTCTTTATCTTGATGTGAAATGAGAAGCTATGATATTGGTTAACACGCCAGAAATGAACATCATTATTCGAAGCGTATCTCGAAAATTTTGAAACCGCCATTGATGACCTCATTTGTTTGTCGACTCTTGACCAATCAGCGACGATGTCATCCCAATACAGATTTATATTATAAGCGTATGTAATCTTTGAACCCTGGTGTTTTTCCCCTCTGCTCTTCGTTGGTGAGTTTTGTGTTGACCTTCTTTTCCATTTTGTCGAATGTGGTTACATATATTCAACTTATTTTACTGTTGTTACTGTCAAGTTAAACCATGGCATTATGTTGTCATACCTGTAGGTGCGTACAGCCTTCTGTAATTGATACCACTGCAATGCGCCTCGGTGTTGCCACACCATCCACCTCTACTACAACAATGATGTACTGTAGGGCCCCAGCCAGGTATTGTTGAATTAATGGGACATTCAAGGTTGTTAAACGCTGGTCCACATCTACCATCAGTAGTCACAATCGAAGCATTTTGAACTTCAAATACAGTAAAAAAAAACACATATATGCAGATTAAACTGGTGATCATACACTAGTCCCACCAAAGTAAACGATCATGATTTAAGGTGCCATGGAAGTTAACAGGAAATGACAAAACAAAAAAAACTTGCTGGATTTTGAAATTTTTTTGAACCAAGATAACAGAGTTCTGTTTGGACCTCCAGTCAGTTTAACTAGTCCCACTTATCATTTACATGACCGGGATCACAATGGAAATGGTCAGAATGACCATAAACATGATGTTATTAGCATTTCCGAACCAAAATGGTCATTTTATATTATTTTTAATTAGGTGTTGTTTTTTCTTTAGAACTGAAAAATAGCTAAGAGTAGGTGCACAGGAAAGGTCACCGAACAGAATCTTTTGACTTTTTCAGAAAATGTGCCCAATATATTGCTCTAAATGATACAATTTAAAAAAAATTGATATCTTTCTTAGAAAAAGAAAAAAATGAAAAAAAAACTGAATTGAAAATCGATCTTTTTTCCTTTTTACTACAGGCATTATCATTTCAGACAATTTTTTCAAATTTCAAAGATTGTATCATTTAGAGCAATATATTGGACACATTTTCTAGAAGAATCAAAAGATTCTGTTCATTGACCTTTCCTGACTGGAGGTCCAAACAGAACTCTGTTATCTTGGTTCAAAAAAAATCAAAATCCAGCATGGTTATATATAACGACTATCATAAGACAATATTTGGTCTCATCAATTCTCTAGCGTCGCCAGGATGAAACAGACGAGGCAACGCCTTTTACAATACTTTCAGAAATATTCCTATTTTAATGTAGTTGCCATCAATTTTATTCAATTGTGCATTCAATTACATAACCATTCACCCCCACATTCACCAAACATAATTGGATATTGGAGCATCATTACAAATTCACAATTTTATCCAGAGGGTTTGCTTAAACGTTTACCTTTATACTTGTATTCTGATGTCATTGTGTTATTCGTATTTGCATTTACTGCTGTCGTTTCATCAAGTGGTTTTCCAGTGGTCAATTCTACAATGAATAATTAAACATTGGTATGCTGCTGGCCAGAAGTCTACAGTGTTTACTTTCCTTGGCAGTTATCTAAGTTAAGCACTTGCAGAGTGACGTTTGATCAAATGTCATCTAGTATTTCTACTGTCAACTTGTATCTCCTGTTCAAGTGGTTTCATATGCTGTTTTAACTCTTAAAATCTGGTGGAAACTATAACTGCTGAAACTATAACTGATCAGTTTAACTGATTCATTCATATAACGTGTCTTCTATCAAAAACTATCTTGGAGATTTGGTATTTGGACAACAATGGGCTCTCTAAACTATGCGCATATATCTTTTTGAACCTTTATTTTTTTATCTGAAAGTGGCACTGTGATAGAGCTTAAAAGACCAATCACCAGCATGCTGACAAGAAAACAGTAAGCTTATATTCGCAAATACAACTTTCGACAGACAGCTACCGGGTTAACCTACTTTTTACACATTAAACTATGAATGGAAAAGTGATATGTACTATTCATATTTAAATGAGTTGGTCATAAAATAGTATGATAATCCGTTAGCCGACAACCGGCAGTTGAATTCTGGAATATTAGTTGAATCTATATAATTCACAATCATCTAGATGTTTTGTTGAAACTGACCTTCGTACTTGGGCTCTGCTGACAATGTGTTTTCTCCATCTACCGCTGTCGTGTAACCAAGTGGTTTCCCAGTGGTTGATTCTACAATCAACAAACATTGTTATGCTGCTGACCAAAAGCATACAGTGTTCCTTTTAGTTACATGTATGTGTCTTTCCTGGTTAAGGCCATAGTGATCTAAGACACCATTTTGCAAAGTGACGTTTTATCAAATGTCATCAAGTATCTCTACTGTCAACTTGTAACTCCTGTTTCAAGTGGTTTCATATGCTTGTTTAACCCTGGTGGAAACTTTTTTTCATTTGTAAAACTATCTTGGATATTTGGTATTTGAACAGTAATGGGGTTTCTAAACTATGCCCATATATATTGGTGTACCTTTATTTATCTCAAACTAGCACTGTGAATTCGCCAAAAAATTCCAATCACCAGCACGGTGACAAGAAAACAATTAAAGTGATCTTAAATTCGCGAATGAAATTTTCGGCTGTGAGCTACCGGATAAAACCTGCCTTTTTATGACAAACTATTTTATGTATGAATGGAATAGTGGCAGGTTTTATTCATATGTAAATGAGTTGGTCATGTAAAATAATGTTAATCCGTCAGCCGACAACCGGTAGCTGAATTCGAGAATACAAGGTAAATCTATATAATTCACAATTATCTAAAGGTTTTGTTGAAACTGACCTTCGAACTGGGGTTCTGCTGTCAACGTGTTATTTGCATCCACTGCTGCCGTGTCACCAAGTAGTTTTCCAGTGGTCGATTCTAAAACAAACAATTGATCATCAGCATGTTGCGGACCATAAGACTATTGTGTACTTTTAGTAAATATGTATCTTTCCTGGCTAAGGTCACAGTGATCTAAATCAAGCATTTCCAGAGTGACGTTTGATCACGTCATCTAGTATTTCTACTATCAACTTGTATCTCCTGTTTCAACTGGTTCCAAGGGTACTAAATTAACACCCTGTAGTGTAAATCAAAAAGAATTATATATGAATAGAAATAAATATAAATTACCTTTAAAGAATCCTCCTATGGCCAGTCCACTTACTACACATACCCCAATAAGTACAGACACAAGCGCCGCTACCACTATCATAACTTTTAACTTCCTGTTACATTGCTTCGCAGGCGTTTTGGTGCCATTGAATACATCAACATAATAGCCATCTTGCGTTTTCATGAACTTCACCCCAAAAGGTACTATACCATCTCTCTCCATGTTCTCTTAATTGCCGAACTATATGTGTCCGTTATATCAGAGTTTTATATAAATGCTGTTAAGGATGAAGCAGTGCATCCTGTTTTTGGAACTTAATTGAAATGTGATATCTGTGATAGATCTTATTTTGTAAAACAAGTTGAGTAATTTGATGCCATATGTCAAAAGCATCACATAATTTATTTCAAAATTAATCAAGTTAGGATAGTTTTTTAAGATATATTAATTCTGGAAGGCTGGTAACAGAAACGTTTTCAACCCTATCGAAAATAAGATCACCTTCTTTTTTGTTGTAAATGACACATTTAGATAAGGTCCCTAGGGATACTACTTACGCACCATATAATACTTGTTTTACTGTATGTTGACGACATTATTTTAACTTTCTTGGCCTGAGCAACAACGACTTGACATGTTAGAAGTAACAAGCTTACCCCCCTATCACAACAAACTAGTTCTTACCCGTTCTTGCCAGTCCTACGAAAATGTGGTAAAACTGGCTCAATCTGGCTGCGGTCGGGATATATGTCTAAAATAATTAGCTACTTCGTTCATAAACAGTCTTCAATACGTCCATCTCATTCGCAGTTCGTTCAGGTCGCACCACGTCGGTGTGCAACGTAGTATAAACCGTCCCTTAGTCTAGAAGGTCATCATGACCTGATTACAGAACGGTAATTCTAAATCACATACCCAGTCCGGGTAAGTCCATGAAGTTCGTAAACAGACCGTAGAATGTTGTAGCTACGTTCATTCAGTTCGCACACAGTTTAAAACCGATTCGGCAACGTTTTGACGACCACAGAAAATTTTGAGCATGCTCTAAGTGCTGGAGGACCTACTCGTTCTAGTAGTTTCATGGAGTTTGTAAACAGATCCCAAACGGTTCTTAATGGGTTCGTAGTACGTCGAATCCGTTTGTGCACAGTTTAAGCCCGTTTTCGAGAACGTAGTGAGAACTAGTTTGGTGTGATAGTAGGGTTAATAGTTCAAGTTTGACCAAAAAAGTCCCGAATGCATAATAGAAATAAAAAAGAACATATATTGCTACAATGCACCAAACCAAGGCTTTTTTCTATTCTTTTTATTCTAATGATCATTACGTTTCAAGTATTACTTGGAGTAACTTGGAAGTTGCATTGCATTCATGTCATGTCACATTTTTCGATTTTGAGGACGTGATACATGTACGTTGTTTAGAGAACCAGTTTGGATCTAGATGACAATAATGTCACATAAAACTACCCGTGGTAGATAAATTGCATTCGCGAGAAATGATGGCGCGATCCGCTACTGTTTCTTATTACAAAAGAAGATATCACTGATGAGACGTGGCGTAAGCATGGCTATTTTTACACATTTGTCATGCTGTCACAACATAGGTCACGTGGCAAATGATAGCCTTGATGATATTCTGTCACGTAATTTGTTCTCAAATATGACACGTGTCTTCAAATATCTAAGATGGTTTTTGCAATGTTTAAAAAATCTTAACTGCGCGAATTTAACCATTTAACATATCTCAAGAAAAAGTCAATTAGCCCCACATCTCACATTACATAGAGCTAATGCTAGGACATTGTATCTGAGTGGTGGTGTTGTATGTACAGAATATGACAAGATTCTTAGGTGATGGAGTCTGAGTATATATTTAGGATTTTCGTAATAAACTTAGATTGGAGACTCGAAACGGGCAAACAGCGACCTTGCATCAAAAAATGATTTTAACTCTTTAAGTCATCTTGTAAACGAATAATTAATATATCGGATTTATTAGAGTTTATAAACAAAAACGAGAACATCAAACAGCTCCGCCCATGGTTACAGTGGAATTAACCATGTATTTCGATCTTTTCATCTATCCAGTCTAGGAAGTTCTCCACTTTTGTGTACACACCTGGTCTCTTAGCAACACCACAGCCTATACCCCAACTTGCAATTCCTGAAATTAACATATTTTTATAATTGTTTACCATTTCCATTAAAACGCTTTATTTTCTATTCCATTAACACAAAATAATATACCACTCTTGTTGTATAATGTATCATATGTTCTTGTATAGAATTGTCGCACTTTCTTTTTTTTATAGAAACGTGAACCAACTTGAAATTTCGGACAACCAACAACCAATCCAGTCCGTAAAGAAGGAGAACAGATCTCAGAAAGCCTCAGTCATAATGACTTTATAAACACCCATTATAATGACAATAAACTCTAACGGAATGGTATGTGTGTAATCCAATAAAAATTTATATTTCATGTCCACCTATATCTTAGTTTTTTGTTGTTATAATCAACATACAATAATCACATACAGTGCGACTAAGTACGTGAATTGCCTTTGAGGAGTTGTATTACCCTGTTAAAACATAAGGTGAAATGTTATGAAGGTACCTTTCAATGTCCACTGATTGAGATTATCTGCACAAAACATCGGTCCCCCACTATCACCCTGGTGTGAAGTAAACAAAATAAACATATAGACATCAAATATGTGTGAAGAATTGTATTGTCCTTTAGGATAGGGTCATATCTCACGTCTGTCGATCCTTTAGATCTACATCATTTGGGCATTCTGGTGGATAATGAGGCTATCGAAAGATGAGGGGAAATCGAAGGTCTGTTTCAAGTTTAAAAATAGCTGATTTACCATACATGCATCCTTCCCACCTTCCTCAAATCCAGCACAAAGCATATTCTCGCTGATCCTTCCAGCCAGCCAGTCTCGTCTGTTACAAATACTGGTGTCAATCAAGGGGACAATCACCTAGAATAGGCGTATACAAAATGAGATCGTGACTTTATGAGTTTGTAAGTGCAAGTACCAAAATGAGAGAGATTAAACAGTAAATAGCAACGCAGAAACATCAACGTTAAAGGGTACAATAAGTCACAAGGTGTATTGTATTGTTAAGCAAATGTAACTACCTACCATGTGTTTAGACGCCGAACACCGACCGACAAAACACCATCCACTAAAAAGTTGAACACTATAACAACATGTCACCATTTTTGGTGTGACGTAAAAAAAACATTAAAAGGATTGTATCGATATGGTGAACTAAATTCAACAAAGTTTTTCTCTTAAACCAATTATTGAAAACACTCTGTCAAAAAATGACGGTCTTTTATGTAATGTTGACTGATTGACAACAATTTAATGCGAAAATTATTTATATATGTTTTATATAAAATCCTGAAAAATCCTGAAAAATGAAAACTTGTCTCAAAACTTATCAAAGACAAAATAGGTGAAATTAGCCTTTTTGATTTATGGCAATGAAAAAAGAAAGATGTCTCGATTGATCAATTTACAGCTACAGATATAACATATAGAACCGGTAAAAATACAGTTGAAAATGGTGTCCCTCAAGGTTCAGTCATAGGTCCCCTCTTGTTTATAATATTTATAAATTACATACATTTAATATCAAATAAACTAAACTTTGTCCTATATACTGATGACACTAGTATTCTACTTACCAATAAAAATTTTGAAACCCTAGTCTCAGATATGAATGCTGAATTAAAAACGATTTCTAACTGGATGAAAGCTAATAAATTTACTCTTAATGTAGAAAAAACAAAATATTATTTAATAAAAAGAAGGATTCTAATAAAACAATATTGTTCTCAAAATTAATGAACAACCTATAGAAGAAGTTTAAGAAATCAACTTTCTAAGTGTCATAATTGATTAAAAGCTGAATTGGTCATCTCACATAAATGCTATCTGTACAAAAATTTCTAACTTGATAGGACTACCCTACAAGACTACACATAGACTAACTTTAAATACAATCACCACTATCTACTACTCCATGATTTATTCCTACTTAAAGGGGCAATAAGGCTTGTAGAGAGAAAATAGGAAAAATTTTAACTTTTTCTGAGCTATCAAGGCAACAGTTGGCTTAACATCTTCTTCGACATACCTATTTTCTTAAAATGTATGGATAAACTATTAATTTCGGCATTAAAAAGTGTAAATTCAGTTCAAAACTTCAAAAAGGGGACGTCCACTTTTATATTTTTAAGATCCACCATGTTTCAAGATGAATATAAGCTGAAAAAATGATTATCTAGGGGGTTTCTTTGTAGAAAATAAAAATAGATGTTAGTCTTGATGTAATATCCAAACTTAAATATATTTTGACACTGGTCCATGATCGTTGAAAGACCCTTCTGCACTACTTGTTGCTCCTTTAAGCTATTGAAACCTTTTTATGGGGAAATGCCATTAAAACTCTTATTCAAAAATTGTATGTTCTGCAAAAGAAATTCTTTGTGATTTAACTAGTATTTGTTAAATCTGGTTTATATCACAGAGAACGGTGTCTGTCCTACCAGCCCAATTAAAAGTCTGTTGACAGATCCAATTAGGCCGGGACAATAACTTATCTTAATGCTATACCATCTGTTCTGTAGTAGTTTGGTTTACACAGTTTTAGTTTTGCATCTTGAGGAAGTCGGACGCTTATATTATATTCTCAAAACACTTACATCTATACTGTAACAGTATTTGTTAACTATATTATTTGGATTATCTAATCACTTCGTTTTTACACACGGCTGTAATATATACCATGTAATCGCGAAATCGAGGAGTTGGGAGCCGAAATGCCTCAAAGAACATCACAAACGTACTTCGAACATATAATGAATATAAATCCTCTTCCTCGAGTTGAAAGCACTATTATTGACTAACGAACGAAGGAGCCTGATGTAAAGTAAGCTGCAATCTCGTCATTGACGCTAGGCACTCCAACTAAGAATCTTTTATCTCAGGTAATGTTATTCTCGATTGTTGCCATTTGCATTTTATTTTCCTGTTCTGCATTTCGCTTAGCGTACCACCTTGAGGATAGCTTGATATAATCTTGTCGGGAAACATGGGCTCTTCATAACATTGCAATTAGGCTCGTGTTAAATTTGATTTACAGAATATATAAATTCAACAACAGCTACGATACAAGGCTTTTCCAACGTCTGACGCACATCTAAATATTTTCTTTTTAATCCATATGAACAAGGCAATCATAACCGAACAGTAGAAGAAGATCTCTTTATTTGCACATGAGAAATATTCTTCGTCTTCTTGACAATTCCATGGCGGGGTATTACTGTCATTCCTTCTCTTTTAAGGTTTGGAAATGGGTTGTATCGTGAGGCCTCCCGGTCTCTAACCGACTTGAACTGATAAATGCATATTAACGTCCATGTTTCTATTTGTATATTCTGAGTATAAGTTTTAGCATTTGTATTTCTCTGAACGTTTACGAGAAGTCTCTGTTAAAATCTATCGGTCGAGTAATTACAATTAAATCTCGTCGGGACATCTGGTTCGTTCCAGAACTCCAATTAGGTTTTCCGCCCCTAGTTTTCCGAGAACAATTATATAAAGCTGTTTTTAAGACAACGAGACCAATCAATTAGCCTTGAAATGGTTTGCATTGTCCATACTTTAGAAACATCAGTGACATTTTAAATGAACACGGCCTTGGCGATGTTACATTCAGAAATGACCTTGAACGGTATTAGATCATTCTGATACTCATCACTTTTTCTGTCTTCAACTAGAAATATATGTTTCTAGCGTGAAGCTAATGGAAGGCCATGATTTCTCATGTTGGTATTAGATTCTATTCTGGTTACATCCTCCCAACATCACACAGTTCTTTCCTTGGTGAGGCCCCATGGAAGTTTTACTCATTACATTGGTAGAGTCATTTATTTGCATACATATTAAATTATTTATTTACTTGCATTGTTTATTATGTTTTTATAATATTTATATTCATTCCAACAGTGCAACTATTTTAAAAGTTTGTTATATTTTATGTAATAAAATCTATAAAACGTACACATGTTCTTTGGATATAAATAAGAGTTATCACTTATTCTGATCGTCTAGCTCCTTCAGGACCTCTCGTTTCAAAACTGAAAATATTGAATATATTTGACATCAATAAACTACAAACCGCAAGCTTTGTTCAGAAAACAGTTTCTGAATCTCCAGAATTTCCTTTTAAAAAAATTCAAACATTTATTCTTTCCAGGAACAGCAATTCATAATCATGACACAAGAATTAATAAGATTTTAACTGTAAAAAATCAGAACAGAAATTGGAAGAAAATCAATTGAAACAAGTGGCCCATTACTTTACAATACTCTTTCACTTGATCTCAAAAAGCCTAAGCATATCAAATCATTTGATTGAAAGTTAAAGTTTGATTTGCTGAGTCATTATTAGATCTACTTTGAATGCTTTCTTCTCATTACTTGTATTTTATTATGATGCATTTTATGCTTTGTCATTATTTGTTTCCATATAACCTGACTGTTAATTTAATAGATGATATATTGTATGTTAAACATGGAACTTGTACACCCCACGTGGTGTCTTTTCATGTCAATGTGAAATACTATATGTGAAATATTTGAAATAACGTGAATTAAATTGAAATTGAATTATAACAGTTTTTGATAACATTTTCTGTTTTTTAGTGCAATTGTTTTTTTTGTTCCTTTTTATCAATTCTTGAGAATGACATAAAATATCTTTCCGAACGTCGTTGGAACAAAATTGTATATTCAACATTTTCTTAGACCGTATGTTCAAAAAGTTCACCATATCGATACCAATCCTTTACTTCAGTTATTTCCGGAAATTGATTACCTGATGCAAAAGATCGGCGAGCTCAACTCTGAAGAATATATCCTTGGTGATGTCTCCTCTTGCTGAAAAGGCAATCACATGCAAAGGTGTACATGCATTTTGCACGTGCTCTATGGCACTCTACTATACCTAACCCATAGAAATATATAAGATACTCTGTTTCTCCAATTGTATTGGTTAGTATATTTTTGAAAGTACCTTATTAACATATAACATCATCCGATAAATCATTCATAAGGAACAGACAAATAAAAACAAATAAGACAATCATTACTGATAAGCCAAAGGGTTGCTCGTGAACACCAAATGCAAGGTATAGTAGAGTGTATGGTGTAGGGGATCTAATCGAAACTGCTAAACTTGTATAACACATAAAACAGACTTTACACATAATTTTTTGCGGTTCAATTTAAGAGATTTTTGGAGGGGGTAGCACGAGAATTATGCACCATCTCCCTTCAACGGTCCTTAGTTGTTTTATCGATATATTTTGAGAGGACAATAATATAGTATTCTCTTTGACAACTTCGTATTAATTTATTCGACAAGACAATATTTCACTGCAATAAACAGTCAGTAAATGTCTCAGCAAATAGGTTAACCGGCAAATACAAGCCCAGTGTATAAAATATGATATTTTATACACCAAGCAAACAGTGGTAGTCCATTTGTCACCCATATACATACTATAGTGAACCTATGAATTGTTAAAAACACGATGTTTTATGGTTAATTTATAATAACAAGGGTTTTCTGAAGTGATTTAACTTGGTTGGACAAAAAGTTAGTTTGGGGAAAAAAGTATATCGGCTAATTAGGGAGGGGTGCATTGGCTTAACATGGCGTTGACTATGACTTAGCGTCGGGATACCATCATGTACCTGTATGTTACCATGATGATAGATTCAAAAATTTTCCCCAACGTTAATTTTTTGTCAACCCAGCTAAATCACTCCAATAAACCCATATGATAGTATTTGCACAGAAAAACATCATGTTTTTAAATATTCATACGTTAAGAAAATGACAAATGGACTATGGGGAATATCACTGAATTCAAAATATATCCATGCAAAGATAAATCTTTTTTATTTAGATTTAGGGTCAAATAGCACCATTGTCATGTAGAACACTGTATAAAACCTACCTGTTGATCCCCATCCTATCATAACACAAAATGTCGCGTTCGTTTTTGCAACACATAAAGGCTGAACACGTTCAGTGTAATTGAGGGGCTCTTTAAATTTCATTAATGCAATATCGCTGTCATATTGGCTTGCTTTGTCGAACTCTTCGTGTATTATAATCAGCTCAACATCTCGAGACATCTGGCCAGGCTCGAAATTTATCCGATGGTGCTTTCCAAAAAATAGTACAAAATCGTCCGGGTCGCGTCTAAAAGAAATATTCTTATCATATGAAAGGATACTGGGACTGTGATTCATGGGACGATACTTTTATTATGTTTAGAATATTAACTGTGTAGTACATCAGTAGTTGTTCTGTTTAAATAGGTTAAATCCGACAATTGATAAATGATGACCTGAACCAAACAACGGTATCCCAGTATTCCATGTTTAAAATAAAAAAAATGTCAATTATTCTAACGAAGCAATACAAACCACTTTAATTGTATGTAAAATCATGGAACAAAAACATCAAGCAAGGCATAACAAGCAACATATCACCATACGCCATTTGTTAAAGACGCCAAACGCAGAACGTGGAACGCCGGACGCCAACCATTGTCACAAAGATAGACCATAATTATATGTCACCACTTATGGTGGTGACATAAAAACAAGTTTAAACACATTACCCGGCCTTTTTGTTTGAGAAACAGTGCGCAGCAGTCACCACCCAGTTTCTGTTAACAATTGCTGCCCCACAAACATGACGTAGTTTTCCAACTTCTATATTTCTATTTCTGATAGTTACCATCCATGGCCAGCTGAATTCTGGATGGACTACTGTACCTCCTGTGATCCTGCTTTGACCAACATCAGGACGTACGCCACATGTAGCGTTTGCGGGCGGCGGTCCTTCAATCCCCATGTATAAATATTTTATTACATCTAATAATTGACAATCATCCTATCAAAGGGGCATTCATTGCAAGCTGCCCTGCAAGCATTTCTCTCTTGATATTATAGCTACAGTATACTTGAATATTCTTAATATCCAGCCAAATAGGATATATTTGAAAGCCCATTTCTCTCCTGAACTGGTTATACTTATCATGTCAAGAGAGAAAAGAAATTGCAAGGATCAAAAGTAGACATACGAAGGGCATTAATTGAAGAAAACTGGAAAACGGTAAATGTTTTCGTAACGAAACAACCACAAGCATCCTAAAATTTTGATAAAATCAACATTTCATATATGTTAGTGTGTAAACGATATAAGAATATACGGCGTACCTTCACATCTACTTGAGCAGTCAAGACGGTTACTGGCCACACATTTGCATTCAACACAGCCATCTAGTAGGAAGTCCTCGCCGGACTTATAAGTGATGCCTCCAACCAAACACGTCTTACACTTTGCGAGGTCTGAACAGATGACCAATCCTAAACAATAGAGAAGCTTGACAACTAACAAGAGTTTGGCAATGCTTATTAATTTTGACACCGTATGCCGTTTAATTTAGGGCTAGTCTTTGTCAGTGTCTGTCTTTTGTAATGTACTGATCAATTTGCTATATCAAGTATTCAGGTCATATCCGGTCATCTTACTATTGAATCTGTACGGCATGTGCATCTATTTAATTCACATAATATACGGGTAAAATATTGAGATTGATTACGTATATCGTACATCGATATTCAAAAACTTTGCACACAGTAGGTCATCAAGAAAAGATCAAACAAAAACTGCATACATGTACATTTACCTTCTTTGCATCGACACTCGTTGCATCTATCGGCGTGTCTCCACTTTTCTCCTGTCCGGTACTGTCTTCCATTTGAAGAACAGTAATCTAAAAGTAAATTCGTCTTTCATCAAGCCTCTCGTCTGTCACATTTGCTTTATTTCCCTAGGCAGGTTTTTATGGACTTGTCATACTTAGGTCGAGTGGGGTTACCGTCCGCAACTGTGTGAAAACTTTGGGGCAGACAACGGGGCACGGCATGTATACAAAGTGGGAAAAATAGTTTTGCAGCAAGATATCGCCCATCACATCAAATACAAAAATTAATTTATTAAATATATAAGCACAAATGCCAAAGGGAAGGGTGACTAAAAACTTTAAAGAAACCCAACAAGAAAAGCAAACTGTAAGTGTAAATCTGTCATAAGAAAAGTAGACCCTACATGTATATCCCAAAACCATAATCTAACGTGAAAAGAAACAATGTCTAACATCCCCCTCCCCCCTCCAATCGAGAATTTATTAACCTACAAGGCTTATGTGATAGCTAAGGAATGGGTAAGGGTGTTGAAACTTAGCTAGGAACATGTTGCAAGACCGACTTGACCGATCAAGTCTGATCATACGCTTTGGAATATTTATATAAATGCTGTAGAGACTGAGTTCCCTTAGAAATTCCTGGGCCTGCGACTCTGTCGCTGATAATAATGAATACCGATTCTTACTTACCACATGTTATGTTGCAAACGGTATTGTTCTTTATGTGGCACTCACAGCGTCTACAATCAGTCTCCTGGAAGACATCCCCCACTTTGTATCTATCTCCCTTGTAGATGCACATTCTACACAATCTGCTATCGCTGCACACTGACTCCAAGCCACTGCCTGTGATTAACAAAAACATTAATTTAGATCTAGGATAACCCCAAATCTCCACTATCAGGAAGCACAAGTGTCAAATTGGGAGAGATCTAACGAAGACGCAATTCACATACAATTGTCACATTGGCAATATCCACGAAGATCGTCAAAGTAACAAAAGTGAGGGACTAAATATGTGAATTGCGTCTTCGTTAATATACCAAACATAGAACCGCGCTTTCCTTAACTTTACATTTGAGACAAATTATTGTCCACAAATTGACGTATGAGTGGTGTAGAATCGAGAAATAAAAATATCTTACAAAAAACGAAGCCTGGAAGTTCTTCCATCTTGACGATGCGTCAGCGTAACTAGGTGAGTACCAGTGATAAGAAATGCAATGTCGAGAATGTACCATTGTAAAATTCTGTACATGCACGTTAACATCTAATTTTGCACCAACGTAACATTACCTGTTAATCTGCATTTACATTTATTACATTTGTCATCAGCCAACCATTGCTTGCCTTTCTTGTACTGTCTGTCACCATAAGTACATGTTGTTGGCTCTTGAAATACAAGGCAAAAAAGTATAACGTTTCTATGATGCGTTCATGTAGTTTTCACGTATTCACTTTGAATACGCAAAGCGATAGGAAAACCAATCACTAACATCAGTACTAATCAAATCCTATTCCATATGTCAATATGGGTTTTGGAATAGGTACAATTGATTCAATTTTGATATATTAAAATATAACATATTAAAGAAGTAAAAATGCAGAAACTAGAAAATTTATATAAACTTACCACATTGTATTTCTTCACATTTAGCTTTTTTCGACCCAGAAATGCAGATGCATTTTTTACATTTGTCACTCGAGAAGAAATATTCTCCATTTTTATGACGTGTTCCTTCATACTTGCAGCCAGAACACCTTTTCTTGTTGGAACATTTTACAATTCCTTAAAGCATATTTAATACATAGTTTAATAAACATATTATATACTTCAGAACATATACACCCAATATTAAAGACATTTAAGTAGTTTTAATAAAAATATTGTTAACTTTAGATCCAATAGTACACTAGATTTGATACAGACATTGTAATTGTTAGACTAGATAATTCAAATATCATAGTTGTTTTAAAATAAACATTGTAACCCTTAGGCGAAACAAACCCAATAGTATACTAGATTTGATATACATGTTATAAAACTAAAGAAATATAAATCCAACATCAATATTTACATAGTACATCGATTGTTAGCATGGAAGTGCCTTAAAACACTAAACCAAAACTAGCAGTACACGTACGTGTTTTCTGTTTTTATTCTGTTTTTTTATTTAGTATATCATGACGTTCATAAACCATATAACATTCAAAAAAGATAATAACAAATAACATACCGTTCAAACATTCACATTTGTTGCATTTGTCAGCATGTTTAAAGGTAGTTCCATTTCTCTTTGTTTTATCATTATAGTCGCAATGGCCCGCTGCAAATAAGATGATTGTGCAACCATTTACAAAGTAAAAAAGAATATATATCAGTGCTAAGTGAAAATTAATGAACTTTATTCCTATCTAGAGCCAATCGTTTACAAAACAAGTTTATTCACAAAAGAGATTTCAAATATGATTACTGTAAATATTACAAATGGACATGAGACAAATCTAATCCTGAAAGAGTTCTGTTACTTTGTTCAACCAATCTTCTACAAAATAAGTTTATTCACATCCTAGACAAAATAGATTTTCAAAATATTTTTAGTGTGTATAACTCAAAATGAAGATATTTGAGTAAGAAGGGGGAAGGAGGGGGAAGTGGTAGAGAAGGGGGGGGGGGGGCATAAGGGACAAGGAATGGAAAATAGAGGGTAGATCAAGGGATCTACACATACTAAAGTATCCGTTTTAAGTACATAGCCTAGGTCAAATTCACACCAACCTTATCTGTTTTCCAATTGTTGATTTTATTGAATTCATATGTATTTAATAGTCAATTAATCATCATGGTAATATGTGCATTTAATAAAACAAATCCACCTCAAATTCCTTGAAATTCAACTGCATTGGAATTAGGACATTAGATATATCTATTTTTCAACTGGTTTTTAATTTTAGATTTATATATGTAGAAAATATTTTAAAAATCTGAAGAACTAGAAAATAGAAAAAGACAAACTCCCGGAAAGTAAAAACATACCTTTTAACCATTTACATGTATTAGTGTAAAAGCAGCTTAACAATATTCACGTTTATTATTGAATTGAGGTTTATAAGAATAAGCCTCGCCATCATAAGTTTATCAATTTCCTATCTCCCTATACACATGTAATAATTTACCTTTCTCAGTGAGATGCAGATTTATTCTGAAAGCTTATTCTCTGATTGATAGAAACTATTCCATGCGTTATATTACTTTTTACTTTTAAAATCAAATATTTCGATCGTGAACTTTCACCCCACCTGTTTCTTTGTCTTTCTTCTCTCTTTTATCGTTTTGAACGTTGATTGTATCTCTACTTCCACTAAGGATAATATCGAAAGACCCTTTCATCGTAGATCCAGCTTCCTCCAAACCGACGATTCTTTTGGGGTCATCGGAGCCACAATATGGAGGTGGGCAACCGTCGTTTTCACCAAGATATGGATCCCCTTCAAAATAGATCTGAGTTACGAGACTGTGGTATCCAGACTTAGTAATGTACAAATGAATATGCGATGGTCTAAACTGACGACCGTTCAAGTAGCGTCCTGGGTGTATCGTTTCAAATTTGAAGAACCCGTCTGTATCAGAGACGACAAACCCCCTACAGGTGTCGTCTCTGTGATAATCCCCATGATCATCTGTCTGCCAAATCTCAATTTTTACATCATATAATGGATTACAGTTCTCATTTCTTACATATCCTGTTAGCGATGTCTTTGGTAAATTGGTATAATTTTCGTATCTCATGCATATGTGGTCATTTTTCGATGTATCTGGTTTATAAAACGGTCCTAAAACATCTTCTCGTGTTGGTTCACATGTTTTTCCTGTTGATGTCGAAACCGATAGAAATCCTATGAGTACGAACCCAGCTATTGTCATGGTCAAATGTATACTTCTTTTTTTGCTAATAATCCAACTACACGGGTATTTTAATGATGAAACGGTACAATATAAATTGTAGCTATAATTGAACTGATATACCACATGTTATGGGAATTACTATAGAGCATTGTTTACCAAGTTTAATAGCATCATCACAATAGTTTTCCATCCTACGTTTATATTGTAAGCAATTAAATCATACTCTGGTGTTTATCTTGTGTGTTGACATTGACTTTAATAAATGTAATTATTCACCCATAAACGGCAATAAATAAAAACTATTGTTTGTTATGAAGTCTTATTTTTAGTTGAACTCCAAACTTTAAAGTCTCACTAACTGAGCCTCACAAAGTCTCACGCATATATTATTCCAAATTCTATATTTAGGGCATCTATCTCTCATCTAATGGAAAACTTGTACTCAATTCGTTTAATCATAATCGATATTGCATTTCAATCATCAGCTGGTTTAGTCAACAATGACTATTCTATGCAAATAAGTTTAAGTCCATTATATATGATATGTAAGATATGATGAACTATTTGAAATATAATATTTTATCCTATGCCAAGTAGAGTTTTAGGGAGATAAGTTGGTAAGATATATCCCGTATCCTGATTTTGAGGTTTCCATATCCAGAACCTCCATATCTCCCGCCATATCTCCCGCTTCGGTGCATATCTTCCCGCTTCGGTGCATATCTTCCCGCTTCCGGTAAGTAGTAGAAATGCAATAAAATGACTTTGCATATGAATGATTTGTTTATTTTTACACCTTGAACTGTTGAAATGGCCATATGCCCCTGAAAACTCTACTTGGTATAGGATAAAGCAGTTATGTACGGTCGCTTTGGATATTGAGTTCATCCCTCGTGAGATATGCACATCTACCTTCGGTCCCTACGGTCCCTCAGGTAGATATACACATCTCCCTCTGGATAAACCCCATATCCAAAACCTCCCAGTACATAACCCTTTTTTATATATTATAATATATAGAGTGTATGTATAGGATAATAATTTGGCGAAACCTGGCAAAAATTATAAACACTCTAGTATCTAATAGCCTCTTCACTACCTGGAGTGACGAGATTTATTGTCACCTCAGAAAGGACCTTGAAACCAAGAGTGACGAGTTTATCCGTCACAAAGATTTTCAGTAAGATTGCTCTTATTTGAACAATTTAATCCAATTTACACAAAAATTCTTTTAAAATGTGTAGAAATTATCTCTCTGTCGTCTGATTTTACTAAGTTGAGCATAAATGTCAAAAGGTGGCAAAAATAAAAAATTCTCTGGTTTCAACCGATTTTAGAGCTTGGATTTCAAGTGAATAAATAAAATGATTCATTCCATTGACTTATATACATGTATTTACCCTTTTCATATAAAAAGATTGATGATCAATCTAAAAACGACATTGATATTACAATTTTGTATATTGTATTAATCATATATCATACTATATTCAAGATGTACCGTGAATCAAACGAAACTATTTTAAAATGACCAACTCGAATAAACACTGGTAGTTCAAAAGGGACATTGTTACAATTTTGAAAAAAGATTTGTTTTTCTTAATCTCATCAAACTTATGAAAATTTACAAGAAAACTTCTGAAATCTTAAAATTTAAATTAAAATAGGACTTTTGTAATACCGAAAACATTTTTCTTAATTTCAAAATATTTATGAAAAATGGAAAAATCAAATTTACTAAAAAAAATCAAAAATGATTTTACAAACTAATATTGAAAATGCATAGGTATCTGATTTTGCAAAAGTCTTCTGTAAAGGAGATTTTGCAAAATTAAAAAGACTTTCGCAAAATCAAAATTACTTGACAATTTTCAAGATCACTAAATTGCAAAATAACTTTTTTCAAAAATATTTTTAGATTAATAATTTAATTTTCATGAATCATTTTGATCCCGAAAAGAATATATTTTTTCATAGATAATTATATTTTTTAATTGATCGTGAAATCATGAACATTTTAATCGAATTTTTGAAAGATTCTACATATTTTATAAAATAAAATTGAAGTTTTTGAAATTACAAAATATATTTTGAAATTACAAAAGTTAATTCCTGTTTTTATTTATTATTAGGATTTTAGATATGTTAATTGAGACTTGTTGTTTGTTGAGATAAAGAAAAGTGATATTGATTTTTTCAAGTTTGTACGAACAGTTCCCTTTTAAAGCTTCGTTGGTAGTTTTGTAAAGTACGTTTTTACTAGCCTAGGGTTGATCCTAAAGTTCTCCACGGTTTGCTCTAAAATGTTATAGTTGATGAATCATGTATACATTTGGCCTTCATCACCCACTATATAATAGTTTCATTTTGTGTAAAGCTGAGCCATAAATTAAAAAATTAACATATAGGCATCTGGTTACCATAGCTACACAACAGCAGGGTGTGTAGCTTAAGACTCTACATAACTTGTCTCGATCGTCTATCGACATTCTGTTATATATATTAAGACATTTTAATTGTAATATCATCCTTATTTATCAAATTGTTAACACGTTTAAGTTTGATCGGATCCATATTATATTTTCAATTACATATTTGTAACTTAAACTTCTATTTAAATCTTAAAAAAGTTATTTTTTATTGTTTTTCTTCGGCAATCAGCGTCATTTAATTGCATTATACCTGAGTGTTAATTTCTATACTTTTAAGGATTTTCAAAGTAATGTAAAATCACGTGGCTGCTTACTTTGCAGTTTTCTCGAGTCCATCAAAATCGATGCATACATTCTCAAATGGTCGATTGGGCACATTGCAAATAACATCTCATGGGTATATCATTATTTTTATGCCACATTCGGTACCGAGCTGGACATGACGTTACGGTTTTAAATTCTGTTTTCAAGTACTACTTCGAAAGTACCCTCGAAGTTTTTAGAAGACAACACTTTCTTTAGGCCAATGATTCTTCTTTGATCGTCGGAATGGCAGATTGCAGGGGGGCACCCATCGTTTTCTCCTAAGTATTGATCTCCTTCAAAATATATCTGAGTGATTAGATTATGATATCCAGGCTTAGTGAAGAGCATGTGTATGTGCGATGGTCTGAAGTGATCACCGAGTTTATAACGTCCGGGATGAATCGTTTCAAAACTGAATGACCCGTTATTTTCTGAGACGACGTAACCTCTGCAGGTTTGGTCGTTGTGGTATTTTCCTTCATCATCTGTCTGCCAAATCTCAACCTTAACGCCGTTCACTGGTTCACAGTCAACATTCTTTATGTGTCCTGTCATGGTAATTTTTGGTAGAAAGGTATGATTTTGATATCGCATGCAGATGTGGTCATTTTTCGATGTATCCGGTTTGTAAAACGGTCCAAGGACATCTTCTGTTGTTGGTTCGCAGTATTGCGCCGATGTTGTAAAAAGTAAGGCACATGTAACTCCTACTGCAAACGATACGACTTTTCTCATGATATGAGTTTAAAATACAACAACTGGCAAAGGTCACTTTGCAAAACAAAAACTGCTGCAATGATCAAGAAGCTTAAAAGTTCATCGGGAAAGGAGAATGCAATGACACGAGAGATGTATTTGCATGGCCTGGAGCATTATCGTATGACAAACAGAATATTCAGATGACAACAACATTCCCTTGCCATCATGTGTCCTTATATTGTTAACATTTGCAGTAAGATGTACGTCTAAAGTAATCATCTTAGAAGTACCTGACTGGTCAACCAACCCCACCCCCAACCTTCCTCCTTCCCTCCGTCAAACATCTTACGTCAGGCCTTTTACATTTCCATGTCTTAGATGAGTTATGCATACGTATTGTACATTCCGTTGGTCAAAATGAATCATTGGCATTAAGCAAGTGTTGTTTTCTGAGATTTTTATGTAGTACTTGAAAGCAGAATTTAAAATCGTATACAACAATAAACTAGTTATCAGTTCTTTCACTTATTAGTCTTTGGTTTAATGACTCATTAATAGATTCATCTGTTGTTCAGATACATTGATTTCCCATTTGTGTAAATGAATAAAATTGGAAGTAAAAACAAAGGGATTGTATATTTAATGAATACAACTGCATACCAATAATTCAGTTATAACTGTATAAAATAAGTTTTTCATCTGTAAATACACATAGTAATAATGTACACAATTAACTTTCTAGATGGGCAAAATCAATATTCAACATCCAGGCTTTTATCTAGTCATTTGCTTATCAACTCATTGGGGTAACTCGCTATAGATGAGATTTTATTGTAGGATATTTTGCCATCGGTGGATACTTGACCATGATAAGGTCAAGCACCCTTGACCTTTGCAAAGTATAAATATCTGTCCTGTTGACATTTTTTTGAAATTTTGAATTTTTTCAAAACTATTTTTAAAAAATTAAAAAGAATTTTTTTGAAAAAATTTGAAACCATCGAATATCACTTTTCAAACCATCGAATATCACTTTTTAAGACGTGATATTCGATAGTTTAAAAGTGATATTCGATGGTTTGTGAATTATTTTATAAAATATGATATCTTGATCCAAATATCAAATATATCTTCATGTGATATTCGATCTATATCCTTGCAACCATGGGATAAATATAGGTTATTTACTGGGAGGGATTGAATATGGGTTTTATTCCGAGGGACGATATGATATTGACCGAAGGGTAATATGATATTGACCGAGGGAGCGCAGCGACCGAGTGTCAATATCATATAGCCCAAGGTCAATATCATATTGTCCGAGGAATAAAACCCATATTCAATCCCGACCAGAAATAACCTATTTATTCCATAATACACCCCTCTAAAATGCTACATTTGGAAAATGCAGATACTGGGAAAAAATAACCGGGAAACCGAAAATAGGTTAATATGCTCCAATACGATTTTTTTCCCGGGGACAATACGATTTTTTCATGTAATACGCTCCAATACGATTTTTTTCCCGGGGACAATACGATTTTTTCATGTAATACGATTCAATACGATTTTTATTCCTTCATATTTCCCTGGGAAAACAGTAGTATTATGGAATAATGGTTGATATACCTACAGAGTGGAAAAATGTCATCACTTTTTATTTTTTTGAAATCGTTCCTCAAAACTAAGAAATGAGTAAACATGCGCGTTTTAATAGAAAATGTTTAAATGATATTGGAGGTTGTCAGGATAATGTACTTAATTCAAGCAACAAGTTACATTGATTTTAATATCATAAATGGCTTTAAACATATGAGCAGCTCCGCCTCGAATTAAAAGTGACAAACTGACATTATTCAGCCTGACAGAGACATATTGGATAGGGTGCGGATCATAAATATTTTCAAGAAATATAGACCTTGGAGCAGGTATTATATATACGAATATTTACTGCAGAACTAGGCACAAAAGTTTTCTGTTCTGTCCGTCATTTTTCGAACATGAAAACTCACAAATATTTTTCGAATATTCATTAATGACCGCCATTACTTCGGCTCGCCGTTATGATATCACTCATGATATTACCAGATGTTGTATCGACGACTAAAAACAGGGTGAAATATTGTCTTTGTTCACAGTCACAGTTCCTAGAAGGCGTGAATACAGTCCTTTTCGAATCTGAAATAGTTTCCAGACAACAAAAACCGATGATATTAGAAGTATTATTCGACAAATAAGATGAAAAATAGATTCAGCTTTGATAAGATCTGTAAACCTGTAAACCTCTGGAAAATCTGTATAAATGTACAGGAAAAAATATTCCGAGGTATTATTTGCTAGAAGATGCTGAATAAAGTCCAAAAAACATAACAAACGTTTTTAATGTTTTTGGACACATACTATTATTTTTCATCATGCTGTCATTGTAACATATCAGATCTCTGTAATGTCACTCACTAGTATAATCAAAAAGTGGAAAGGGTTTTTTGAATTAACAGGAAAGATGGCGCTGTACCTGGACAATACATCAATTCACAAGGCAATGGAAATAAATGACCAAGCATATTATGGCAAGTGATAATATATATATTGACACTGAAACGGTCAGCGTTATTACCAGTTCTTACACTTTCAGCACTATAATATACAAATTCTTACACGCTCAGCACTATAATATACCAATCTTAACAATTTCAGCACTATAATATACCAATCTTAACACTCTCAGCACTATAATATATACATTCTTACACTTTGAGTACTATGATATATCATTCTAACACTTTCAGCACAACAATACGCCGATTCTAACACTTTTAGTAGTGTGACCATTTCTAGCATTTTCAGCACTATGCTATATCAATTCTTCAGATTCCAGCACTACAAAATATCAAATCTACTGATTTAATTACTACGAAATATATATTCTAACACTTTAGCACTGTGACATATCAATTCTACAAATGTCAGCGTTCATACTATAATAATTTGATATATCATTAGTAGTACATTTTCTCACACTTAAAATATGAGATACCCATTTTCAAACAGAGTGCTGACCAATTGTAAAACCTTTATCACTCTAAACATTTGATACATTTAATAACACTATGATGTACATTTAAGCAGTAAGCACTATGCCATGTCTCTCAGCACTATGCGATATCAATTCTTCATTTTTCAACACTACGAAATGTCAAATCTACTGATTTAATTTCTACGAAATATCAATTTCAACACTTAAGCACTGTGACATATCAATTCTACAATTCTACTTAACATTTGAGATACCCATTTTCATGCAGAGCGCTGACGACCGTGTGGCCTTTTTTATTATCACTCTAAACATTTGATACATTTAATAACACTACATGATGAACATATTTAAGCAGTAAGCGCTATGCCATGTCTTTCAGCACTATGCGATATCAATTTTTCATATTTCAACACTAAGAAATGTCAAATCTACAGATTCAATTACTACAAAATATCAATTCCAACACTTAAGCACTGTGACATATCAATTCTACAATTCTACTTAAAGTGTGCGCCAAAGTTTAAAACTGCGCAGGCGCACCGCTCTCGCTAAACTATATAAAGAGATTGCCCGGTACACGATTCAGAGGTAAGCCAGGAAGGCGAACGATCTTCGTCTCGTGATGATTTCCCATATAATCTTAACCAGGGAAGTTTCAACATTGAAATTGAAAATTACTATTAGATATACTTTGTAGATGTTATTTATGAAGCTATTTAGTGTTTGCATCAATCATATGGCTCATTTTGAACATATAAAACGTATTTGTGTTTTGTTTCCCAGGGAATTGTATTGTATGTAGTACACACATAAATAGTGTACATTATACTTGAATAGCCTGGTTTACATAATATTGAAGGGCATGCTGATTACATGCACACGAGTACATGAATGAAGGCCTAATATTGATATACGTAGCTTGCATACCTAAATAAAAAATAAACTCTTCTAATCCCCTAATGTAAACACGGCGGTATACGTAGCCCGATTTATCGGGGACTTTAACATTTGAGATACCCATTTTCATGCAGAGCGCTGACGACCGTGTGGCCTTTTTTTATTATCACTCTAAACATTTGATACATTTAATAACACTACATGATGAACATATTCAAGTAGTAAGCGCTATGCCATGCCTTTCAACACTATGCTATATCAATTCTACATATTTCAACACTACGAAAAGTCAAATCTACAGATTCCCTCACTTCGAAATCTCAATTCTAACTCAATATTTAGTTTTGCATAAACAATTTATTCTCCCCTCTCCTCGAGTTGTTTTACATTTCGCGGCTATTTTTAGTCATTTATCCTTCTGAATATGCATGAAATTTACAAAATAGTAAATATGTATGCGTCAAAATATTACAGAATAGTTCGAAGTGTGTGATGAACTAGTGAATTGCAATGCAATTGCTAATATCATAGAAAAAATTCTGTCATATCGGATGACCTTATTTATTTTGAAATAGTTTATTTTAATCAGTAAATATATAATAAAAATGATGTTCTATGTTATATTTGATTGCACCTTCATACGGCATCTTCAATTAGAAGCAAGGGATTATGAAAATTGGTCTATGCTGCAATTTTTGGCTCAAATATGCTTATTTTCGATACGTTTTTTGCGAGTTCGTTGGCTGAGATGCAACCGATTTTAAACGGTAGTATACCCAGAGGTATTATCTAGGATTTTCATGTTGCAAAATAATCCTTTATTCAATAAATCCTAAACTGTGTTTTGTCCCCCCCCCCTCCCCCATTTGTGATGTTTCGTTTGACCTCATCTGACCTATTTTTGAGATTTCAGTAGGCCTTCCTCGAGAGTTTTGAATGACCTATAATATGGTACCTTAATTTTACTATACCCCTCAATTTTGGAAACACCAGGGGAGGGGGCCATCTGACAATCCATCCCCCCATCCCCTATTAATTAGTGCTATAAAAATAGACTATCCACATTAGGGTTAATCATCAGATACGTGAGCATTGTACTTGCAAAAAAGCACATTTTTCATTGCTTTTCTCCACAACTTAAGTCGAAAAGCATAAATCCAAGGATTGATCAAGCTATTTGCAATTGAAATCTCGACGGTGAAACTAAACAAATGTTTGAACCATTTTGGTTCTGATCCCTTGAATTTCACCATTGTGATCAATATATAGGGCAACCAACAAAGGACAAACAGTCCAACAATCAAAGACATTGTTTTTGTAATTCGATTTTCTTTCTTGTATGCCACAGCTAGGTTGTTGTTAAACGCGGCTAATTCTGAAGCCACCTTTGCCCGTTGGTGTGTCGCCACAATGGCAACTACAATATGAGCAAAAGTACTGACCAAGAATGTTACCAATATATTACATTTCACGAACAGCACAAAGTTGGGATCGCGCACTTGGACCGAGCGGCAGGTATCCCCTGGACCAAACTTGACAATGTCTCCGAGGAAGTTGACCGACGATCCGATTATGATGTACACCCATATACAACCAATGAAGATTCCAACACGCGTATGCGTTATCAATTCACGGTATCTTAGTGGATATTTGACCGCGATGAAACGATCTATAGCTATCCCAACCATGCTGTATACAGATGCCCCTGCGGAAACATTATGACAGAATAGCCTAGCCGCACACAACCATTTGTCCTGGATGTGACGTCCAAGGTGCAACGGCATGATATAGAGAATGATGATATCAAGAGGGCAGCCAAACAGCCCCATCAACAAGTCGGCTATGGCCAAACTGACAAGAAACATATTGGTGACAGTGTGCAGGCACTTATGCACGGACATGCTTACCAGGACCATTATGTTGCTGCTACATATAAGAACCATCAGAAGGATCTCTACCACCAAGTGAATAGAAAGCTCCGCAGGAGGCAGAATGGGTTTGAGCATTTCAACATACATCTCATTCATATTTTCAGTTGTTAATCTTTTTGAATTTTCGGTTATATTAATTTGAATGACACTTGTACTGTTTATTATGGTTTCATTGGTTGCCATGGTGATATTGTTTATGTATACTATACAGTGTAGTTGCTGTGATTTCAGATCATTTCTATTGATTATAATATTTTGATTATAAGTAACATAATATGCTGACAAGCAGTTTGTTATAGTAATGTTTTACTGGTTGCAATTAGTGTTTGAAGTCAAATTTAAATGTTTTTATTGTATTGATATTGCTTGCTATTCTCATAGGTGATGCTTGGTTGATATGAGTAGTGCAGATATCAATTGCCTTTTGGAGGTTCTGCCCTGTCCCATGGAATCATCGTTCACATCTGTTATGATACATGACAACGGTTCGGATGACCATTAAGGGCTCCGTTAAATGGCAATAAGATGACACAGTCTTCTAGGGTTTGCTGAAATAGAAAGAGAGCAAAAGTTACTAATAGGTCCTAAGGATAAACAAATGACCAATTAATTACTGTACATGGAATATAATACAGTCACATTGTAATACGTTTGTAATAGAAGACTCGTTACATAGATGGATAATTAGATTGTAGTGGTAGTATTGGTCTAGCTACATCAAATGAAGTCAAACTAAAGAATGGGAAAACGGACATGAGTTATGCTATTTCTTAATGTATCTACTATATCCAATTCCAAGAAAATAACTGCAAACATCAAAGTTCTACTCCAAAATATCAAAATTCAAATATATACCAACAAAAATGGTCCTTAATGATTCACAATGTCAGTCTCCCAAAATCTCATTGAATAAAGCATTTGAAGATATTACATAACAGTGAATCGTGAAAAGCTATATACACCTAAGAAATAACTTAAACTACAAATTACCTGGTTCAGATGGACTGACCGCTGAATTTTCCAAAAGCTTTCAGGAGAGAATACCATGTTTAATAGTCTAAAGCTTTTAAAACAGCATTTGGAGTGAGAGAAATGTAAACAGAAAGAAGTGGTAATTGCACGGAGTCCGACGAAAGACAGAGACAAAATATTACATAAAGCTTGGCAACATAAACATCTTCTTATCTAAGACCATAAGCTCACCACAAAATGCCTTGCAATAAGAATAGAAAATACATGAACAGACGTTCAAAGAGAGTTCAAAGCTGTAATTTGATACAATCGAACATTTACGTTTAAAACTACGAGTAAGACAGGGATGATTTTATATATATACTTTATTTAGACTTTGAAAAGGCGTTTGACAACCCAATGGAGCTATATAGAAGTCCTTATAATATTCTGACAAGTTCCTCATTAGATGATGTTAAAAGCTTGACAGAGGGATAAGATAAGGATGAACTTTGTGTCCATTTTGTTCATTTTTGAGGAATTTCTGAGTAAGGTGGTAAAAATAGACTTAACCATGAAAATGAGCCTCGGCAAGCGGAAGCAGCTATTATGAGACATTAGGTGTACACTGTAACAGTCCATTTAGACCATAAGAATATAAGTAACCTCAATCATGGCAAACACCTCAAATTTTCTCAACAGCTCAGTTCCGTCAATAACTAATGAATGTATAAGGAAGACCAAGACGGACGAAAATGAAATGCAAAAGAAATAAAAAAAAATGTGATGACTTGGAAACAATCTATATCCTTGAAAATAGGAAAAATAGAGGAAATCACGAAATAAACTATATATTAAAATAAAAAAGATATATACAAAGCAGGAAACCTGATTTTTACTTCGTTGAGTCTGTATTTGAGCCTGGCCATACGAAAATCGGTCTTATTACAAAAATAAAAATTGTGCTACAGAGCCAAAAATGTGCCAAGGGTAGGACAATGTGCTCAATTCAAACCCGTCTTTTCGGTCTAATATCTGCAAAAAATGTTAAGACATAAACCATGGCTCAATTGAAAGGTCTCTTTGTGCGTTTTAAGAAAAACAGAAAATCAGAATATTGAAAAAATCTGTGATAAAACCCCTTTTTTTGTGGTCTGGCTCATTTGTCTCACACATGAGGGAATTACCAATGGTTACATATTCGATTACTTAATTAAACACGTCCTCAACACCAATAACACAACAATATACAATAACAAGCATATACGCTATGATGCAATGGAATGCGATCTGGCAGCTGCATCCATAAGATAATATAAAGTACACAAAGCTAAGAATAAGAATGGTGAGATTTTGATTCTGTCGTGTGCAATAATATCTTATAACAGCAATTATGTCAAAAATACAGCTGGATTGCGAAATTACCTCCGGATTAGAAGCTCCAAGATTTAAACATTCGGTTGCTGTTGATTGATTTATGTCAACATCTATACAGAACTTCTACATCTATAAGACACTGCGCCTTAAACAAAAAATTAAACTGAAAACATCTTAATTCAACAACCCAAATGTATTGATCTAGAGTTATAAAGCAACCATGGCTTCACTTTTCTAAACAAGCATTTAGATGAGGTTTAGAGTGCTTGTTAAAAGAAAACTTCCCCGTAGAATTTTTAAATTGTTCAATTTGATTTAAAATATGTCACACCTATGAACTGAGGCTCGGGTATAAAGTCTCCTCCTAAACCCTCCCATTGGATAGAGTGTTAAAGTATCTTTATTCAAATTCTTGTTTATGAAAGAAAAAATTAAGTTTATGATATACGAGAGGTGATCCAAAAGTCTTGGACGCTCTGCTTTAACTTTGCTAAATGACAAATCTGGTGAATTTTTGAAAACTACCATTCCATGGTAACCAATGGGAAATGGTAGATTTGCCGCAAGTCATATGACAGATTATTCATCCATCCAAGTTCTCGCAAGGCAAGTTTAGTAAGTAGACCATTAATTTGCTAACTTTATTTAACAAAAATTGATGTTTCTTCAGGTTTAACAAAGTTATAGGTCTACGAATTCAAAATTTATTTTCAAGAAACTAAACGTTTTTCAATTTTCTATATATAAAAATATGTTTTGGTGAATATTTTACAGAAAAGATATCCCGATCGCGAAATCTAATTTTATTAGAGGTATAAGAAATAAAGTCAGGTTACATCTTCACCTTTATCAGAGTTATTTATACAGCAGGATAAGTAAATACAAATTCAAAACATAAAGAGGCTTTAAAACGTAGTCCAATGGGGAGCTAAGTTTGCCACACTTTTGGAGGAGAGTGTAAGTTCTAAAATGTTTAAAGGTTATTTTGTGTACTTTCTGTTATCAAATTATTCAAATATGTTCAACTTATTCTAGAAATGAAAAAAGTGCAAATAGAACAATTTAACAAAGTTACAAAAATATCAGAAAATCCCATATTTTACATTTTATTTTATTTTTATAAAAATAAAAATGATACCAGTTTGAAAATAGGCTGGCAACATCTCCTTCATATCCTCATCTGAAATGGATTAAATTTTAAAATCCCACTTACCTCGTTCCGTCTTCTTTATGTTTGAATCAACTTTTCGCGAAATTCCATTTTCTTCAACATGTATGTATAGAGATCTAATAGCATAATGCAACAGGCATGTTTGATTTTCTATTTGTTTATATTATTACTTATTATATACTCAAATTGAAAATGTATGATTTTTATAGGATTTCAGTATTATTAATAATTTTTCGGATTTTATTCAGCTTGTTTGAATCAAATCTCAGTCTCTGTTTCCGTTCCGATGATATGAATTGATATTGTGTGACGCCTCCGTTCCTCTTCATTTTATAATTCAATGAATTCCTATTGCATAAGTAAATAACTGTAATGACGTCCCTGGCTACCAAGACCATATCTTCTTGTAAATATGATTCTTTAATCTTTGCTTTGCGCGATGCAACATAACAACGATATCAAATTATAAGAAGTGAGATGGCCACTTGTTTGTTGCAAAAATAGCTGCTTTAGAAACCTGACTGCCTCGGGTAGACCATTTAGTTTAAATGTGTTTTATTGCAAAACATCTGGTGTTTAATAGAAGAAAGTAATCAAAATGTGCTCCTTAGTACAGAAAGAATGACCATATGTGTCCAATGATTCCAATATACCATTGAAAAGGCGGGAATGTCAGCTTTTAGGCGTCCTTTTTGACCTTTTGGTCCTTTTGGTCCTTTTTGTTTGCGAACATATAGTTCAGGAGACAACATAATTGTCGATTTAATACTTCACTTTTGTTACGTAAACGAAACTTCAAAAAAAGATCTGAACTTCTTACCCGTTCCGTTTACGTAACAACGGTGGGGTATTAAATCAACGATTCTGTTGTCGTGGGAATTCTACCAAGAACTCGTGAAATAAGGAAAAAAGATCCCCGTACCTGGAGGACATTTCTATAAAAATATGGTTATACTGTTTTGCAGACATCTGACAAAGATGTTCAAAATTTCATGGATGTATCACCACCAGTTTGAAACAAAACGGAGTCATGAACAGTTGTGCGCCACAATATTGTATTGGAAACGTTGTATCTCAGTCAATAAAAAAGATAATAACATTGGGGTTACAAAATCATCCGACCACCCTCTCGCATTACGGCCTATGGCTTTCTACGAACTAATTAGTCACGAATCCTAATTAAATATAATATAGTTGATAACACCGTGAGACATAACTGGCATCACATAATTGGCAACCTTTGCTAATCAAAATCTGAGGATACATCACTCATGTTTTATTTGCGTCATATGATCAATTTGCAATTCATCAAGTAGTACATCTAATACTAAACAAGGCACAGACGTGAACAATATCGTACCTAAAACACAGCATTGTGGTCTTGTTGACCAAGAAAGCAAGATGACCGCAGAAAAGTTAATCAGCTCTAGAACTTATCACCGTGTAACATATGTAAAAATGTGAACGGTTTGGCTGGAAACCTGTAGACAAGTCTTGAAAGTGAATATTTTAGGTTGGAAAATCCAAAATGGCCACCTTAAAATTTACCCAGAATGCCCAAAAACCAATCAGTTCTTGACGTTGATATGTAGAGACATCCCTGAAAATTTCAGATAAATCCCTCAAATGGTTTGGCTGAAAATCTGTAGACAAGTCTTGAAAGTGAAGATTTTAGGACAGAAAATCCAAAATGGCCACCTTAAAATTTAACCAGAATGCCCAAAAACTAATCAGTTCTTGACGTTGATATGTAGAAACATCCCTGAAAATTTCAGATGAATCCCTCAAAAGGTTTGGCTGAAAACCTGTAGACAAGTCTTGAAAGTAAAGATTTTAGGACGAAAAATCCAAAATGGCCACCTTAAAATTTACCCAGAATGCCCAAAAACTAATCAGTTCTTGACGTTAATATGTAGAAACATCCCTGAAAATTTCAGATGAATCCCTCAAATGGTTTGGCTGAAAACCTGTAGACAAGTCTTGAAAGTGAAGATTTTAGGACGGAAAATCCAAATGGCCACCTTAAAATTTACCCAGAATGCCCAAAATATTATTTGTCCTTGACGTTGATATGTAGAAACATCCCTGAAAATTTCAGATGAATCCCTCAAATGGTTTGGCTGGGAACCAGTAGACAAGTCTTGAAAGTGAAGATAAAAACGAATCAGTCCTTGACGTTGATATGTAGAAACATCCCTGAAAATTTCAGATGAATCCCTCAAATGGTTTGGCTGGGAACCAGTAGACAAGTCTTGAAAGTGAAGATAAAAACTAATCAGTTATTGACGTTGATATGTAGAAACATCCCTGAAAATTTCAGATGAATCCCTCAAATGGTTTGACTGAAAACCTGTAGACAAGTCTTGAAAGTGAAGATTTTAGGACGGAAAATCCAAAATGGCCACCTTAAAATTTACCCAGAATTCCCAAAAACTAATCAGTTCTTGACGTTGATATGTAGAAACATCCCTGAAAATTTCAGATGAATCCCTCAAATGGTTTGGCTGGAAACCTGTAGAAAGTTAAGATTTTAGGACGGAAAATCCAAATCCAACCTTTTGTTAGGTACGATAAAAACAGACCAGTCTCCTATGTTCACGAACTTCTGCAACGGTGAAATCAATCATCAATCATTGAATAATTGAATATGAGGAAATGAAAGAATTATTATGACAGGGCACCGTAAGTGTCATGTTTTGAGATTTTTGATTTGCCAATATTAGCGATATGTTGAAGACATACACGAGTTAATATAAAGTCCCCAAATAAAACCACTTTGGCTTATGGTGTAGTCTTTTGTAGTAGTTTTTGAAGAACTTTTTGTTCGAAAATCGTCAATTTATTCAAAACTAAATTTAAGAGGTCACACATATCATCAAATAAGTTTTAGAAGGATTCATCCTAAAATTTTTTGACGAAAACAAATTGATATTTAGGATAGTGGTTGATAAATAAGTGGTTCAGAGAAAAAATGCATTTTAAATTTAAGTTCTCGCAGAAACCAATGATACAGTAATATTAAACATGAAATTAATTTCAAATTCTACAACATAATATATTCTTCTTTTCAACCTAGTACGACAAGCAATATTGGTTAATTTTGAAAGTTTATTTTGAAAATATTGACGGAAAAACATTTTGTTTTAAATATTTTTCAAAAAGTTCTAAAACATTTTACAGGGACATAAGATATGGCATTTTTATTGAAATAGAGTGTCCTTTGTTCAATCTTAGCAATGGTGTTAGAATGCGCGATGGAATATTGTATGGTTAAGACATTTCAACTTTTACGTTAAAAATGCGGGAAATTTGAATATTTGAGAAAAAATAATCATTTTTCAAATATCTATAAAATAGCATTAAAGTCATGAATAATAAATGAATGAATGATAAAAACTTATTTTCAAACTTTACATGGATCCTTTAAACCAAGTGTGTAATAATTTTACTAACACTCTGGGTTATTAGGGGACAAGTAACATGATCCCTCAGATCTGAACCAAGAAACAAATTTCAAAAGAGACGCACACTAATAATTAATGATTTGAGTTCATTGACCAAAGTAATGAAATAATTCAAAGAAATAGTTTCCTTTGTGAGTAAAGACACTGGTACACTTCTAAAAGAAAAATAATATGTATGCTTGATACAACTGATTCTTAAAAGCACGGATCGTATCAAATGTAATAAACGGACAGTGCACGGAATTTACTCGCAACTGTGACAAAAGCCAATTTCTTAAATTACATCTGAAATAATAAACAGATGACAAATAAAGAAAAGTCGTTTGTAATTATCTACGCTTCAAAACAACCCGTATATCATAAAATAGGAAGACTGCCTGAGATGACCAGTATTCACAAATGAAGTGGCTCTGCAAGGTGTGAATAATGGTCTAACTTAATGACTTGCCAAAAATCATATAGTTTGGACAAATAAATAATCCTTAAAACGTAGCATTTTTGATTTATGTATTTTTAAAATGCATTTTGTATTTTAATGGTTGAAATGAATTGAGTTGGATTGACTTGGTGTTGTGTTGACCAGAGAGGCATTATTTGGTCGTCATGAGACGACAACTAACACCAGGAACATATGTTCGAGTCAGATTTGTCCTCGGATGAAAGATAACATCTCTGTAAAGGCATTGATTCCGGTTGACATCCCAGTCACATTTGTCGTACGGCAGCCGTACGTCGACCGCAGATCGTGATTTCCTGCGGCGAGCGTTGGAAAACTACGTTCGCTTTGCAGTCTCCGTATGGGTTTTTTACAGGCCGCGGGCTAGCCGTAGAAATTATAACTTGAAGTTATAATATGTGTTCATTTCTGCGGTTGCGGTATCACAACTGATATTCCTGACGTAGCCGCTCATCATGATTTTCTGAAGATTGGTATAGTTTGCGTATGTAATACAAATGTGGTCCTTCGCAGGTGTATCTGGTTTGTAAAACGGTCCAAGAGTATCGTCTTTTGTTGGTTCGCAAACTGATGAATTTGATGCTGAAATAACAGTTGAGAAAAATCCCACGAGCATCAACGCTACTAAATTCATGGTTATCAAAATTGGTGTTTTCTTCTATAGCTGAAAATCGTGTTCAAGAGATTCTAAATGAATGTTGACAGAAATTCGTCCAGTTTGAAATGTACTCTGTATATTTAGCAAAGTTGTACGAATATTGATAGCTTCATTGAGTGTTATTAAGTTTGTATTTACGCTGTATAAACTATTCAGGGAAACGTGAAGTCGGTTTAACAACAGTTGCTATTTGAACTGCTACTATTTGTGGACATTTTGAATTATTAAGAATTATAGCTATTATAGCACTTGCATTATATTCCTCGTGTGGTGTTTGGGTGTGTTTTTGGATACATATTTGTTAGAATCACATTTCACGTGTGGTGTTTATTAGGTGTGTTTTGGATACACTTTGTTATGTTAACTGCTTTTCTGCGTTTACGTCGAGTTAAATAAGAGGACATTTCGACAAGGACAACGAGTCCCTCCCCCATCAACGCAAAAACATTGCACTTTTCATGCATGAATCGCAAGATCATATTTCCAACCATATATACTACAGTAACCGACACATGATTACTGGTATCGTTATGACCATTGACACCTCAATCGGCAACCGATTTTCAAATTTTACAATTGGAACACAAAATTAGAAGTCATCCATCATATCACTTTATTTCTTAAACGTATGAAATTATAAAGCCTGATTATTTTAACATCAAAAATATAAAACCAAGATATAAATGATGATATAAAGCCTAGAAATAACATCATAACGCCAAATTATAACATAAAGGTTTCAAGATATAAATTCTAGTTTTGACTATATAAGTGGAACCTACATGTACTACATATACAAGAGTATACATTTTATTACCACTAATACAATATACAGAACTGGCAATCCATGCCATGTATATCCCTGATATACGGTATGTAATCGTCGCTCTTCTGGTATACATGTAAGCGTTTGAGTTATGGACATATTTTTGTAAAGATTTTAGGCAGAATCTAGCGATCACTCTTTACAAAAATCAATTTTAGAATATTTGGTATTTGTAATTTCTATCTAGAGTTCAACAGAGTCCATCCTTTACTTGAAGAAAATTAAATAATTTTACATTTATGAGTTTACCGTATTTCTCTATATTTATATATATCGTAATTTAACAGTTACATATTTTAGCACGTTGAATCATGGATAAATTCAGTCACCATAACATTTGGTAAGATTTTATTGATATTTTATAAAATAACATAGTTTAGTCCCAACGCACCTACATTGGTACATGTTGCCTGAACGAAGATGATTTTGTTACCCTTTTATCTCGTTTCTGCATTTTAAGCTATGTACCGACACCCGTGCATAAGTTGTACAACACAGCTGAAGTCCCCCCTTTGGATCATATTTTAAAGCCTACACTGACATATGTATGTTTGATGTTCTAAAAATCACCAATTTAATACTTTTCCAAATATCAATTTCTAAATTTCAAACATTGCAATGCTTCGGTATGATGCTATCAGACGAAAACTTTCTATTGCCAAATTTATGGAGGGAGGTATACTGTCGCCATTGTTGATCAGCAGTGATTTCAAAACGGAGGAAGCACGCCAGGTGGTGTTATCATTTATTTGAAGGCAAATCGAGAATCCGTTTAGTCACAGATAGATTAATACATCCATTCACCAGAAGCGTTGTAATCTGAAAGCTGCCTCTTAACTCCAATTTCGCTTTTATCCCATTTACTTTATTTTTTATTTCTTCATCGCCTGTTTAAATGCTGATAGAGCCTTCATTGGTTGCAATAAGCGCTTGCGTATGTTCTCCACTTTGGAAACAACCATCTTATTTTCCGGATCAATGTCTAACGTTGTGGGGTCTTCCACTACAGTTGCCTACAACATAGAGCACAATAGTTTAGAAATCTATAAACTTTATAAATCAAATATAGGCCCATAGCAAACCCCCGGCAAATATCCTTTCAAATTCATGCAGCTTTTCACCAGTCGTTTTCCAAGTGATTCTTGGCTTTTGTCAAGTTTGAGAGCACCTGCCTTAAAACGTGTTCATAAAGGAGACCACCCTTTGCCAGATTTTGGAGTATCTGTTTGGACCATATCTTAATTATGAATGTTCATCACTCTTAAATTGTGTTGTCTTCATTTTTTGATGTTGTCATTCCTTGAAGCAACAACTTACCTTAAGAAAACCTCGCATGATGGCATCGCCGACATAGATTCTCTCACCGGTGATGTTGTTAAGGTACGACCCTGTGTTCTTGTCCAGGATTCCATCACGAACTGCCTCGCTGAATGTGATCTAACATCAAAACAGAAAAACGTATCATTTGTATTAAATCTAATTTAATTTTTTGATAAACATTGAACCCATTATTCCTGATTTAACCAGAGGAAATGTATTTACCACAGATCTAACTGTATTTGTTTTAAATTATTCGGTTTCCCTCAATGGTGCATACACTTATTTACCTTCTTCTTAAGTTTCTGATTGACAACATGATGGATGGCGTATGTTTTTGTTACAAGTTCCGTTTCTCCATTCTGTCCGTTCTGATCGGCGACTGACACGAGATTCCCGTCGATTGCATCGGCCAACAGCTGCTCACGTTTCTGAAATTGAACAGCACAACGTAAAAGATCGCGTTCATTTGAATTATCGATGGCATTTAATGATTGTATTTTTTAGTTATCATCGTGGCACAAAATAGTTTCCTTTCTATTGAAATGAAATATTTATTTGTCTATTTTTATATTTCTCATCTTTGATCAAAATAATTTTAAAATATTTTGCGGGTTTATGGTCATACAAGGACTGAATCCCAGAATACAATGCCGACATTCCACCGTATATAATGTTATGACGTCATCATTGACGTGCACACATGTCAAAATTGGAACAGTCGCCATTTTTTGTCTTTCTCACTTCAGAATTTGAATCGCGAGTTTTGGTCTTATTACCTTAGAAAAATTCAAACACGCAAGAAGTGATCAAGATATTATATCTTTTGACTGTGAATTTATAGCTAGAAAAATGTCAGACAAAACTGACGCTGGCTTTGTTGGAAAACGTTGGTGTTGCATTTTGGCTGCCAGTCTTCCTTGTGGTAACATCATTTAAAATGTATGCCTGGTGCCTGGGTCATATTTGCGCTGATTCATCGATCGTCCCCTGGCCGATTGATTAGTTATGTTCAAAAGTGGCTCGCAGGCATTAGTGTAGTGTGCAACACATGGCTTTGACTCAACATACCGTGATGGGGTCTCGATACACACCATCATGAAGGTCTATGATTCCCTTCTCGGTGGCTTTCTCAAAACTTATGACAGCATCATCCGCACTTGAATCGACCACACCTAAAATATCAAACATTGAACACAGCTGTGAACATATTTTTGATACTTGACAAAAACTGCATAAGAATCATGAAATACTGATATTAACAAATGATATATCAATGTTGCAAAAAATACTCATGTTTGAGCTAACGGAATGGAGTTCATACTAACATATAATGATTACACTAGCTATTTGAAAGAGCAGCCATATCCAATGTGCACAAACACGTGCTTCATGTATTTTAACCACAAATTGCCACATTCTACAGATTTTGGATTGCACAGTTAATTATTTTTCTATTTGAGAAAACGTTTACCTGTTATAACATAAGGTTTATTTTCTTTGGTTGTCTTAATAGTGATCAATCCAAACGATTCCTTCGTCTCTGCAGATTTCCTTGTTGACGTATAGTCAACCAATATTAGACCCCTCGACATAGCAGTTGGAATTGGGATGCTATGACCTGCAAAATATACAGTCACAAATTACGACATAGGGGCATTGGCATCATAGCCGTTGGAATTGGTTGGTGGTTTAACCTACAAATACAATTACATATTACGACATAAGGACATTGACATTTGCGCCTTTGGTGGCCTTTTTAAAGATATGTTATCAAAACTTGGGTATTGCAATCAAACTGAAAAACTTATTGTTAAAAAGTTCATGTACATGATACATGTATGCCCTTTTTTAGGTAAATAGTTCGTATGGTTAGAAAAATATGTCACCACATGTGTTCGATATTATAGTTACTTCCAATAGAAATCAATTTCACCAGTTTTGGGATTGACATAAAGTCCTGCTTTCTGGTCCATTACTCCCTCATCTACAGCTTGCTGAATGGACATCTCAGCGTCAGTTCTTGGATCGATTACGGCCCTGATGTAAAATGTCTTTCTCTCTTCTTGTGTGGACCTAAATATGTTTTTATCATATTATTATTTCTTAATCATGGAGCATGTTGAAGGAGATCCGTTGTTCATATTAGTGTGTAGATAAGTGTGTCAAGTAATGATAGGTGATAAAACCAAAATAACAATTGACAAGATATTTGAAATTCAACTGATGGGTGATAATTACTGTCATAGAGAACCAAATGCTTACAACTGATAGCAATTTATGGAAGTAAACTGTAGATTTCTCTGCTCTTGGTCAATTTAGACCGGATTTAAGGCTTTGCTATTTTTCCATTGTTTATTCCATGATATTCAGCCATACCTGATTATCTCGTCACTATCCTCAACATGTTTCACAATCTTTTCTACATTCACCTCCTGGTTTAATTTTTCATGTGGCGTGTCATACAAGATGGCTACTTCCTCCTTGGCATCTAGTTCATCAACAGTGAGGTCAGTATGCCAATATCTAAACATTTTGAAGAAAACTAAAGATAGGAATAAAATACCTTCATCATATATCAATGTCAGTTTGTGCAATTAACAGACAATGGGTAGTTTTTCTTATCAAATCAAATAATTCAGTTCTAACGTCTGAGTGACAAACAACAATGAACAGTCCTCTGCAAGTGCAGTACACAACAAAATCATTGGATTAATACCGTGCAGCTTTAATGATAAATCCATTCTTACTTCAGAAAGTAAGCAGTGGTCACAAATTTCAACTGTTCCCATTTGTCTACAATTAGCATGTACTTTGGTTGCTTTGATGTTTCGCAAAGGACCTTGAATGTCTCCCAGTAAGTCCAAAAGTCTTTGTATTTTGCCATCAACTGTTCAAGGGACCCAATCTGAAGGACTAATGAAGTGAATAGACTTCCACCTGAAAATCACATGACTACATGTTGACTACAATATATTTAAGGCTACAAATTAAACCCCCCATTAAATCTAGACTGTTCAAATGTAAAGGCCAGGTTTATTGAAATCTTTTGATCCTCAATGCTCCCTTGAATAATAAGTTCATCATGCTTTGTATATCTCTGTTTGAATATGTAATACTTTTCTATTTTATATTATATTTACCTTCTTCCGCCTCTTCCCCTTCCTCTTCCAAGATGACAGCAAGTCTATCTATTTTATCTTTCATTTCCTGGTACCCCTTATAGTCCACCCAATGTTCTGATATAGTACTATCAATGTAGGAAAGAACTCTCAATATTTCCTTTTTTCTGGCTCTTTGGCAAGCATTTCAGTAGCTTGATCTGGAAGGTTTTATATAAGGAAAATTTCGAGTATCACTCAGTTTTTAAAATGCAAGTAAAACCGAAAATTCGAAAATGTCAAATTACTACCACCATTTATAAAACCTTTTATAATGCTATGTATAAAATAAAGATAAACTAAATATTGACATGTCAAACTATTATAATAGACCTACATGCATAAATCTAAGTTAGATCTCTGATATGATATTGTTTACTGGTATATAAACATAATAAAACGAATGAAAATGACCAAGCAAGTTAAGTTAAAGAAAGTTTAGTTACTCATTGGACCAAGCGTTACCTCCTCTTCGTCCCAGTCAAACTTATGGAGTGGAGTGCATATAAACACAATAAAACGAATAAAATGACCAAGCAAGTTAAGTTAAAGAAGGTTCAGTTACTCATTGGATCAAGCGTTACCTCTTCTTCGACCCAGTCCCTGAGCACCAAACACATAAACCAGATGACTTGTCTACCCAGCCTCTTAACGCTCCCTGTCCACAGTGCCAGTAGTTGTAGCCTTAATCTGTAAAGTAGAAACCATTACATACATCCAACATTTATGTCATACAATATTATAGAAAGAATAACAGTCCTGAACGATTATCACATTCCATAACATACGAACATTAATTGCTATACTGTAGTGTATAAAATTTATCCAATTGTTTTTGTCACACTCAATGTTACATTGCCTTCCTTAATGTTCTCCCAAACTCTAATTTTTGTTCAATTTCTGCCAGTTATCACCAGAACAGTCGCTGGCTTAATTTCTTCATCATATGATTAACCTTTTCTTGGAGTATGTACAACGTCCCCCCGTGTTCAATCTATTGACATTACATGCTTTTTATTTTACCTGACAGCCAGGTCTACGGCTTTGGGATCAGCAGTAGATAATAGGCAGATTACAGGAGGGACTTCGCCTATTTCCCCATCAGAGTTCCTGACCTTCCAGAGCTTGGGGTCTTCATTTTCCAGGAGAATAATATCTTCACCTTCCATAATGCTGAACTAAATGGGATCAAAAGAAACCAAAAAGATGTTTTGAATATCCATGAATAAGTGAAACATTGGTCATTCAATGACTATTTTTATTCTTGTATCGTTTATTTTGACTAGGGGTTGCATTAAACAGTATTTGTATTTCGGGAATGGTTAAACTCGATTTGTCATTAAAATGAAGAAGATATTCATCTAGAAGAGACCAATCTAATTTAATATCAATTTAACATAAAAAATATTAATTTTAAGCAGATTTCATATTTAACAATTTGCGATTATTTACATTTTCTGTTTTGTACGAACATAGAGCCGTTGCTGGCTTTGGGTTGGATAAAGGCTCCACTCGTAGGTCTACTGGAACAATGTCACCACATCTGTGGAAAAGACTGTCCACCTTTCCTTGCCAGTGGAGGTAGGCCGTCAGAGTCTCCTATATGATAAAACATCAGAGGGGATATATAAGAAATATAAACAAGCTACAGATGGTTTGTACTGTAGCATTAAAACGGGGTAGTCCGGAAGTAAGAGCAGAGACATTTATATGTCAATACCACTGAAGCAATCAGCTTGAAACTTGGTACAAATGTTTCCCAAACAAGACATTTACACTAATAACTCAACAATTTGATTGATCGCAATCATGGTTGCCATCGTAACCTAATGTGACGTAACACGGGCGTAACATTTGTTTTATCACTATTATCATTGGACGCTGATTCGACGGTGGATTCTTTAAATAGTCGTTTGATCATCGGTTCAGGTGTGGTTTGTTTCATGCTAAAAAGGTGTTCTATATTCAATCCCACTCCGAGCATTTGGCTTACTATACTCTATAAAGTATTCTCTTTGAACCGTCACCGCTCTATATGGAATGTTACCAACTATTAACAAAATATTCTTGGTCTGTCAACATGTAGCTGTCTAGTAATTTCAGAGAAGCTTAAATAATCAGGTCAACGATGTTCTACATGTGGCATATGTGAATACAAACCCCAAGGCTATATTTAGAGGTTATGTCACTATGACGTGAAATATGCCTGAGTTCTCCCAATATAGGCCGACCTTGGGAGGCTCTATATTTGGGCAAGAACGAAGGCATATTTCACGTCATAGTGACATAACTGATGTATTACATGCCTTTGTTCCCATGGTTACTTTGTATCAATGACGTGACGTCATGATATTATCATGGTTATTAAAGAAATCTAATATCAAAACGAGGTAAGCGGGCTATATCGGTTGAAGATCACAGTAGAGTTTCCCATAGGTGGCCATTATAACATTTTACCCTGTATCTTATTAACGATTAGTATCCAAGCCTAGTGCAACATACCACAGTGTTCGGGAGAGACTCGCCTAGCCTGCTATAACAATCTTACCATGGGTTGTCCACCGAATTTTTGAAATAAATAAACTTGAAGACACTAACCCCCTCTATCGTCAGATTTCTCAGAGAATTCTGGTAAAATCACCAAGGTCAAAATCACTCCGCCGCCAGCTTAAAATGAGATTTCCCACTGAATTCTGACATGTTTTCAGATAAATTAGGACCTACCCTATAAATATTTATTCCCGATTCACTTCCCAAACGCTAGATGGCGCTCCAATGGGGTAGGAAAGGAGAAAATGACTTTTTATTCAGAAAACCAAATCACTAACGGTAACCGCTAATGTCCTTACTCAGGACTATATCCATCGGGGTAATCGGGCAATATCGGTGGATATAGCTCGCTAACTTTCCCATTGACTTCCATACAAATGCTTCGCTAGGTATGTAATACATGATAATATGACACTAAATGGATATGGTAAGCTCGAATACCATAGAATAGAAAAAGTTGATAAACGAAAGTTAACATTGCTTATATTTTTATCATTAAATAAACACAAACGTAACTTTGCACTACCATGTCTCCTGAACCTCCCCCCGCTCCCCTTCATATGCTTTCAATTTTTAAAGATAACGTATTCTTGACTCTGCAGTGGTAATGCAAGAACATGCGTAAAGATACAAATATTGGATGGAAACGTATAAACAGGCTTTAAGACATATAAACCAATTACGGGAAATTGGTGGTTTCAGCTACTTTTTATTAATTGAATTTGAGTGGTACCTTTATTTCTTTCAGCATGTTATTCACACTCTCTCTGTCGCCCTGTATTTGCATCAGCTGGAATGTTCTAGAGAGTCTTGAAAGACTCTTCTCCATCCATAGTTCACACTCACTAGCTTCGTTGAAAAACTGTTTGACAATAATATTTATTAGTAATCAGTTTTGGGTTGTACAAACTGTGTGTGACACAGTTTATTTGAGAAAACACGATATCTACCAGGTCGTTCAATAAGTTCACGGAAAAATGCTCTAATTTCAAAGATTTTTGATATTTTCCCATCAAATTTTCACACAATATTTAAAAAATACTTTCTGATCGATTCGTAAAATCTCAACATCTCTAATTAGATTGGTCAAAAATAAGGGTTACTAAGGTAACTTGACTTTTGGGTAGGCGGGTCACTTTTTACGTCACACAATTTACCATTACAGAAATCTATCAATATGTGCAAAGGAAGGATCCTTATTTTTTATTTGTTCTTATTCAAGTTACAAATTTTTGAGGGAAAATTGATAATCATCGTTTTCACAAACATTTCTGAAATCGTGGAAGTCAATGCTGTACCAGTGGATCAGAAAATCAACAAAGTAATGCTATGGTAAGTTGATTAAAACTTCTATTCAGCCGAACTCTAAATTTTTCCATCAGAATAATGCAGCCGATCACACTGCTAATATTGTGCAGGAAACCATCACAAATAACTGGCAAGAAGATGGCAAAGCTGCCCCAAGTTACATACTCTCCATATGAGACAACTTTGATTTTGCTGTTTTCACTAGGATGAAGGATCAGCTTAGAGGTGCACTTTATGAAACAATGAAACTTCTTTCGACTGCAGTCCAGATTGCCCTTCAAACAAGTTTTCGAGATGGCTTCAGAGCATTGTCTCGTCAATGGCTTGAATGCAACCTACTGTGCACTAAACATGAGGGAGAATATTTCTAAAACCTTATGGGACAATATTATTTTTACATTAAGTAATATCATGTAAAAGTAGAAAGCGGAGAAGAAATTCATGTGATATACTCATAAATTGCCTACTATTCTGTTGTTTTTCTAATGAATAATGTGACGTAAAAAGTGCCCCGCCTACCCAAAAGTCAAGTTACCATAGTAACCCTTATTTTTGACCAATCAAATAAGAGATGCTGATATTTTAAGAATCAATCAGAAAGTATTTTTTATACATTGTGTGAAAAGGATGATTCTCGGTTTGGAGAAAGAAGTTCATCACTCTAATTGAGCGTTATCCCTACTTCTGACCAATTTGATTTTTTTTACATAATATAGATTTGAATGTCTTCTTTTGAATAGTCTTAAATTAATTTGGGTAATATTTCTAGATTTTCCATCAAAAAATTACTAGTGAACCACCCAACGTCGCTTTTATGATTCGTACCACTTTTTTAACTTGATGTATTGCATATTTCCGTGGGTCAATTTGAGAAAAAAGACAAACAAAGCATACAGGGATATGTCATGAGCATATCATGAAAAAATCCTTTCAATATGTTTTTAAGAAACATTCGAAAATGATTCATTCTTAAATCGTGTCCCATTTTCGAGATATTCTCTTACATTTTATACACATTCATCCAATAGAGGGCCTCTCAAAAGAGCGACTTCAGATTTTTGGCATTTTACAAGTCATATATAAAATTGATTAATCATCTATTAATTAGATGTCACCACTTGCTATGAACTATGCTAGTGGTGAATATAAGCTAGTCAATTGCTGTGAGCTGGAGAGGGTGTATTTATATCACTTCTATCCTACCACGTGATTACGTGGTCGATGGGGATTTTCTGCTAATAATACACTGAAAACTGCCTGATGAATCTATACAATATATAGTAGAACACTTGGAATAAACATGTATGTAAAATCTAGTATAAGCTTACATTCAGAAATATGGAAATAAAAAAACGTCCTTCCTTTACAGCTTCACTGTAGCCTGTACTCCTTTAAAGGGAAACATCAATGAGTTAAAAATAAAAAATCGGTGTGGAGAATGGACGGGGAATCGAAACACAATTCAGCGCGTAGGAGGTGAGGAACTTGCCACAAGATTACGCCTCTTTCTACCTCTCTCTTCCTGATTTAAACCTTAAAATTCGCCCAAGCATCGATCAACGTGGTTATTATAGCTATAAATAATACGTTCATTGTTCAACCAATCTACAATAAGCCGTTGATGAGAGATAGTCTAGAGAGATTAAACAACACTTAGAAACACCTTAGAAAAATGGCGCCCGTATATGATTTTTTGTGTTCTTTTCTGTTTATCAATACAATTTATATTTTGACACGATTGCGATAAAACGTATACCTAGAAATGTATGGCTAATTACCATTAGCGACTGGTAAATGTAAAAGTTGTTTGGTTTATCATATAAGAATCTGTAATAAAACCTCGATTGCCAAAATGAAACCATCGATTATGTTCAGTATGTTGCTATATATAATAAAAGTTTCCAGTCTTTTTTCAGTTGCCATTAAACAGAGTCATTAGTCATTTTGGATTTGCTAGATTGATGATGGCATGGGTTGTTCTTTTTCAATTTCAGCAATAAGTTAATCCTTTTTTATGAACATATTGCTACCTACAACCTTTGACATCATTAATCTAGCCAATAATCAGGTTCTTTGATGTACCAAATGATGGCAGGATTTATTGGAAAATAAATAACTTTTCATGTCCCCCATGCAGTATCGCTGAGCGTGAATTGATCACTCAAACTACGGATTTTATTTGCCCAAATAGCCTTGGATAACTGTGGTAACTAAAGTAACTGGAAAATGTAATAACGTTTTCGAACCTTTAGTGACATGAACAAAGGATTTTTAGCTTTTTCGATATAAGCTTAATTCACAATTTTCAGAAATTCACATCAGTTGATTATGCTTTGCACGCCGCTTAAAAGCGCCATCAAAGCGCTGTTGGTGTGAACTTAGCGTTAACAAGTTACTTGGGGGAAGGGGAACAAGGGAGGGGAGTTTGGTAGACATTTCCACCAGAATGATGAAAGTATTCATCGATGTCATATCAAATATTTATGTCATATTGAACATTTATCTCCGCGCTAAAATACCGACGATTGCAAAGGTAGTTTAATCCGGTAGCCGACAGGCGTTTCTTGCATTCGTGAATACAATTGCTAGTCCATTTCACTGTTGAATTGCGTCAGTAAAACCTAAAAATTAAGAAATCACAATATCATCATGCAATAATATATGGAAAAATATGTTCCTATTGTACATGAATGACATTTGAATAACTTGGATTGCTTCTAGTTTGGCTTATAAAGTGTGTGGCCTCTTATATATGGATGCTTCTCTGCCATGTTATTTTCAATAAGATTTACATGGCTGAAATTCTTCAAATTACAAGAGGTCACAGTCTTATTGCACAAAAAAACGAGAAGATCTGAAATATACAAATGTCATTCATGTACAATATGAATCTACTTTTCCATATATTATTGCACAATGGTCTCCCGATTTCTTATTTTTGGGGTTCTACTGACGCAATAAAACAGTGAAATGGACTCTAACCTTATATTCGCGAATGCAACTAACGCATCTCGGTTACCTGATTAACCCAGTATTCTATGACTAACTCATTTAAATGTGAATGGAATAGTGGCAGGTACTATTCGTATTTACATGGGTCTCCAGTGAAATAGAAGGTTAATCCGGTAGCCGAAAGGCGTTATTTGCATTCGCAAATATAAGCTAAGACTATGATTTGGGAATGAAAGATTTCATCTACCGGATTAACATACTTTTCTATGGGCAACTCATTTAAATATTAAAAGTACCTGCCAATATTCCATTCATATTTTAATGAATTGCCCATAAAATAGTAGGTTAATCCGGCAGCCGACAGGCGTTAGTGGCATTCGCGAATACAAGATCATTTATTTTATAATTTGGGAAATATATATTTTCACAATATTGAAATAGATGGTGGTTCAAAGTGGAATACATATCATACAAAAGTGTCACAGATATGACTAGCAGGCATATACTTTTAGTATATTAGTCCATTTGTCACCCCTATACATCCAATAGTGAACCTGGAATTTGTTAAAAGTACGATGTTTTATGGTCGATTTATGATAATAAGGGTTTTCTGAAGTGATTTAACTGGGTTGCCGAAAAAGTTTGTTTGGGGAAAAAATTATATAGGCTGATTAGGGAGGGGTGCAATCGCTTAACATGGCGTTGACTATTGACTTAGCGTTGGGATACCACCATATACCTGGTATGTTACTATGGTAATAGATACCAAAATTTTCCCCAAAGTTATTTTTTGGCAACCCAGCTAAATCACTCCAATAATCCCTAATGATAGTATTTACACAGAAAAACATCATACTTTTAAATATTCATACGTTCAGAAAATGACAAATGGACTATATGGTCTTTCTTTGCATGACTTCGCAGAACATATCAAAACCCTGGGATCCACAGGGTAACAGTAACAGTAAGTACATTTCTAAGTTCATGCTTCAAAGTTGTCAAAGTTGTAAAAGGGTAATCCTTTTATGAGTACGAAAGCGTACTTTTTGTTGAATAGCCTTTCCCAGCTGCTAATCTTGTGAGTGCATCGTGCATTCAACGAATTGTATTCACTTATTAACCAATCAGTGCCAGGAACAAAATGCACGCTGACTTGTTTTATGAAGCATGCTACATACAAATGTTACGCTTTTGCTCATTTACTTTGCGAACTATTTATATAATATACATTACCAATTGACTGCAAGATTTGAGTGAACAAGTACCTCGTATTTTTCATTTTTCGATATTTTGTGATTTGTTGGCTGATGAGTAACTTGATATTTTATGTCTAAATGTATCAAAGTGGTTCATAGTTATAGTTTTATTGTACACCATAAACTGTTAACGTTTTAGAAATAGAACACAATATATGATTTGATAATAGGACAATACATGTAATAATATGTCTAAACTCGGTGGTTTGTTTGTAAGTTTGTTTTTCTAACACCTCAATAACTTACATTCAATGCGTATCTAATCCTCATAATTTACAAATAAATCAGTTATTAAATGCCCGATTTTCGACAGGTAAAGGTAATATATGAACCCTCGGTCCCCACTGTTCCTCTTGTAGATATATTATACATGTATAACCTTCTCAGATATATCCTGTATATTAAATACATTAAATAACATATATATGTTAGTCTCAGCCTAGACAGTATACATTAATTTTATTGGATAATGCGTAAAATTCGAATGAACTTGAAATGAAATTCAACATCCAAAATATGTTAATTTGATCATTCACCGTGTAACTCAAAGCATATGCATGGCCTATTTGCCTTAAAATACGATTGTGATTATGATTTCTGTTCTCCACAAGTAAAATCTAGAAACATAACAGAGTTAAGTTACACGAAATTCAGCTAACTTGAACACGAAGTCTTTCAATTAACTTCAAGTGTCTGTTCGATGCTCATGGGGTCAAAATACACTTTATACACGTTCTAAATGAAGTAAATACCACTAACATGTCGAACCAGTAACCGTTCTTGTAAACATTTTTATAAATGTGAAATTTAATGTTCAAAATCGGGAACACAATTTCAAATCTCTATCATGACATCACGAACAGGACGAGTTTAGAATATGTTGTTGGAGTTCATAATCTCCGAACGTGCTTATAAAGTGTTAGTGTAATTGATTGCAACTGCATTCATTGAAGTGAGGAATTGATTCAGAGATGACTACTTTGGAGTCACGTTTTTTCCTCCGATAAACCCCAAAAAATAATACCTAAATTAGAGCCTCCGACCCAGCGGTACGTTTTCACATAGCTAGTCATGCAGAATTACTTTCTGGCCAGTCAGAACACAATATAGAAAATAAACACGCTCAGTTGATAGTATTACCTAACATAAGGCGTCTAAAATCTTGTAACCAAAAGGCATTGAACCATGAGGTGATTTCGGTAAGTGTCACTCCTTTCTGGCCAATCAGAACACGGTATAACATGAACACTTTTGAATTTACATTCGAGTTGCATAACCGCATTGCCGATAAAAATCCATAACCGGTTCTGTTTGTGACGTCATGTTTTTTCCCGGGAAATCTTATTTTGCCACTAATGAACAAATAGAATGAGTTAAGAGTCTGTTGGAATACAGTTTAATCGTTGATTCATTTCTATAGGTTTATTAGAATTATTACAACGATCGTTCATCAAACGAGTCCTATATTCAATATCTATTCGTTGGACCTATTCTTTAAGTGTAACTATATTCTTTAAAAGTATCTGCTTAGTGCTACGTTAACATATATTCATTATTTTTATCCACAAAATATCAAACGTTAATGCACAACTAGCCGAGACATGGCGCCCCTCGTCCAGAGTGAAACACAAGGTCCTCATTCTTTAATAATTATATTTCAATTATTTAGTTAAATGCTTAAATGTTGGAAAATGAGTCGCTGTGACGTCATATCTGGCACAGCAATTTCAGAGTCACTGCAATGAATAGAAACATCACAAGGATCTTAAGACTAAATAAATAAGCTATTTAGGGATGAATATAACATTCGGTGAAATCCGTGATATCGTTATATCATTCGTTGATCGTCAAAGCTGCGCCCATTCGCTACCCTCATCTGTGAAACTATCGATATAGAATTGAGTCTCTATTTTCTATTTCAAAACATTGGGATTTACGCGCACAAGAGATGCTATGTAGTAGGCTATTACAAAAATCAAAAAATCGCCACCAAAATTCCTCGGAGCAGGCAGATATAAGACCAGACTGGGCATACACAAAATGTATTGTATGTGCTCCTTAGGTTGCACTCGGGTGCTATCAAAATCGAACACACACAAGTATAAGATACACAGCATCATGATAAACCATTACATCTCATTTCTTCTCAGCCCTGAGATGTTTCAGGTGAAACAGAAAGATGCTATGAGTATCAGAATGGATACACAGAGATAATTAAGGGATGAGTGACAAAGGGATGTTAAAAACAGGCGGCTATTGCAATTGATATTTTAATGTAACTTCCGAATGTAAGAATCTTTTCATCGATAAAAAGAACATCTTAGATATGTTCTATGTGAGTGTATTTGAAAATGTAGTACATAGCTAGTTCCATCTATAAAGATGTCTGATGACAAAAAGCTCAATTTTCCTTGATGTCACGGTCAATGGAACTTTAACACGTGAACTAATGTTTTTTATTTTTTTGTTTTAAAGTCACTTATAGCAAACCTAATCTAACAATTATCTCACGATATGCTTATGACATATTCATGTATACGTCGTTTGTATTTTTTTTTTAATCGACCCACGAAAATATGCAATACATCAAGTTAAAAAAGTGGTACGAATCATAGAAGCGACGTTGGGTGGTTCACTAGTAATTTGTTTATGGAAAATCTAGAAATATTACCCAAATTAATTTATGTCTATTCAAAAGAAGACATTCAAATCTATATTATGTAAAAAAATCAAATTTGTCCGAAGCAGGGATAGCGCTCAATTAGAGTGATGAACTTCGTTCTCCAAACCGAGAATCATCCTTTCATGAGAAAATGTCAAAAATCCTTGAAATGAGAGCCTTTTTCCGTGAACTTATTGAACGACCTGGTATGTGTACAGTCGGTGTATTTACTACAAACACTATTACACTACTTTGGCGGGGTTTAAATTTCAAATTTTCCCCCAAAATCTAAGTTGACGAAATTAGATATTTACATACTCATCACACTAACCTATGATTTGACTGAAAACACTTATTTTCTGAAAAATAAGATCTACTTAAATGGTAGTGATTCGCCCCTATACACTATTATTTATTTAAAGTGTACAACACTCCCTACCTGGTGATAGGCAGCTGCGTTATCTAAATGAGTCTGCATACATTTCATCATCTTTGAAACCCAATTCCAGTTGTTCTTTATCGCAAATATACATCTCTATAACAAAAACATTGATGATTTAACCCGTGCACCATTTTGATTTCAATTAAATAGTTCTTTATTGAAAATTGAAAAGTCGTGACACCTTGCGCCTTTTTAAATAATCTTTGTTCAGAATATATCAACTAAAACGTGATGCATTTCCCCATTTTTGAAACGAAAACCCAGTTGTTCCCTGCAAAAACACAACGCTATACAAAAATATCCATGATTTAACACGTATGCTATTTTAATTTCATTTAAATAGCTCTATATTGAAAATTGAAAAATCGTGACACTGTGCGCCCTTTTAAAGAGTGTTTGCTCTGAATATATCAACTAAAAAGGTGACACAATTCAACAATTTTGAAACCAAAATCGAGTTGTTCCTTATTACAAATATACATTGCTAAAACAAATATATTGTTGTTTTAACACGTGCACCATTTTGATCCCATTTAAACATCTCTTTCTTAAAAATTGATAAATCGTGACACCCCATACCCTTTAAAAGAGTGTTTGTCCCGAAATATAACAAAAAGATGATGCTAGACTTACCTGTGAAGATCGCAACATTGTGTCATTGTTTGGAATCGATTCATCGGAGGATTCACTTATACTAACTGATGCCCTTGCTAATTCATTTGCCCTACTGTCCAAACTGTGTGATAAGTCCTGAATAATAAGTTAGAATAACTTAAGGAATAGTTATTTGAATCAAATCAAAATAGGCTTTAATTGGAGTAGATATGAATGGTTTTATATTCGTGAATGTGTTAGAGGAGATATTTCTAGAATGAAACTAGTACTGTTTAAAGGAATAATGAGAGTTCATTCAGCCATGTTTGTGTTTTGTTAATCAATTTTTGATAGGCTTATATTGGGATGATCAATATCGTATGCTTTAGTATCAGATGGAGACATTCTTGGAGAGGGTTTAGGGTTAATGGCCGAAGTTCAGATATTGTTAGGGTGTCAATTCTGGGCATACATATTACTTACGTTTATAACTTCTTCAAACTTAGTAATTTCCAACACTGACTCGGAACAAGAAAGGGTCTTAGCAGATAAGCTCTGAAAGAGATGAAATTAAAAGGTTAAACGTTTATCCGGGAACGCTTTTCTTGTCTCTCTGAACATATGCTACATACAGTATACTCATTTGATCCAAGTTTGTACATTTAAGAAACAGTATGACATTTTTTGGGTATAGTTTTTTATGTATTGTATTACATTATAAAACACATTTTTCTTATGCATTTAGTGATACAAACCAACAATTCCGAATATTTATCTTGGATAGCATCAGCATCATGGCTCGCGTCATTCTAAAAGTAGAGTTCATAAAAGGTTAGACATTTTAATAGTAGAGTTCATAAAAGGTTAGACATTCTAAAAGTAGAGTTCATAAACGGTTAGACATTCTAAAAGTAGAGTTCATAAAAGGTTAGACATTCTAAAAGTAGAGTGCACAAAGGGCTGGACATTGTATAATATCACGGACAGACACTTTTGTAATATCTATCGCCATTCTTTCTCAAATGCGATCTACTGAAGCTACATTTATATGAGTATTTAAAATGTTTGTTTTTTCATATTGCACGATGAAGATTAATAATGAACGTTTGAGAAAGCCAAATTTAAAAATCTCACACAATCCTCAAATAACTGTCCGAGATGTTTAAACCTAATGTAAAAATGAAAATGTGAGTTGTCTGTGTTCGATGGGACATCCATGAGTGGTCTTAAAGATTTAAAATTTACAAAATAGACCTGGTTATTTTCAATGACTGACTCCACTTCCGCCTTGTAGCTGTTTATCATTCTATCCCGGCGTCCCTGACCCTGCAAAGCATTACGGGATCCCTGCAAACAGCTCCCATAGTCAAAACTGTCAAGGATTTTCTGAAAAAATATTGAAATTAGGTATTTTAGAGAGCTGATAATCGGTCTTCATTTTTTATCTAAATGTTCCATTTTACAAATCGTTAAACCCGTATCAAGCGATTGGTACAGTGGATGGGTCAATGTAAACATCAACTGTAACCTATTGAGATCAGGCGACCTCATTTCATAAATCAAATGAGGTATATATATTGTACCCGCCCTATCTCTGAAAGGGTGTACAATTTAAACTATAACACATGTATATACCTTCTCATCTCGTATCCATTGCAGACAGCTCTCTGGTGTCCTGGAATCCATCAGTCAATCGAATCCTAAAATTATTAGATCACAATCATGTACAGGGTGGTCAAAAAACGGCAACCCTAATTTTTCCTCATATCTTTGTCATTTTTGAAAATTTTGCCTAATGTTTGGCACACATGCATAATTCAATTTCGTACTACACTATGTTATTTTATGAACATTGGACCGTTAGTCCCATTTGGCCAACATCGTGCTGTAGGCAAACCTGCACACGTTTTCCAAACCTGCATTCCTCAGCAAGTATGGCCTGAACGACACATGTGATCTTAATTTTGAGGTCAAATGCTGTTCCGGTGTTATTACCCTACACTGTATCTATGGGGTATCCTCACTGGTAAAGATTAAATGGGCCCATATCTTGGCTATGGGTATCCATTCATTGTCTGTTGTACTGCTGATAATGTGGTCATTGAAGTGGTCCCAAAGCCATTATTGTGCATCATTGGGTGTTTGGGGTATGGTTCTGTCTTGTTGGAACTACCGCTGCTGCGTATCCCCCTGGGTTCACCTAAAGTCCCCAAGAACTCCATGGGAATAACAAAATAGAGTTGATGTTGGCAGTTATCGCATATCCGTTGGCATCATCAAAGGTAAATGGAGTTCATCTGAATAACAGACCAGTTCAGACAGCCCGAATCTGGGGCATGTTGCTTAAAATGCAGTAATATTGTGACAATCAGTGTGATGGTCATGAAATATGGTAGGTTGGTAGAAAATTGAATGATGTACAATTGTGTAAAATATCGGGGAGTTATTTTAAAGAATGACAAAGATATTAGGAAAAACTAGGGTTGCCTTTTTTTCAAAAGCCTAGTATCACAAAATGTACATGCATATGGCCTACACTAACTCGCACATTTTGAACGTACAAACATGTATCAAAATTACAAATAAGTATCGTACCTATTAACATAGTACTATAATTTCGAATGAAACAATTAATTAAACTGATCGTGTGGTCATTTCATCAAATACTTTCACAACGTGACGTAACCTGATGACCTCTACACCTGTCGTTCAAAAACGCCTCTGGTTATATTCGCTATTATTAATAAAATAGTTGTAATATGTACAATATATGTAGTTATTTCGTGACACCATTGGTCGACATATTAGAAATAGTTCATGACTATTTACATGTTGAGGAATGCGTAACATGATGTTACCTACATCGCCCCGCTTTTGTTTATAGATCAGATCGAGGTTACGATTTTATCCAGCAGCACCTTATTTGGAATTATGGTTGGAAGTGGTCCTCTGCGTTGAAGACATTTTGCATTTTTGCATTTTTAAAGTAAATCATTGGTATAATACCTTCATTTAACAGCCCAATGTCCCTGATCGAGATTTAGAGAGAAACATTGGGGTTCTAGCATAATAACGCCAATTTTCAAACAAACAAAAGACGCTGAGAAGGCATTTATTCCTAGCAGTGCGAAAGTGATGACAAAAGCAAAAAATGTAGTTTGATAAAAGCCTTTTAATACGCCGTTAATGTGCAGGCCTGAAATATGAGAAACAGCGATTTGAAAATAAAGAACAATTTGGGCTGATTTCAAAAATCATTTGGATTTGAACCATTGGCCCTTCGGTAAAACTAGCATTTATGACAATAGAGCAAGCCACGATAGAACAAACAAATTGATTTTGACAATCATTAGTAATTTTTAGATGTTTATTGTCATATTGTGTTGAATTTCAAATTAACAAAAAATAAATTGAACACGGTCTTAAATAACAATCGTAAAATGAAAAAGATGCATGTACGATACCTGTTCAAACACTTCTGCGTTGTAGAAATAAATCTCAATCGGCAGTTTCAATCTAAAAACTTATCCGTGCCCGACAAAGTAAGCTTACCCGTCCAAGTTCGACTACGAACAGATATGAGCAAATGAACCAATTATATTAATAAATATGGTCATTATACTTATGATACCTTACGATTTTATTTAGGTCTTTGAAATATCTTCTTATATGTTCATATTTCTTGGTCAAGCGTCCCATGGAAAAGAGAACATTAAAAAACTTGAGTTGTTCGCAACTCACATTTTACATAGATAAAATGAAAAATAGGCATCGTAAACGAGGTGAATTTTTACATATTGTTAATTTATTTAGAAGGGCACATACAAACATGTCCGTTGATGGTGCTATATCATTTAATGTAATTACTTTGACAGAATAATTACATTCTCATCGCTTCACGATGTATTCTATTTTCGATGTACCTTAAAATGACATCAACTTTTCGCAATTGTAGCTCTATACGGAGCTCTAAATGATGGGAATGTTTTGCAATTCCATGTTAATTTCATCCCGTTTTTTGTCATGGTAACCAAAGAAACACAGGGACTGTAATATCATTTACACAGGTGATAGATTCTCTCGCAGATTTCGTCACTATACAGTGTCATATTGTGCTATATCAGAAGATCAGAACATCCTAGACATTGTCTAAAACGTGCTTATCAAACAATCATTATCAACGCGTCACTAGTATTTATTTCAAATCACTGGATCCAGGGGGAGCATGGGGCGGCCCTTGGTAAGCCCCAAAATTTATTAGGGCCTCAGAAATGGGGCTTTTTGGCATAACTTGGCCTTTTAGGCCTGTTTTGAGCCAAATTATCAAAAATGGATCGTATATTTTCTAAAGGGCCCAATTTATGGGTTAGGGACCCGGAAATTTTTCGGCTTGACTTGACATGTGCCCCCCCCCCCCTCAGCTTCTAGATTCAGCAGTGCAAATGTTATTAAATGTTTATTTAAAACGAACAAATCAATAGAGTTGTCTTAAAATCAGAAGAAAAAATCAAATGATTAAACACAGACAGAGCATTAACCTTTCTCACTGTGTCTAAACGTACTCTCTATAATCTATGGTTAGCGTTGTTCTTGTATCGCGAATTGGGTAGATGCGTCAACTTGATGAGACATACTAGTAATGTTAATACCACATGTGTCACTATGACCTGAGGAATGATAAGTACAATTAGGTAAGTTTGGATTTCAATTCTCAGTAAAACATTTGAACGGCAATGAAATAATGAGTGTTTATTTATTTAATAAGGAAAGACTATTACATGGAAAATGAAACATATCTCTTGTTATTTGTGAACGGTGGTGGTACAGATGGTCACTAACACACAAAACTAATCATATATCAATATGATTATGGTTACAGTTGTGTAATTAGTATAGAACGTACACACATGACTAAATATTGATGATTTAAAGGTGACATATATATTTTTATTGATCATGGATATGACCAAATATTTCCGAAGTGGACACCCCCGATTTTCGTTTTTTTTTTTGTATTTTAGGTACTGCATGCATATAATAGACTCTTCCAACCTTGACCTTTGTAGCAAACATGACCGAGATCTCTAAAGATCAGGATCTCCAAAGAGTATCTTGGTTAAATTCCTTCGGTAGAAGATCAATCTTGTCTCGCTACTCAGATTGCCTACCGATCAAAATATGACACGGAACAACGGATACTGTATTTCAGATCTATCCTTTCTCTGTTAATTATTTGAAATTCAGATTCCGTTGTCATTGAAAATATGGAAGACGGTATATTGCGGCGATTCACGACCACATTTGATCAAAATTGGGATTTCATATAATACATCACCACAAGAGCCTATAATACATGAACAGAATCAGCGAGGATAAGGTCCCATGAAATGAGAACTAAGCGATTAAAGAGTTGAAGCGACGGTTACGTCCGCCATTTGGGACAACGGTATCTGACTTTACCGTTGTCAGGGTGTTCGGGTGTATTTTTAATGAACTACTCATAAATCTGGTGATTACGTAACGGATGTTAGGACGTTGAACTGAAAACGTTGTGCGAAACTTGTTTAATATCGCGTGGTACTGTTTTCGACGAAGGGACAGGTCACAGTATAGAAAGGGTAGTTTTAACGAGAACCTACTGCAAACTTTTATAAACGCCTAGAAATTGTGTTGTCACGTCCTTTAGAAAATCCGTTACAGTTGATAATCCAAAAACAAGTATAAGGTATATAATACCGTAAAATGCGTAGATACAGTGCGCGATATTCATCCCATGCAGACAGATCGCCAAAAATTACATTCGTATGATGCGAGACTCGACATTCACCAGGAAAGTAGAAACATTTGTCACCCTGATGAAACAAAATAATTTTTTACTGCTTAATAAATGGTCAAGGACAGCTACATTGAGTTCTATAAGCATGAGAATAGCATGACGTCTTGATATTTCAAGGTAACTCATTCGAAAGGCAATGGCGGTGATCGAACTTACGACGTAAAGATAAAACCGTAAGGGGAGGCATCAAAAGATCAATGTCTGATAGAAAACTAAATAAGTCTAGTTTGGGGGGAGGGGGTCAAAGCTATTTCAGTTTGCTATCCGACAAATTTCAACATTTCCAATCTTTTGCAATTTTGACTCGAAATGCCTTGGAATGGTTTCAAAATAAAAACTTTACCAGATGCCTTCTTCAACAAGATGCATGAAACATGGAATATTATGTCTATTGTTGTTGGCACATGTTTTAAGAATTATAAATAAGTTGCCTCCCCTAATGAAACATTTGTAGATTTCTTTGGAAAACCAAGAAATATACATCACATATCGAATTTTGCAAAACAAAAAAACGTGATAAAAAGTAAGACCTGTAGGTCAGATTCCCCCTGGTAGCATTAACATTGGTCTCACACATGTCATACAATTAATACTTGAAATACAACTATCATTCGAACTTATGATCGGACATAAGTATGATGTTACTTTATTAATATTAAATTGAAGTACACATTATACTTATGTTCAATCAAAGGTTTGAGTTGGTTGAGTTTCAAATATTAATTGTATGACTTATACAAAAAAATGCTACCAGGGGGAATCGGATCAATATGAGATGTATATTTCTTAGTTTTTCAAAGAAATCTACAAATATTTCGTTGCGGTTTTATCTTTACATCGTCATTTCAATCACCGTCATCATTTTTCAAACGAGTTACCTTGAAATATCAAGACGGCATACTACATACTTATAGAACTTAATATGACTGTCATTCATCATTTATTAAGCAGTAAAAAATAATTTGCATCATGAGATGCTACTTTCCCGATGAATGTCGAGTCTCACATCATACGAATGTAATTTTAGGCGATCTGTCTGCATAGGGTAGATATTAGAGATTTTTCGCACAACGATTTTAGTACAACGTCCTAAAATCCGTTACGCATTACGCATTCCTCCCTCAGCCCCTTGGCCATTATTGTTTCTAATCCCCAAGACTCATTTTTATTCATTACATAAACTAACAGACAGAACGAATATTTTCTTTTATTGTAAATGTTTTAAAATTCAATATAAGACGTGGACTCACATCAATACATTAGCTACCCTGATTGTCTCATAAGTGATGATTTTCCTCATGTGACAGTTATACATCTCACACATTAAAATATACAAAAAATCATGCATACATTGTAGGTGCATCACACAAAAATATTGGTTGTAACAATAGAATTACATAAAAAAACATTTGCTCCAGCAGCATTAAAATTCTTAGAAAAATCACTGGGATTGTTATTTAATTCACATTAACAAACAATTTTATAATACATATTATAAATACAGTCCTTGTGATTCCTTTATGGCACTACAATATTGTTTGGCACTTTATATTTTATTACTTATAGGGAGAATCAAATCTAGCCAATAGGCTAAACCCTTTTTTCTATTTAAAACATTTTTGGCTGATCATCATTTTTTCATTCTTTGTTATGTCAAGTGTCTGAAAATTCTCAAAGTGTAAACTAAAGATTTTTATATTAATATATTATTTTGCACTTTGAATCCTTAATCACTTCACTACTTGATGGCATATCATGGATCTTTTTGGAGATGTTGTACATGATTTGAGATCGTAAGGTATTGGTGGTAAGTACAAATGTACAGTACTGGTACATGCAGTTTGCAATTTTGTCACTTTCTGTAGACTTGATTCTGCCTTTAATGCTAACATATGGCCCTATAACTTATTTTGTTATATTACATGTATTGGTATTATATGGCACTCTATGACACTGAAGTGCAATACAGGATATATTCTGCTCAAGAAATTCTGTATTGCTACTGATATTGTCCCCTCCATACCAATATTCTCTGTATTGCTACTGAGATGAACAATGGGACAATCTCAGTGGCAATACAGATTGGAACAGCACAAGAACTGACCAATCAGAGGGCTTCATTTAACAGATCATACGATAATATATGATATTGTTCATTTACATATGATCTTCTTTGTACATATATTATTTTCCTAATCTAGATACAACTTTTAAAATCTAAAATGATTTATAAACTCATCTTAAACACTAAGATACTCATCATCAGTGAATTTTCTTTCAAAATGCACAAATCAAAATTTCATTTTTCAAAACTTAGTACTATGTACAATAAGCCTAGTGTGAAATGAAATGGAATTTTAGTAACCCAGCTTATGATCTCGTCTTGACCAATGTTGTTACAAGGCGAGATTAGTAACCATGGGGAATCCTACAATGTAACCATGGGGAATCCTACAATTTCTTCTTGAGAAAACTACATATTATATCAACAAGATTCCATGCAGAATCAAATACGATAGGGGGATTTAGTAAACTGATATAGCCATGGAAACCATCGTCTATATTAACCCATTGGACATCATTCCCCTCTTGCTTTAGCCTTTGAGCATAGAGAATACCATCATCTCTTATTGTATCGTAGGTCAAGGTCACAACCAAAGATGGCGGTAAACCCTTTAAACTATCACTTAACAACGGAGATACATATTTATTTAAGTATATACCTGAAAATTTCTCCGCAACCAATTTCTGCCCTTTTGGCAACTTGGGTACCTTGTATTCAGCCATTTTCAAAAAGCGTTCTGGGATTTTTTTGAAGTCTACATACTTTCTGACTGCATCCAATATTTCATCAGTTACATGCTGATTGGTTAGGAAAATCTCACTGTATTTCTCTGGGTTACCCGTTAGATGAGATGACCAATAGAAAGCAAGGATTTTCTGTGTCACCAATGGAAGGGCATATTTATCATTTTGTAATACAGATGGGGTATTAAAGTTGATACCCTGTGTTGCGGGGTAGATGAGGACCTGTGCTTTAATTTTTGTTGGATGTTTCAGAGCCATTATTGCTGACATATGGCCCCCTGCACTATCCCCTGAAAAACATGAATGGTGACATGATAATTTGTATAACTTTTGTGACAAAATATATATCATATATTGCTTTTGAAACTTATACACAAAGTTGTTAAGATGTTGATCTTTATTATCTGAAAGTTTCATGCATTTATATTAGGAAATAGCAAAGTTAGAGCGGGGTCCAAGACCTTTGGATCACCCCTCGTACAGTATACAGTAAAACCTGTGTATACATGTATTGAACATTTTTTGCCAAGATTAATTATTCACTGTTGGTAGGTGTTAACTACAGAGAGGGTAACTTATACAGAAGTCAGTGGAGTATGGGCGGAGGAATGGTGTCTACCAGAGACAGGTGTTCACTAGAGAGAGGTGTTCACTAAGACAGATTTTACTGTATACAATATAATTTGATAACAAAGGAAGACTAATCTAAATTAGCAAAGCAGATATAGGAGGATGATTGAATGAAAGTTTGAGCCGTTTCAAATTAAAATCCCACTATAGTAGATTTTAGCAGAGAGTTTACAAGCAGAAGCATTTTAAGATGAACTCATTTTATCACAAAGACATTCTACACTTACCTATACTTAAAAATCATAAGCATTTCAAGTGTGACACTCTTATATTACATTACATTCAAGTTAAAGTAAATTAAAATGTATTGTGTTTTACAAAACAGGAGTTGACGTGTGAGGCAGACCTTTAAAGAATAGGATAATTTCAGAAGTGGCATATTTTATCGATTTAATCAACATTATTTCTCATCAAGGAATATCCCTTTGCTTTGTTAATCTGTAAATACATGTTGATACATAAACAAAATAAGTAATTACATCACTTATCAAAAACATGTATATATATTGGGAGTTCAAGCAGAAGCAATTGTAAGAACAATTGTTCAGGTAGAAGGAACATGGGTTTAAGCGAGGTCAGAGCTGATGACTGTGTCAGTAGAAAGTCTATGAGGCCTGAATCGTTAGTGTTAAATGTTAATTGTTGACCAAATAACAATGTTGGTTATTTCATCAAATGCTATATATTATATACGTTTACATCACATTTCAAAACCTACCCTTTTGTCACATATTTGGATGGATTTATTCCACATAAGCCCTCGTGGTATCAGGTTTTATCTTTATGTGTTGATACATACATGTAGAGTAGTATGTTCCTGTGGTTTGATTAACGTAAAGCCTGTATCACACCAGAATAGCCCAATAACGGTAAAGTCAGATACCGTTGTCACAAATGGCGGACATAACCGTTGCTTCAATTTTATCGTCTATTCAGTGATGATGTATCATATGAAATCCCAATTTCAAAATCAAACTGGGTCGTGAATCGCCAAAATACAGCATCTTCGATATCGTCAATGACAACGGAATCTGAATTTGAAATAATTTAAAAAGACAACGGCATATTGTAATACCGTGTCCATTGTCCCCTTTTCATTTTGTTCAGTTATTAAACATACGGTGCATGAAAATCTAATTGAAGCGACGGTTATGTCTGCCATTTGTGACACCGTATCTGACTTTGCCGTTGTCAGGCTATTCCGGTGTGTGTATGGATGACTTCTATTATTGTAAAGTATAAAGTCTTTGTGTTAAGATTAGCCTCAGAGACTAATTTCACAACTTGACCAACCTTTAAGCTACAGAATCAGAGAGGTGATGAAAAGAATTTCCTAAAACTGTTTTTTTTAAATAATTCATTATTATTAACATACAACTTCTTTATTAAGAATGATCAATAACAATCAATCAGATGCAGAAGGAAATGTTTCAGAAAGTCAGTCTGAAGTTTGGATATTGACTTTTGACAGCAAAAATAATGAAATAATGTACTGTAATGTAATGTAATGTAATGTACTATTTTGGAAGAGAAATGTTATAATTTCTATAATTCTTCAAATGATTTTTAATTATAAGACATGATATACCAGACATGAAATAATTTTAAGCATTCACTCCAAATCTTTACTTGGATTTAAAACAAAAACTGTTGATTTTGTGTTCGATTTTATTTATAAAAAATGCAAAATGACTACATTGGTATACAATACTTGTATGAGATTATATTTGTGGTTATAATACAAGTCATATGATTAAATGATTTGTTCATTTTAGACAAGGAGGTAGAGCTTAACATTTTCACTGGTGATCCACTCTGTTCATTTGTGTAACAAAATGTTGAAACCTGAAGGTACAATTTTTATCTTCCTTATTTCACACGTTGTAGGCAGAATTCCCAAAACATTTTTATCACACACATGTGTCAGTATCACCTGTTTAATAATATGTACATGTTGGGAAAAAATAGTTCAGAAGACAAGAGAATCGTCGATTTAATTCCTCACAATCGTTAGGTAAATGGAATGGGTTAGAAGTGTTTTTGAAGTTCCATTTACATATTAAATGTCAGGTATTAAATCGACGATTCTGTTGTTTTCTGAACTATTTGTACATTTTCTTTAACATATGATACTGAAATACTTTTGTGATAATAAATGTCACAGAAATTCTGCCTATAACAGTTGACATAATGAAAAAAGAAAAATCTGACCTTCGAGGTTCCGACATTTTATTACCGAAACAATCCGTTTCACCAGGATTTTGAAAGAATTTGTATCAATCTTTTTTTCTTGGGATTTCATTGGAACTAATTTATCCAAGTCTACTTCTGAAAAATATCACTAAATCATCAATAACCTTATAACCAACTTCAAAATCTAAGAAGGGGTCTCCATTAAAAATGATTGGATCATGTGGAGACTCCTTATAAGTAACAAAAGTTGTTTCAACCTTAGCTTGCTTGAGTCTTTTAGCAAACAGAAAGCTGTCATCTCTAAGTGAATCCAACATACCACAAACAATATAAGTTTCAGGCATGTGGCCGAGATTATTTGCCATCAATGGATTTTCATATGGATCTAGAACATGTTTTTCCATATATTGAGATATACTCTCACTCCCAAAATTTGTTTTTGGTGGTTCATACCCAGGAGGTATCAATTGTGGAGGCAGATCTTTATAATTCACATAGCGTCCATAATCTTTTTTAATTTTCACTGATGTATGATTATTAATCAAAACATCTGGAATGTATTTCAGATCACCACCCCAACTCAACAACCAATATTTTGCAGCATCGTGCGCTGATGATAAACTGTATTTTCCAAATTCAACCATAGATGGCAACATCAAATCCATTGACTGGTATCCCCCAAAAAGAAGCACCTGGTATCTTATCTTTGGAATATTGTTGTCGGCATTCAGTTTCAGCGCAATTCCTGCTGCACCCGTTGCCCCTGCGCTGTCTCCTGGAAAACAAAGCCTTAACTAAGCACCCCTTTTATATTGTTTGCATAGAATATAAACTAGTCCAAATTGATTGAATGGATCAGGCTATGTTATAATATAGAGGTTCAATTTTGGGGGTTCATGAATGTGATATAATATTTTGAAATTTAAAAATGGATATACATGTGTAAGTCAAAAATTTGTAGTATAGTATTATGGAAATTTTTGAACCACTAGCACTGTTGTGCAGGAACATACTCATTTAGAGAAAAATTCAAATCACTTCTAGTGAAACAACACATCGTGGTCAACACATCGTGCTCATTTGCAAAAGTCTCGTACAGAAATTGCTATGTTTATTAACATATTGCTCTAAACTCAAATTAAACTCAACTGATTAAAGAAATATTCAATTTCCTCTGAAATCTTGCATTTAACTTATTTGATATCTGTGAATTTTGGAAGGTCATTTAATATGAATTCAGGATTTAAGAAAAGTACAGGTGATCTGCATGTATTGAAACATAATGAAAACATTAACAATTTTTTTTATCAAATAAGCATTCTACGTAATTTTATTTCTATCGAGTATACATTTTATAAATCTAATAAAGGATTACGTACATGGCCAGTAGAATCAATTCTGTGGTCTTTAAAAGTTAAAAATACATGTACAAAAATATTTTAACAATCTTATACAATAAACTTGTTATGGTCATAAACATTTTTTCACTTATACTGTAGCTTATGGCACAATCATGGTATAACCACCAAAATATAAGTCCAACTTTTGCCTGAACACTATTAAAATCACTGTTTAAAACATAAATTATATCACAAATTTATCAACCTCAATTTGATATAAATCATCAGTCTGTACATTGGCATTAATATAAATTTCTCTTTCAGGTAAAAGTCCATCCATCCATTTGCAATACCTGTATAATAAGGCACGTTAATTATATACATGGAGTGTTTATTCTTAGAATTTTTTATTTATTGTATTTATCCCATACTTGGCCATGTTTGAGGTACATTTATATCAAGAACACATGACATAGTATAGGATAAAAAGATCGAACTGTAGTCAGTTCATGATATTGGGATATCCCTTGCTCAACATATTTGGCCTTGGGATCTCCTGCACTAGGGCAGTTGTATTATATTGGCCTTGGGATAATCCCAATATACTGAACCTCATCCAGTATTATCTTCATATACTAAAGGGTGTCCCAAAAGTATGGGATCCCACCCCTAGACAGACATATACCAATGTCTCCATAGTATGTCATATACCTTTTTAAAGCTTATCAAAAGTTACACTTAAATTCTGACTGCAACACTAAATTTTGAACTGCCTGCAACCTTCTCCCATTTTCGAGTTGAACCCTGATACTTGGCAAATCAATGTAACTTTGGATAAGCTTTAAAATGATATATAACATATACCATGGAGACATTGGTATATGTCTGCCTAGGGTAGGGGGTCCCATACTTTCGGGACACCTTGTACATATCTATTCAAAACACAATGTACATTGCACGATACAAGTAAAGTTAAATATTTGAAGGCAATTACAACCGGTACCTAATCAATTTCACATTTACAGCACATAAAAAAAAGAAAACATAATTCTCTGTACATTATGCAATACTCTTTTATATTTGAATGTGTTTGAGGTATACTTCCAACAGTGGGGAGGTAAACTTTAGATTCATGGTTGAGCCGGCAAATATGGTATATTAATACCATAATATGGTATATATCTGCCTCAAGGCAGATATATGATAGACCTCGGGATAATCCCAATATCCTGAACCTCATATAGGATAATCTCTATATGCACTAGTACTGCAGTATAATACATATTCAAAAATATCAATATAATGTAAATCAAAGTGTGCTTAGATAAATCCAAAATAATAAATTATATATAAGTATTATATATTATTTATCATATGGTTTTGCATCTTATAACTCATAATCAGCTACATGTTGGTATCTGCAAAGTGAGCCATTTAATCTTATGTAGGAATAAAAATTGAATCTAAAAATGATATATTCATGTTCAATAATGAACTCTGAATACCATAACTTTATAAAAATAATGATAAAATCATCACCATAATATTACAAATTGACCTGTATATATTAAGTATATATCAAGTGAACAATCAAAAATTAACATGATCAGATTAAAGTGACCAAGTGAACAATCAACAATTAACATGATCAGATTAAAGTGGCCAAGTGTCAACCAACAAAAGATCAGATTAAAGTGGCCAAGTGTCAATAAACTGGATCAGACTAAAGTGGCCAAGTGTCAATCAACAATTATCATGATCAGATTAAAGTGGCCAAGTGAACAATTAACATGATCAGATTAAAGTGTCCAAGTGAACAATTAACATGATCAGATTAAGTGGCCAAGTGAACAATCAACAATTAACATGATCAGATTAAAGAGGCCAAGTGTCAATCAACAATTAACATGATCAGATTAAAGTGGCCAAGTGAACATTTAACAATTAACATGATCAGATTAAAGCGGCCAAGTGAACATTTAACATGATCAGATTAAAGTGGCCAAGTGTCAATCAACAATTAACATGATCAGATTAAAGTGGCCAAGTGAACAATCAACATTAAACATGAGATCAGATTAAAGTGGCCAAGTGTCAATCAACAATTTACATGATCAGATTGGCCAAGTGTCAATCAACAATTAACATGATCAGATTAAAGTGGCAATTATGAACAATCAACAATTTCTAAAACACAATGAAGTTAAAGTCTTGCATCCAGAAAATTGACCAAATCGTCAGCTGCTTCTCCTTTCCCTTCTTCCATTGAATAAAACCCATGTGTTTTATCATATTGTATCATTGTAACTATATTTCCTGCATCTTGCAAGCGCCGTGAATACATCACACCATCATCCCTCAAAAGATCGTAATTCGCAATTATGAAGAAACTTTCAGGTTGATTTCTGAGGTCCTCTGAGCTCGACATTAGAGGGGATAATTTTGGGTTTACCATCGCAGATTTCAAAGCACTGCTTGTTTTCGCCACTGGTGTTTTAAAGGTGCTTGGTACATATCCAGGATAAAGATAGTCCTTTACATTTTCCAAATCAATATTATTGCTGAATTTTCTGAGCGATTGATCCACATGTTTATTTTCCATTGCAGTTTTGAAATGATCCTTCCATTCTGATCCCGATACATATGCCATCCAAAACCGTACCATCATCGCTTTACTCAATATGTTTAAATATCCATATCGTTGATAGGCTGGCGTGTCAAAGTTCATAATTTGAAGAGCTGGATATATTAAGATCTGCAATTTTGGTGAAGGGATATCTGGTTGCTTAGCAATACTGAGTGATACGGCTGCTGCTAAATTTCCGCCAGCACTGTCACCTGGATGTATAAAACATGTGGAGGTTAGTCATGACACGCCACATGTTCAACACTTAATACCATCCTCAAGACCATTCTAAATCTAAGCAGATATGCCACATGTTCAACACTCAATACCATCCTCAAGACCACTCTAAATCTAAGCAGATATTAGTGCAGGGGCAGATCAGAAAACTAACAAGGGGGACCACAATGACCACATTTAATGTCAGAAGAAATATATTTCCAGCCCTTATTTGGGCTCCTAAAACTAAAAATTGGGCCAAAATTTTGAAAATTGAGGGCCCATTTTCTTGATAATTTGGCCATTAATTATAAAATAAGGCCCAGAGAGAGAGAGTCCTAGTATTGCCCGAAGGCCTACTAATTGGGGCCCTAACAGTTTTTTGGGTCTATCCTAGTTCCAGATCTGCCATTGTAGAGTGATTCACGTGAAAGGGTCTATACATATACAGATGTGCAACCACCACAGAGAAAACTCATAACAAAAGCAAAGTTCTAAAGGACCCATTTCAGATTCTGTTACCACTACCCCATGAAAAAATATAAATTCACCTGATGCTTCAAAACGAATGTACTGTTTTTTTTATTACATTTATGTGTACACTAGTAAATTGTTGACCAATATTTAGCACTGTACTGATGAATGGGCACCTTATTGGGTCAATATTTAATCATGAAGTGTAGAGGTGAGTGGCAAATCAGATGTCTGTTTTTGTGTCTGTCAAAATTTATTTGGAGCATTGGAGCATATCCCCATTTAAAGGCAGAATCTGATCTATAGGGGGTGACAAAATTACAAGCAACATGTATTATTGACCTCCAAATCTATTTCTTACAATATCAAATACAATATCTCCCAAAAGATTCACAATATATTATAAATTGGTGAAGTTATTAATGAGTCAAAATGCAAAAATGGGTGGAAAACGTTTAAATTCCCCCAAATAATAAGAATGGTAACCATTCTTATAGAAAAATAATACATTATTGTAAAAATCTTTAGTTTTCCTGGAATAAAGTATGCTCTTTTGTGATTTTTAGAAAGTAGACATGACAAGGAATGACATAAAACAAAATTTTTCTAACATTGAAACAATTTTTTGTTTAGCCTGCTCGCTATATCTGATTCTCTCTTAAAGTCAATACAAACTTGCTGAACTTAATGATTCTCATCTCAGCCCATGTGTGTCCAAAGTATCATTTAACATTGTAATCTTCATTTTACACCTAATACATTTCATTTTGACCATGGGGGTATTTGGCCTTATATTGCACCCCTTCCTTTTCAATGTTTGAAAACAGCAAGATGGGACAGACCTCTCTTTATAATAGGGAACAACCTACATAGAGTGAAACTTTTCCCTGGCAAAGAAATGTACAGTGAAACCTATTAAGTGGAATACCTCTGGAAGTAGAACACCTCTGCAAGAGGAACACTTATCAGAGTCCCAAGATCAACTGTCCCAATGTTAATTGAACCTCTATTAGTGGAACACCTCCAAGGTACCCTGCGCGCAGTCTAGTTAAACTACACTCTGCCTAGTAGAGACCATATTACAGTTTAGTAGCCCCGCCCCCACGACGGGTACCGGTGACAGTTTGGGTAACAAATCACTTCTGACCTACGCGCTGACCTTTCTTTCATCAATCAGCGAGCTTTAAGAAACATACGCCAAATGCATGCTAATTATATATGCGCATGTCATTGGTCAATTCCGGGCTCAACGATGACGTCAGAAGGAATAACCATATATAGAACGTCGGTCAAATTTGGCCGACGAACACTGATTGGCGCGGTGAGTTCACAGGTTTATTTTAGTTTGAAAGAGTGAAGACGAAGCTCTCTTTTAAGAAGTGAAGTCAAACGAATGCAAAGTTTACCTCCAAGGTGAAAAACGTTTTAGAGGTGCCACATGTGTTCCACTTGGACAGGTTTTACTGAATGTACAATAAATGCAGGTTTCTGTCTACTGTAGCACGCTATACAACAATAAAGAGTCAAATCAGGCTGATATGCAGGGGCTTCACTAGAATTTCTCACAAAAGGCTAAATAAATTAAAACAACAGGCAAAATTAATGGAAATTATAAATTTAACATGGAAAGCTTGAAAAGTCCCTAAAAACAACAGGTGATTTTGTGAAAACAACCGGTGAAAATCGCCTGTTGCCTGCTGCTAATGAAACCCCTGATAGGCTGAACAGGCTTGTTATGTGAGGAACTCAAAAGTAGTGAAATGTGAAAAGGCAACATCCAAAAAAGGTAAGGAAATGTGAAAAGGTTTACCAATCTTTGAAAGAAAAAGCAGGAATGCAAGCAAAAGTGGAAGCAAGAATGAAATTAAAAGCTCTGTCTACTATATGCTGTAGTTTCCTTGCATTATACAAGGCAATCAAGCAATACTATGCATATATGATCAGCCTTGGGTGATAACGCCATCTATTTGTATTAATTGCATGTCATGTAATTCTCTACTTTAGCAAAAGATTGACTTTTGCATGTTGGTGATGCGATGTGATCTCACACCTTAGAAGAGTGCATCAGTTAAAAACTCATAAAAACCTAACAGATTTTACCATACTCTGCACCTATTTATTAAAGCAGATATGAAATGGTATTTTTAACCTAAAGGAATCAATATAATTTTTTGATAGAAGTATTTGGACATGTTTTCTCATCAGTAGTGTGAAAATTATTTCACTCTAACGATCGTTATAGCTGCTTAATAAGCATTATTCGAATTGGTTGTGACGTTATTGGCCCCCACGTGATCTCTCACTGGTCCCCACGTGGCCCGTTTTGGTCCATTGGATCATGACGTCATAATGCCAAAATGTTTTGTTATTTGTTTACACAACAATCCTATGGTTGCTGTGACGTTGTGATTACTAAGGAACCAATAAACCAAAGCTATATTTTGTATATGACGTTGCTAATCACGTGGGGGCCAATTTGATCGATCAGTTAGTTTTATTTTGTTATCTATGACCGTTAGCAGTTATCTAACATTTATTTTAAAATGGCTATCGCAAGAACTCTACGTTGGGCTTACAATGGAGAAAACCGCATTTTTGTAGCTGCAAGTTGAGAAAAGCTATTTTAGTTGTCCTTTAAGCAATCTATATGTAAATTGTCTCATGAAAAAATAAATCTTGAAGATTTGTTGAATTTTCTAGCGGAAATCGTCTCCTACCCCTTACCCCTTTACTGATTTTCTCCGATTCACCAGCTGTGATTTGGACTAGCTTTGAATTTTTGGGTGATTCCAAGAATGCAATTTTTGTTGCAATGGTAACACAATGACATCAAACTGTGTCTTACCTGCAACAGCCACTCTTGTCGGGTCAACACTGAACTTCTCTGCAGCATTCTTTAGAAAATAAACAGTCGCTTTCTCGCAGTCTTCAAATGGAATGGGAAACTTATGTTCTGGGGCTAACCGATAACTGAAAGTGAAGACATGTACTGTACACGGGGAGATCTGCTGTGTACTAAAATAGTTGTCATTGCATTTTGGCCCTAGTTGAGAACTCATTTCAGTAAATGTTAGTACTTAATGAGCACTTATGACATGAGTACTGATTTATTGCATTTTTAGTACTAAATGAGTACTCATATGATGACTGACAAAATAGTGCTAATTTCATTGATTTTTCATTTCTCAATCAGAACTCATATGCAGAGTACTCAGTAAATACAAAATTAGTACTAAATTAGCACTCATGACATGAGTAGTCATGAGCGGGCTTTTGCCATTGTGCTAATTTAGAACTAATTTTGTACTATTTGAGTAATTGGCGTATCTCTATGTGTAGTAGAATGGATGCATATATTTTTTTATTCAAAAACGATGGAACAATAAAGATCATCTTTGCATTAAATAAACTAAAATGGCAGACTTATTTATTAAGAATTACTGAAATGAATCGTACAAAATAATATTTAATAGCTGCTGCTCATATTTTGAGGTGCATTCCTCTCTTCGTTTTTCAACACTGTTGAAGAAAACACGGGAAATTATTATTTCAACTCAATCCTTGCAATGTTGCCAAAAAATCAGAGAGGGTTTAGTGCTATAACCATTAAAGTGGTGTCAGATTATTACATATCAGTTCTTAACATAAGAGAGTTATTGTTGACCTTATATAAATCTCTTGTGAATGTCAAAAGCAATGTTGAAAAAACTAAGATGCAGAATTTTTCAAAATGGCTCTTGCAATATGATTCCAATTATTTGGAGTTATGGGCTAACTTTGCTGAATTCAGCAAAATTGCAAAATGAACCTCACATATTGTGTACTGTAATTGTAAAGACTTTATGGACATCAGATATTTTGTTTATTGTTGAATGCTCTGGTTACTGTTATGATAAAATACTGAACTATTTGACTTACTACACGCAATATTACTTACCAGTATATTTCACATTAAACAGCACTTAATAATTCGTGTGTATTTGGAATAAAAATACAAAAATACTTACTCAACGGACACCACCAATATGTTTAATCTTCTGGATATTTCACGAGTCACTGGATCAAAAGCCTCTGAAATTGTTATGAAATAATTATTGCCTTTGGAATACACAAAAGTAGATAGATTTTTTAAATAATTGACCTGTTTTATTATTCCTTTTGATAAATAATCACGATATAGTAGATTACAACTTATTATTTATAACATATGGAAACAGGTAATAGTACATGTACAAAATGTTATATATCAAATGTGGATGAGATGATGACCCCAGAGTCAAATCCTGTAGTTGAACATTCGAATCATTTTGGGTTGAAAAACCTATAACTTCTGTTTAACAATGTGTATATCTTAATCTGTAGAATACATGTACATGCTTTCTTTGATGAACTTGTTTAATTATGTGTCAAAATAGATACCGGTATGTCTACAGTTCAGAATGTAACTAGACATGTAAATTGAACAAGTTCAATTTAAGACTCCAGATTTCAAACTTTTTTTAAGCTGAGTCATCCAGAACTTGTAAGCTGAGTCATTCAGAATAAGCTGAGTCAGCTAGAATATAGACATTTAGACAATTTTTAAGAAGGCTATCTTCGACTCTATTGGCTTAACATGGGGATATCATCATATCGACTTTTCGAGACTTCAAACCGTTATAACTATCTAACCAGAAGTTAGATCGAAATTTGGTTTAAAGATTCTGATTCCTGAGAAAATTCTACCCTTAATTCATAACTCATACGTTAAATTTGGATAATTTTTTATTTTGACCTACATTTCGGACACTATATCTCAAAAGTGGGTCAAAAAACTTTCTGATGGCAAAAGGCAAACACTATAAGCACACTCTTTGCTACCTGTATACAAAATTTTGAAGCAAATCCTTAAAGTGTAATGTCAGAATCGCAAAAATAAGGAAAAACTATGAATTTGACCTAGAATTTGACCTAGGCATTTTTGCGTCCAAATTTTAAAGCTAGATAGCCTTCGAGGTCCCCTCCTTTTATAGGCTTTCAGAATATTAAGCTGTACTCAGTCTATATCTGGTATTTTACACTTCAAAAAAAATCCTTTTTTCTCATTGACATAACATGGGGCACCAAATTTAGCGATTTTTGAGCTTTCAAAACGCCATAACTTTCGAACCGGAAGTCGGATCGAAATTTGCTTTGCAGATTCGGATTCCTGACAAAATTCTACCCCTAATTCACAACTCATACGTTAAATTTTGAAACTTTTTATTTTGACCTACTTTTTGGACACGCCATAACTTCTGAACCGGCAGTCGGATCGAAATTTGGTTTGCAGATTCGGATTCCTGAGAAAATTCTACCTTTAATTCATAACTCATACGTTGAATCTGGAGAACTTTTTATTTTGACCTACTTTTCGGACACCATATCTCAAAAGTGGGTCAAAATACTTTCTGACGGCAAAAGGCTAACACTATTAGCACACTCTTTGCTACCTGTATTACAAAGTTTTGAAGTAAATTATTAAAGTGTAGTGTCAGAAACGTAAAAATAAGGAAAAACTATGAATTTGACCTAGATTTTGACCTAGGCATTTTGGTGTCCAAATTTTGAAGCTATGTAGCTTTTGACGTTCCCTTCTTTTATAAGCATTCATTATGTTAAGCTGTACTCAGTCTATATCCTGTGTTTTACACTTTGAAAAAGTCTCTTTTCCCATTGACTTAACATAGGCACCAAATTTAGCGATTTTTGAGCTTTCAAAACGCCATAACTTCCGAACGGGAAGTCGGATCGAAATTTGGTTTGCAGATTTGGATTCCTGAGAAAATTCTACATCTTTTTCATAGCTCACACATTCGATTTGGAGCATGTTTAGGCGTGACCTACATTTCGGACGCCATATCTCAAAATCGGTAAGAGTAATCAAAATTCTGATGTCATATCTTTGATTCGCCTTTTTCGAAGCTACACAATGAAAAAAAGATGAAGAAGTTACGAAGAATATTGACGAAGATATGATGAAGAATGTTGAAAATGTAAGATTTGACCTAGTTCTTGACCTTTGACCTAGATAAAAATTTGACCTAATTTCCCAGAAAGCCGGTTTCAGTCTTTAGTTAACCATGTAAGTTGGATTAAGTAAGCTGTTATAGTTGACGAGAAATTTGGTGAGGAGGAAGAAAAAAGAATAATAATAATAACTAGACATGTAAATTGAACAAGTTCAATTTAAGACTCCAGATTTAAAACTTTTTTTAAGCTGAGTCATCCAAAATACTGTTAGCTGAGCCATTCAGAATAAGCTGAGTCATCCAGAATACAGACATTTAGACAACTCTTAAGTAGCTTATCTTCGTCTACATTGGCTTAACATGGGGATATCATAATATCGACTTTTCGAGACTTCAAACAGCTATAACTATCTAACCAGAATTTGGGTCGAAATTTGGTTTGCAGATTCGAATTTCTGAGAAAATTCTACGTTTGTGTCATAACTCATACATTACATTTTGAGAACTTTTTATGTTGACCTACTTTCCGGACGCCATTCCTCAAAATCAGTAAGAGTAATCAAAAAAGACAGTTACAATAATAAAAGGACTGTCTTTAAGCTACATGCTGAAAAAAAGATAAAGGAATAATGATGAATAGTGACAAAGATAATTGACATAACATGGGATATCAAAATACCAATTTTTTAATTTTTCAAAACGCCATTACTTCCAAACCAGGTGTCGGATTGAAATTTGATTTGCAGATTCGGATTCCTGAGAAAATTTTACCCTTAATTCATAACTCATACGTTAAATTTGGAGAAACTTTCATGTTGACCTACTTTTCGGACACTATATCTCAAAAGTGGGTCAAAATACTTTCTGCAGCAAAAGGCTAACACTATTAGCACACTCTTTGCTACCTGTATACAAAATTTTGAAGCAAATAATTAAAGTGTAGTGTCAGAATCGCAAAAATAAGTTAAAACTATAAATTTGACCTAGATTTTGACCCAGGCATTTTGGTGACCAAATTGTGAAGCTAGCTAGCTTTTGAGGTCCCTTTCTTTTATAGGCTTTCATTATGTGAAGCTGTACTCAGTCTTTATCTCATATTTTACACTTCAAAAAAATCTTTTTTCCCATTGCCATAACATGGGGCACCAAATTTAGAGATTTTTGAGCTTTCAAAACGACATAACTTCCAAACCTAAAGTCGGATTGAAATTTGGTTTGCAGATTTGGATTCCTGAGAAAATTCTACCCTTAATTCATAACTCATACGTTAAATTTGGAGAACTTTTTAGTTTGACCTACTTTCGGACACCATATCTCAAAAGTGGGTCAAAATACTTTCTGACGGCAAAAGGCTAACACTATTAGCACACTCTTGGCTACATGTATACAAAATTTCGAAGAATATAATTAATCTGTAGTGTCTGAATCGCAAAAATAAGAAAAAACTTTGAATTTGACCTAGATTTTGACCTAGGCATTTTGGTGTCCAAATTTTTATGAAAACAAGGTCTTGTGGTCCCTTTCTTTTATGGGCTTCCATTATGTTTAGCTGTGCTAAGTCTATATCTCGTATTTTACACTTCAAAAAAATATTTTTTCCCATTGAATTAACATGGGGCACCAAATTTAGCGATTTTTGAATTTTCAAAACGCCATAACTTCTGAACCGGAAGTCAGATCGAAATTTTGTTTTCAGATTCGGAATCCTGAGAAAATTTCCTATAAGACTGATATCCTAGACATTGGATTCTGAGAAATTTTTTTTGGACCTCGTTTTCGGACACTGATATCTCGAAATCGGTTTGAGATACCAAAAAACTAAATCGACCCTAGGTTTTCTACTTTTTTATGAGGAACACAATGAAAAAAACCAGGATCAAAAATATTGAAGGACGACCGAGATAATGGGAAAAAGTGACAAAGTACTGGATTTGACCTAGTTCTTGACCTTTGACCTAGATAAAAATTTGACCTAATTTCCCAGAAAGCCGGTTTCAGTCTTTAGTTAACCATGTAAGTTGGATTAAGTAAGCTGTTATAGTTGACGAGAAATTTGGTGAGGAGGAAGAAAAATAACTAGACTTTGGAAATTGAACGAGTTCAATTTCAGACTCCAGATTCTGACCTTTTTAGCCGAGTCATCCAAAATAAGCCGAGTCATCCAGAATAAGCTGAGTCATCCAGAAAAAGATGGATGGATAAAATAGGAAGGTAGGATAGGATAGAATAGGGAGGGACGATAGGATAGAATAAGAAAGAAGGATAGGATAGAATAGGAAGAAAGGATATGATAGGATAGGATAGGAAGGAAAGGATACGAAGGAAGGATAGATAGGAAAAATAGGATAGGATAGGATCAGATAGGAAGGATGGATGAATTTTTCAATATTTTCTTCTCTACTCTTGACTTTCTATCAGGATACCATCAGATCGATTTTTCCGAAATTTCAAAACGCCATAACTTCCGAACCGGCAGTCAGATCGAAATTTGGTTTGCAGATTCGGATTTCTGACAAAATTCTACCCCTAATTCATAACTCATACGTTAATTTGGAGATTTTTTATTTTGACCTACTTTTTGGACACGCCATAACTTCCGAACCGGAAGTCAAATTGAAATTTGGTTTGCAGATTCGGATTCCTGACAAAATTCTACCTCTAATTCATAACTCATACGTTAAATTTTGGGATTTTTTATTTTGACCTACTTTTCGGACACCATATCTCAAAAGTGGGTCAAAATACTTTCTGACGGCAAAAGGCTAACACAATTAGCACACTCTTGGCTACATGTATACACAATTTCGAAGAATATAATTGAAGTGTAGTGTCAGAATCGCAAAAATAAGGAAAACCTTTGAATTTGACCTAGATTTTGACCTAGGCATTTTGGTGTCCAAATTTTGAAACTAACTGGCTTTTGAGGTCCCCTTCTTTTGAAGGCTTTCGTTAAATTAAGCTGAACTCAGTCTATATTTCGTATTTTTCACTTCAAAAAAATCTTTTTTCCCATTGACTTAACATGGGCACCAAATTTAGCGATTTTTGAGCTTTTAAAACGCCATAACTTCCGAACCGGAAGTCAGATTCAAATTTGGTTTGCAGATTACGATTTCTGACAAAATTCTACCCCCAATGCATAACTCATACTTTGAATTTGGAGAACTTGTTGTTTTGACCTACTTTCCGGAACGCCATATTTCAAAATCGGTAAGAGCAATCAAAAAACGATTTGCCTTACGGAATTAGCTTTGTTTCCAAGAAACATGATGAAAAAAAGACCGAGAAAAAATATTGAAAAACGACTGAGAAAATTGGTAAAATGATGAAAATACAAGATTTGACCTAGTTTTTGACCTTTGACCTAGATAAAAAATTGACTCAATTTCCGAGAAACTAGATACTAGACCTAAATGAACCATATACAGGACCTGACTCAATGTTTTCTAGTTATTGAGAAAACGTGTGTAGAAGAATAATAAAGAAGAATACTGACGAAAGTAATAGACTCCAGATTTACATCTGGAGTCTAATAATAATAATAAAGAAAACAGGCAAAAACAATAGACTCCAGATTTTTAATCTGGAGTCTAATAAAGAAAACAGGCAAAAACAATAGACTCCAGATTTTCAATCTGGAGTCTAATAAAAAATAATCGCATGTTTGTAGAGTTTATGAAATAAAATATTAATTATAACGATCACAATATTGACATATTACTACATGATCTTGTTAACAATGAGGAAATTGGGATTTAAATGTGAAATTTAATCATTTTTCTGCAGTCAGTTACCATAGTAATGCCTGACAGTCACATTTGATCTATGGCAACTGTACGGCAGCCATTTATAAGCTTCCCAAAATCTAGAGAAATATGCAGCATAAAATATAGAGCTAAGCAATACAATGTCGATTTTCTATATCTATTTTGTGAAATGACACCCGCTGTACACCCGCCATAGAGCAAATGTGATTGAGACTTTACTTCAATACTAATGTTAAGATAACTGTGATGAAATTACCATGGGTTACCTGGACTCATCAATACCCAGCCACCACCATGATAGTAGACCATTGCTGCACTATTCTTAGGCCTCCCAGCTGGATCATAAACCAAAACCCGCACACCATCGAAGTATTGCTCCGTCATCTAGAGAAAAATTGATGTTTATGGGCCAGATGCTTAGTTATCGCTGTAAATTGTGTTATTACATTAAAGTTTTTTAATTTATGTTTTCTTTATTTCATAACTATATCAAACAAATAAGTACAGGGCATTATTGGCCCCGTTAAAGTAGATTACAATGTGAATGTGATCAAACATGTTTGACAAGAAGTAATCACAAAACTCAAAGACAGACCAGAGACTATTTAAGTATTGGACACATTTAAGTAAATTGTGTTATTGTGTTTTTCTCTTGGATTGTGCTCGAGCATAAAGTGTGTGGATTTAAATCATAGTTTCATCCATCTCATATTTAAATATTAAATCAAAAGCCAATGAAATTCAAAGATGTGATCTATGATATTTTAAAGGCATGGGTAAATAATCAAGATTTTAAAGAACTATTTACTCAAATCCCTAGGGAAGCATCATCAACCCCCCTCCTTTCCCATTGGGATAATAGAATGTGAAGAATATGAGGAAATGTGTCAGCCTAACTTACTGTCATTTGTTATCTCAAGAGAAGAAAATGTACGATTTATCATATTATGATGTTAATTAAACCTGATTCCTTTAACTATTGTATCTGTAAGATTAGGTATTTAAGTTAGCAATGTGCATTAACACAAGTGCATGTGAAGTAGCTGCATAATGTGCAAATATTATTGTGACATAATAAAAACTAACTCACTTACCGTCATAGTTGAGTCGTTTGGTGGTAAGATTTTCTTGGCTGATGCGTTAAAGAGTTTTCTCAAAAATGTGATGTTATCCATCCACCCAATGTAATCAACAAAATTGCCCTACAAATAAGAATTATTTTACTAGAGAGTCAAATCTGAAATAAGATCTTATATAAGATGGAACATTTGAATTCAATTGTTTTTCGGTTGTAGTAATTTACAATGATGAAAATTTCAACACCCTCTGATTTTGAAATTCTTAGCAGGAGTGATGAAAATTCACAAATAATAAAATAATCAACCAGAGCCAGAAACTGTTATTTAAAGAAGGACAATTAGCCCTAAGGATTATAATTAAACTGGCCCTAACAAAGAGGACAACAATTAACCCAGGATGACAATTACACTGGCCCTAACAAGGAGACCTTTAAAACTTACAATGTCATTAAATATCCTCATCATGGCAAGTACGATCCGCAACTTTCCTTTCTCTTGGATGCCATCTGGTATGGGGCTATATAGGTAATAACCGAGCCCGGCAATTATGGCTGACCAAATGATGAGCCCCCGCATTCCACAACACCCCATTATTACAGGTAAGGAATCCCAACCTTGTATGGCTGAAATACACAAAATACATTTATAACTAGAAAACAGCAACTCCAAGGAGTAGCAAATTCATATGAACAAAACTTGTTTTGATAAACAGTGGCCATATGGAAAATTTCATCTTGAACAGAGTTCATCTGTCCCTTGGTATCAGCATATACAATTTGAACCAAAAAATCCATCCGCTGGAATTTGAGTTATTAAAGATTATGCTTTTTATGAAAAATGGCCGCAATTTTGAAATTCAGCTGCCAACTTCTTAAGCAGTGGTCCTTCAACCATAAGGCATAAGCCTATAAAATTTGAATCAAATCCATCAATATAAATTTGAGTCATCGCCAGGACACACGAATGGACCGCAAATGAACAAACGAATGGACCGCAAATGAACGAACAGATGGACAGACAAATAGGTGGCTTTCCTATATCCCCCTTGAACTGTGTTCAGTGGAATATTAAATGCTCTTTTGGCTGGTGAAGTATACTGAGTGAAAGTGTTCATCCCAAATAGAATGGAATATTTGGTATATTTGACAATTTTCATGATCACGATTACCATTTTCAATTTGGTTTTGATAGCATCTTCAAGAAACATCAATTTTGAATATAATTAAAGCACAAAATATCAAGTGTGTTTATTGTTTACTTAAGCTTCTCGTAAGTAAGTGACAATCTCATTCTTTAGTTAAGTCTTATTTTTTTAATTAATTAATTTTTTTAAAGTGTAACGACACTGGTTGCTACTGCAGCCCAGCTGTAGTTGCTTAGTTGGTAGAGCTCATAAAGTATTTCCAAGGTTGATGGCAGACATTTTGAAATAAAAATCATATCAAAAACTAAAGTGAATGCCTAATAGCAAGTAGAAAGTGCAAAAATGTTTTGTCACAAGTATAGAACCTAATGGGTGATATGAAATCAAATGTTAGAATCAATTGAGGTTCAGCTTGTGCCAAAAAATCAACTTTTGGAAAATAACATACAAGGCTCAACCAAAGATCTGCATGACAATTGGCACTTCAGAGTATGCTCGTCGCTCCAAACATGAAATTGTAATCATCAGTAGAATCATTTCACAATCGAGTCCTGGCATATGTTAGCAAAACCATGCAAAAATGTTTTGTCACAACCATGCAAATAATAAACAGTGTTTTGCATTTAAAATTTAATATTTTATAAAATATGAATTTATTTTTCACAGTCTATATTGTACGGAGCTCCTTTGATTTCTTTTAAAAAGTGGTTTACTTTTAGGTTTGACAAATCAAATACTATAGATATCTAGTCTAGCCTTGCAAGGACACAACTAAGAGAGAGTACTAAGTATCATTATAAAGTGAGACTCATAAACTATAAAGCTGCGCAACAAGTGAAAAGTACAGAGAAAAACAAAGTACACAGTGACTAGTTCAACAAGTTAAACCCAATACCACGGCTTTGATTTATTGATCTGAGTGTTCCTGTATCCGTGATTGGGTTTAACTTCCATGCTATGCTTTCTTTGGTTGCATCGGTCCATTAGTTATTAAAGTGGGAACATCGACTGCCGAGTCGTATCCAATGATCCTGGGCCTATCGTAAAATGAAAGCTTTGAATATGTTGTTGCCTTCAAAAATGTATCTATTTTCCATGTAAGCAACTAGAATTTGTGCACATACTGTACCTTATATTGATCGATAATGGCCAAAGGAAAATCCTCCAATTTTTCGTCATCCTTTCTCCTTTCGTCTCCGCCATTTTTATTGAACCGGAAGTTTGTTCTCTGTCGTCCGCGCAATTTTTTTTAAACTTTTATTTCAGATTACGCTTCGGATTCAACTTTTAATGCTTTCTAATAATCGTCAAGTGATTTCTATAAGAAAGTTTTCATAAAAAGACTCACACTGTCAAAGATTTTATCGATTCGAGCGACCAGAAAAATTAGTTTCAATTTCACCCGCTAGGTGTTTCTATGAGTGGGACTCCTTGTATGGAATTGTAGATTCTAAACGATTTGCCAGTTCTACTGGTTGATGAATATTGCCATATGCATACATTTTTATAAAATAGGAATAAGGAAGAAGATGTTAGACCAAACTTCGCCCCGATAGCTCAGAAAAGGTAAAATTTCTCCATTTTTCTCTCCACAGACCTTAGAGCCGCTTTAAGGTGACATTTAAGTTAATCAAAAGTACAAAAACATGGGAGCCATATTTTTTTGATAAAGTCAGAAGATTTTGTATACTGTTTTCCTTGTATGTGAATGCATTTCCTGACTAAAGAGACACATAAAAGAAAACCTCACATTTAAACGCATTTTTCATAACTATGAATTGGAGGTGTATGGCTCCCAAAAGCTAGCATGAAGAGTGCGAAGTGAGGCTATTTTTTGAAAGTTTCAAGGAGTGCCTTGCAACAGACACACATTTGCAATAATTCAAAATTTCCAGATATAGTCTTACCTTACCAAGGAACAACGAAGGAGCACGAAAATGTGTACTTATTGCATTGTTAGAGTATAATAAAGCTCAAACCATTGTGAATTCTAAATATTTCATGTCCACCATTTTGTTTCCTGGAACTCTTTTTTAGTCCAGAGTTATCTTTATTCATGTTTCCATTGTTTATCATTCATAAAGCCTCTATCATGTATCTATCATGATAATGACACTGTAATAGATAAAACATACAAGTGATAATCCATGCCACTTGGTGTAGTCACAAAACTTGCATGAGGATTAATCAGGAAGTCTAGAAGTAGTTCCGGCAAACAAAATGTGGACATGAAATATTTAGAATTTACAATGGTTTGAGCTTTATTATACTCTAACAATGCAAGAAGTGCACATTTTCATGCTTCTTCGTTGTTCCTGGGAAAGGTAAGATGATTTGTGGAAATTTTAGACTCTTGCAAATGTGTGACTGCAAGGCTACTCCTTGAAACTTTCAAAAATTAGCCTCACTTCGCACTCTTCATGCTAGCTTTGGGGATCCATGCACCTCCAATTCATAGTTTGGAAAAATGCGTTTATTTGTGATGTTAACTTTGACATGTTTCATTAGTCAAGATACACAATTCATATACAAGGTAAACAGATTTTAAAAACATGTGTCTTTATCAAAAAAATATTGCAGTCATTTTTTGTACTTTTTATTTAATATAGCGTCGCCTTAATAAAACGCGCTGCCATAGGCCACCATTAAATTTTTTACATCAAAGGCAAAATATGCACGGACGTTGAACCTAGGGCGGGCTACAAGATATGTCAGATAAGAAATAAGGCCCAGACTAGGTTTAACTTGTTGAAATACTGTACAAAGTGACCAACTGCTGAGGAAAAAGCAGCATAAATGCACTACAACAACCTTGCGATATAAAGTACCCTCCCATACAAATACCTTTGAACAGTTCATCAATCATGGTTAGAAATAAATCGTTTGCAAAAAATTAACTTTGACAGGTGACTAACAACCGAATAAACCATAAAATATATCAAATAACAAACTTTGAACTTACCACTAATTGACGTCTCGCTTTCGAGATTTGTAACGAGATGATAAACGAGATTTAAATTTCTGGCGCTGTTTTTCAAAAATTTCCTCCATTTCTTTGAAAATATGCTTCCAGTTTCATCCATACAGATACGATAACATAAATAAGGTATGTGAATTAATCTATCGTCTCTGTGTTAGGAAATTTACCTGCATATGTTTCAAATTCAGACCTTTTGATTCAGTTTTGTTATTTTTATTTTTTTTGAGTTTAGCCTATTACACTGTACAGTGGGGATCATAAAGAATTGCAAAAGCTATGAAAATTACATGCTGTCGCACATGTAATAAATTCTTACCTCAGTGTATTCAGTGCTCTATTTTCTCCGTCTTAGTAAGTCCAAATATAGTGGAATTTGTGTCCCTAATGACAAATATGAACTTCAAAAGTTGAATTGGATATTCACATGTTATGCCGACTCTTCAAATGTTGAGGTGATTTTGTCGCCCGATTGCGCCGGAACGGAGGATTGGCTCCCAGAATGCAACATGACACGTGCCAGCTTTCAAAATGCTGTTCCGCCATTTTGAAACCTATCATGAGTAAATATGGTTAACTGATGTTGCATTCTGGGAGTCAACCGTCCTTGGATAACAAACATGGCGATTCATGAAAACATTCATTCGATTTGGTAGGGATTTATCCATTATTTGCAGGTATGAAGCTTTGGATTCATTTATTGTGCTACTTTAGTGAACGGGAATTATTTTTCTACCGCTTGGGAGAGTTTGTAGACTGTATCCTTCGTCTGAATAAATATTCAGACTGTAAGTCACCTATTGTAAAATGTGGTGTTGTATAAATGTTACAAATAAGTTTGTTTAATGATAGAATGATTACCTTATAAAGAACTCACAATATTATTTTTTCGTATATTGTCCTCTTACTGAAGATATTCATAAAATGTACAGACGCTTCTTGTAGCGAAGCCATTGATTAGGTCAAGCCATTTTGGCAATGCCAATTCTCACGATAAACGAGATTTAGCCAGTGACGTCAGTCTATTTGTAAACAAATAACACGTGGAGCGGGAGCAACATTACGGAAGCGTATTGCTAAATTCCATTTGTGCGGGAATTTATTAGATCTAGTCATTTATTATCATTATCCCGATTAATTTTCTTCATTTATAGTAAATAGAGCGGAAATATTCATGAAGAAGGCCGAGGTAATCAAGTGGTCATGTGTTGTCAAAGTTCAAAATTTGCATATCTCGTTTGGATCTCGTGAACTCAAACGTCCTTGACATTGATTTCGCGATCTACTTATGAACACATCCTGAAGTTTCGGTGAGTCTGAACATTTCATTATTTTATATCAACTTGTACCCGCCTTATACAAATATTTTTGCTTCTAGTTTAAGATGAACATCTCTTCAACATATTCACCAATTTTCAAGGTGAACATTCTTATAATAAACGAGAAATTAATGTGCAAAAAATATCACCGCGATTTCCATAGGAAATATATCAATCATAACAGACCGAATATTATATTCGGTCTGTTGGATACATACTAGAGAGTTTGAGACACGAAACTTGGAAATAAGCTCATTGTGACAACTTGTGAACGCTGAGTTTTATTTTTGTCCCCCACTGTAGTAACTTGATTGTCAAAACTCAGTTTACAGATCATAGTCATGTCAAAGTGTTCTAAACTAGACAGGAAACTTTTTCTTACTACTGTTTATAAACTTTGACTGGGGGTGCAGTTTCTTTCGACTTCTGGTTTGTGACTCTAGAGGGGCCCCATGAATGCACCTACAGTTGGGGACATAAATAAATGACAGGTGGATTTGCTGAAGTGAGGATTTCCCATGTTAAAAATAAGAGAATTTACAAGAGGCCATAAATCAGTGGATGAGATTATACAAAATGTAAAATATACAAATTTTAAGGGATATGTATCTAGACAATATTGGTAATTATGGGCTTTCAGACTACCATAATTAGGAAATGCTGATCGAAAATCGACCTGTCATTTATTTTTGTCCCCAACTGTAGGCCCCTAGAGGCTATAGGACCCTTTCCCATATATCTCTATATACTGATCTTGGGAGCCTTTATACCTTTGTACCTCAAAAGATTCTAATACTAACCTGTAAACGTCCTCTCAAAGTCAAAAAGTAGCAGAGACTTACTCACGTCGAGAGCTACCATGTTAGATTTTGAAAGTATAGCTCTCCATCGTGAGGATCTCCAGCTGAAGAATTGTGACATCTAAATTTGATCAGCGCCAGTCAGCGGCTTACTGTTTGTCTCAAACTGTAGCCTACATATGGGCTCATATGTGTCTACTTTCCCCGTGCATGTAGGATCACGGATGTGCTTCTATGGCGATCAGGAGTTCTAATCGTTTTTTGAATTCATTGTTTGATACCCATTTCCAATATGGTGGTTAAACGGAAATATTATCGACGCATGCCCAACTTGGGAAACGTCAAGCCGCCATATTGAATATACCTGGCCAAAACTTTTGACACGACCAATAAAATGAAGTCCTGATCGATACATAGGGCAGTGAGACGTTCTATAGTTGAGCTGAATGAAAGATGGCGATGTAGGATACATTTTCAGGTATATAATGCACGAGGGGAAAGAGTACCCGTGTATATACAACCTACCACCGAGCAAAGACCCGAAGATGTCTGAAAATGTAGGGGGTGAGTTATAAACTTTTGTTTATATCTTGAATTTCTCAATATGAGAAACAGATAAAAATTAGAAATGTGTGTAACTAATAAAGTTATTGTTCCAGGCACTCATGTTTGCAAAATAATGAGTACTTAGCGCAATGTTTACTATCCAATCGCTAAATTCAACGTTTAAATATTTGAATGGTGATTTACATCTTGAATAAGTAACAACCATGGCTGTCTTTACTTCATTCGATTCAAAGATACAATAGGTGTAAATGTATCATATTTATTTCACTGCCATACGTTGCATATCATTGAAATCACTGGTGAAAGTTGAAAATGAAAGACCCGATTATGTCACGAGTACGATTATATAGGACCCGAATCTACCACCGAGCTATTCCGACTATACCGTGAGTAGAACCCGAAGAGGTAGTGAGTTAGCTTTCGAATGAGCATATAATATCATGACGATATCACAAATATTCCTTTTTATTTATCATATACTCCTGGCACCGGGATATAATATAATATGATATAATTCCCGCAGCACTATACGTCAACGTCTGTTTCCGACAAAGTTCTTAAAACATTGAATTCATGCTTACACTTGAATCACCATAATTTCCTATGTGTCTATGGTAAGTGTGCAACCCAAAAAAACATTTAATTCTGCATTGCAAGCGCCATTCTACTCAAAGAACACAACTTGAAGAATTCCAAGTTAAGCTTCACACGCTTCATATCCTCGAAACGAAAATTACCGTGATCTTTCTTTGATAATACAATACCATAGTCAAAAACATTGTAAATCAATTTCTTGCCATTTAACTCAGGCACATTAACTTTAATACTCAGTAATGGATGGTGCTGACTGAAGTGGACCACAAAGTCATCCATCTCGTGTGATTTATCTACAGTGGAAGCATTTGTACCGAGGACCTGAAATACAATGTTTCGATGTGCAGTGGTAACTGGTGATGCCCTTATAAAAAATTCAACCTTGAAAGTCCGAATTTAAACCGTTGCACAATCATTGTACAATCATTGATCCGATCATTTATGCAACCATGCCAACCGTTACGCTGCAACCATTACAATTTTGGTTGTAAACTCATTGAAATGTTTCAATCATATGTAACCATTGTAAACGCTTGACAATTTTGGTTGCATTTCTTGCAACCGTTTCAATCGAATGCAACCCTTTAAAACTATGGCAATTTTATCTCAATACAACATAAAATAATTATCTTGCTCTTTAAAAAATATATTTCAAATGTGTGTATTTCATGCATACTACATGTCAGAATTTAAATGGTTTGATCAAAAAGATATTTAAAGTATTGAAATAGTTAAAGGACAACTGAAATAGCTTTTCTCAACTTGCAGCTACAAAAATGCGGTTTTCTCCATTGTAAGGCCAATGTAGAGTTCTTGCTATAGCCATTATAAAATAAATGTTAGATAATTGCTAACGGTCATAGATAACGAAATAAAACTAACTGATCAATCAAATTGGCCCCCACGTGATTAGTAACGTCATATACAAAATATAGCTTTGGTTTATTGGTTCCTTAGTAATCACAACGTCACGGCAACCATAGGATTGTTGTGTAAATAAATAACAAAACATTTTGGCAATATGACGTCATGATCTAATGGACCAAAACGGGCCACGTGGGGACCAGTGAGAGATCACGTGGGGGCCAATAACGTCACAACCAATTCGAATATTGCTTATTAAGCAGCTATAACGATCGTTAGAGTGAAATAATTTTCACACTACTGATGAGAAAACATGTCCAAATACATTTATCTAAAAATTATATGGATTCCGTTAGGTTAAAAATACCATTTCATATCTGCTTTAAGTAAACTTGTCTTGTGAATGAAAATATATTGAACCAATTTTCATCTAACTTTGAAGGATGGTGATTGTCTAACTCACATGTTTATTATCTAGATAACAGCAATGCTTAGGCATAGCAAATCCCCCTCACTGTCAGAACTATCATTTTTACAAAATCACTTCACTACTTTTTAAGTTATTGCAAAATCATTTGAAAAAATTTTGATTGGGTCAAGTCTTGGATTTTACACTTCACCTTGCAATCATCGCAATTATAAAGGAAGGAAGATGTGTCTGGAAGGAAGAAATCCTTCAATGGGAAAATTATCTGTTTTGATTTGATATTTTTGATTTGATAGAGAAAATGCAATCAGACATTACTGGATGTGTCTTAAATAATTAAGTCGATAAGCATAACTTAAAAATACCTGATTACAGTTAGACTCAGTCTATCTAGTTTGATTAGAGTCTGCTTTGAAGGATGTGTCTAAAGAAACTTTATTAATCCATTAATCCATAAACAAAACAAAAATAATTTGGCAAGGCAAAACAAACCTTATTATATCAGTTTGATTAGAGTCTGCTATAAAGGAAGCAATGTAATTTAAATTATTCCATACACAGAACTTGATAAATAATTTGCCAAAGAAAATCTCCCATATTTTCCTCCAGATTTTTCCAAGTTTAGAGTTTTGAAAAAATAAGCCCTGTTTTTGGTTTTTATTTTTTAATCATCAACACATATTATTTAAACTGAAAACACTTTTCAGTACAAATGCTCTGCCCTAGTGAATAAAGTAAAACCATGGACTTTCAATCTATTGAATGCCTATGGTAAAACAAACTAAATAAAAATGAAATAAAAAATTCTGAAAATATTATTTGCAGTTTCATATACTTGCTATTTGAGATTTCTCAGCACTTATTGAAGTAATTGAATAAAGAAATAAACCCTCAAAAATCTGAAAACACTTTTTAAATTTTAACTCCCCCCTCTGCATGAAATGGATAATTAAAATAAATATATAGTATAACACAAGATGAAAATAGATATAACAGAAACTAGGACTATGAACCCTTTTTCTGGTCAAGCATTTTAATTAGCCGTTCAACCGTTTTAATTAGCTGTTCAACTGTTTTAATTAGCTGTTCAACCGTTTTAATTGGCTGTTCAAGCATTTTGATTTGCCTAAACCCATGAGAATATCAATATGTAGTAGGTATTGTTGTGTTGAGCATTATTATAAAAAATATTTGCCAACAAGAAAGGACATGATAATTAAATCTGTTGTGAATAATGTGTTTCACACATAATATACAGTCAATATCAAAATAGTCCTCTTGTTTGTATTTTTTAAATTTTAGTGAGTCATACTCTTGATATTTGGTGTTAACTACACATGGATACATTTGAAGACCCATTTTGCTTGGGGGGGGCTGACTACTGGCCTGTTCATTGTATATAAACTTTTGTGGGGGTCCTGAGCTAAACCCTCCGATATCAATACATGTATGTTCCCAAACCAATCTATTTGTATATCATGGGTATAGCAATAATCCATCTACCTTGACAAAATTTTACCGAAATTATTAATTCAGATGTTTTCCATTGAAACTGTGAAAGTCTTTGGTGCCTGAATGCATTATTACTATAAAAACATTTTCACTAAATAAAGCAATCAACTTGTGATTACATGTTTGTATTATTTTGTACATCATATCCTGCTTCTTTTGATCATACATGTATATCAGTCTAATCATGAACAAAAACAATGGTGTCTCATCTTGTGATTTTGTTAAGTTTAAAGGGTGACGCATATCGTTTAGCAAATCGAACGCTTGTTTCTGGTGTTGCTCACCGTTTAGTATAAAAGGCGCGATCCCGGAATAATACTCAAGGGTTCACAGGCTCGAGGTCGTTGTGTCAACACCTCTAACTGTGATATAGCATAAGTATATTATAGATTGTCACATATTTATAAAACGGTGATTTTTATTTTGACAAATCAATTCCAAATTTATGGGTGAAGTTTCAGGATCTTCTATTTGTGTATAATAAGGAAAAATTGACATCTAAATTTCCCCATAACGTAATAGCACACAGCTTGGTATATGAAATATCCTACAAATGAAACAAAGCAGTTCTAATACAAGGATTTATATTGGCTGTTGTACATATTCTTTGAACGCAATCACTCTATGGATAATGTTTTCAAAATCATTATAAACGGATTACTTTATCTCAAAGACAATTTCAATAAACTGGATTTTACAGAACTCCCCTTATTTCTTAAAAATGGACTGATCCAGTCGATTCGCCTGGAGCCGCCATATTGTTTTTATACTGATGCTTATCGGAACCCCTTAAAGGAAATCTTCAGATTTTCCTTGGTCAATTTCTTAACCAAATTGGAATTTTGCTCAATTCTTTTCATAATTAACATTAAAGATACATTATTTTGGCAATATCAGATAACAGGAAATAAACACTAGATATGGTACTTTTAATTGTGTAAATAATGTAAATGACAGAGAACATAAATTATCATATGCCATTGAGTGGAAAACTAGTCTGGTATCGCATTCCTAAATCTGTACTGGAGAAAGAAACATATGAACATGAATTTAGTAATTTACTATAATAAACATGCATGTATGCTTGCAGAAAAAATATCCTAATATACTGTTGTTGAATAGAGGTAGATTCAAATCCTTACTTAAAGATAATTTTAGTAAAATGATTACTTTTTTTGAAACGATACCAATTCAGGATGGTTGCAGGGCTTGAACTATGTAATCATTGAACAAAACGTATTGCAACCATTTACATTTCAATGTAAAATGGTTGCAGTTTACAATGGTTGCAGATTACAATGATTGTATAGAAATGGTTGCGCAGTCATTGAAAAAGAGTTGACTTTGTTTGGTTGAACGCAATGGTTGCACAATGATTGCTTATCACCGTACAATAGTTTTTCCTTTGATCTTAGTAGTTGAAGCAATCAGTGTTCAATGATTGATGGAAACGGTTTAAATTCGGACTTTCAAGGTTGAATTTTTTATAAGGGTAGCCATATTTTTTTCAGTTTCATTTATTGTTCACAACAAAATGATTCACATGAATGATGCAGATTGTATGTTTATTATTTTTTCATCAGCACGTCATAAACTCGACGATATAATCGAATCTCAACAGATTTTACTCAAGTAATGTTCGGATTCTGAGATCCTTTACTCAGGATATTTTCGGATCTTTATAATATTACTCGTCGATCACATCGGGTCCGATGTCCGATAACATCGGATCTTTTAGGACAAAGTTTAAGTGAAGATTTTGCTGTTTAAAAGTGCTATTTTGACCTAATATTTTGACACTTAATATATTATGCATATGCACATCCATTTACCGACCCAAGTATGTCTTATGTATGGCTCATTATCAATTAAAGCGAGTATGAATGAGAAAAACAAATCGAAAACCATTATACGTTTACCTTATCTCTTAATTTGGACATAAAAATATATTTCAACTATAATTCTAGGCGAATTGCGCCTGCTAGAACATCTTAGTAACAATTCTAACCATCCAAAGGAATTGTTAGTGACATTATATTACCTTTATTTGTCCATTTTCCTACGAGATGACATTATCAAACATTTGCTCGGTGGTATATTTGCATGTCTTGCTCGGCGGTAGGTTGTATATACACGGGTACTCTTTCCCCTCGTGTAATGTGCAACATGAGTCAGCTGAATTCCCTGGAATTTTCTTCGAAGTCAGGATTCTTAAGCTGTTGATTCTAGCGATAGAGAGCTATACTTTCAAAATCTAAGTAGCTCTCGACGGGAGTAAGCAGAGACTACCATGGGCTTCTGTTGAAAGCCCATGGGTATACAATCATTCAATCTTTTTTGCGGCTATATTTCAGCCATCGACAAAGGGAATTATTTCCGAGTACAATACAAGCATTTACCAATATTTTTCGACTTTAATATGTGGTTCTATTGAAGGCTCCCAAGGCCAGAAAGTAGAGATGGTCTGATGCAAAAGTCACTTGAAAATCATAGAAATTCAGTATATTAAAGCACACATGCATTTTCTTTTTTTGGCATTATCACATAAAGATTGTCAAGAAATGTTAACACTGACTCTTTCTGGCATGACAAAAAATAAATCAGGAATTTATTTTTAAGTTATCATACTATAGACACCTGATCATAGAGGGAATTTCCAGGGCCGGTGAATTCGTACGATCCGCGATCCGATCCGGATAAATTTCGTCATGGTAATGATGCATTGTGTGATTAATCCAAGAATTAATCCCAAAATCGGTGAATTCGTACGATCCTGGGATTAAATTCTCAGGATAAATCTCAATCCACCTCTTGAGGTAGTTTACATTTTGGATAAATTTTATCCAAATTCCAATGCAATATGGATAAATCTTGGGGATTCCCCCTCATAATCCTCAGATCATACGAATTCACCAAATATTTATCGGATTAGTAATCCAAGATTTATCCCAAAAGATAAAATTTATCCGGATTGGATCGGGGATCGTACGAATTCACGGCCCCAGAAGTGACATTCAATCCATAAAAATGTACCTCAATTATATTTTCTTTGAAGGTCAATGATAAGTTCCCTTATTAGTACAGACTTTAAGCCTTGGTTTCTCCAACTTTGGCTTCTTTAACATAAAGTGAGGTCTAATATAATTTGGAAATCATGCAAACTTCTGTGCAATGTATTTTCTATTTTATAGATTCAAGATGGCAGTTGCTGGGCCAAGACTAGAGAAAGCCATTAGAGTTGTCACTGATCGTAAGTTTTCTAAATGATTATTTCAACTTAGTTTTTGGAAAAGGGAATCTCATTGTAAATAGCCATAAACAATGTACCTAATCAAACTTTCATTAATTTAGATTCAGCATTTTAACTGTCTATTTATTTGTTCTATCTGGAATATAGTTGCTGGGCCTCAGGGTGAGATTTAGGGATGGGTCAGGCAGCCCTCGGGTCTGGTGGGTGCAGGTATTGACCTCACAAGCCAGGTCACAAAACAGGCTGAGGGCAGCCTGACCCACCCCTTGTGAGATTTAATATCTCAAGAAAACTTTGAACTTTTCAGCTGCGACAGAGAAGACTTTACGTAAAAATGTTCACCTGCAGATGGCATTAGATACCCTTGAAGAAAACGGGAGAGAAAATGGATTCTCATCAGATCAAATTGATGTTCTGATTGATGTTGCTTGTGGAGCTAAATATGGTAAGATTGCTTTTTTGAGTTATGGGAGAATTAGGATAATATTTTTTCTAATTTTTTCTTATTTTAAAGTGGGAGCAAAGAATAAAGATTGTAAAATGTAAGCAGCAATCTTTTTAAAAATCATGCATCTGTTTCCCTTATAATCCTATTCTTATAAAAGTTTCAAAAATTGGTAAATGAAGTGTTTGAAGCTATTGGTAGAAGATGTAAAAATCTTAAAAGAATGAGGGAGCTAATATACTTTTACTGCCTAAAACTTTTGAAATCTGTATCATGAAATGAAGTAAGAACAATTGGTTACATTTTTGGACAATTTTTGGATTCCATGGTGAACCGTTCTATGGAATTCACTCACTCGTCCACCTGAAAATCTATCTTCTATGTGTGTACTTCCATCTATCATAATTATCATTATTTTGTTGGACTTCATGCTATTTATGAACTCCACTGGTCCTGTCTCTACTTTTGCTTTTTCTTGGAGAAATTGGCTCTTTTAGTTTCACAATGTGAACCCAATGAATGGTGGAAAATCTCAGTTCCTTTCTTTGTTGCCCCTTATAGTGAAAGGAACATAAAATTTTTATATTATCCCAATATCTCCAATAAAGCATGTATGGGAGAACAAATAGTTGATCCAAACTTACCTTTTTACGACTTCATACAACATTTGACAAAGTAAAATAATTTTAAATTTTATTGAAAAATGTTATACATATTGAAATCACAACTGTCAACAAAACATAATTTCAATTAGATATACATTGATGTCCTAAGTGCTCTATTTTTGGCATTCTGGACTTCTACTAATTACTCTACACTCGCTTTTGTTTCGTGAGATGCACACACACCAGCGACATCTATCTGAGGTCAAGTAACTCTGTCCTGGTTTGTATTCTTTTCCACCATCAATACAAACATTGCACTCTGGCCGCTCAGGACATGAAACTAATTGGTTGCTGCAGTGGCATATTGTACAGCCATCAAAGTCAGTCATTGTACCACCATGCTGCATCTTAAAAATGAAAGATATATCGTTGAAGTCTAGAGCAAGTTAAATAGATAGGGATCTCTGTAAAGGATAACCCAAAAATAATCGGAAAGTTGAAACATTTGAAATTGGACAACTATGATAAATAAATGAAATCTGAAGAGAAAAGTTTAAGTGAAAAAATGTATAATGATTGGTAAACAAAACTCACGCCTCTTTAAATGGCTACTGTATGTAAATCATGTAAATTCTGGCTCTCGAAATATAAGGACAACACATTTGGTTAATGCAATATACACTTGAATCAGGAAAAATCAGGAAATTTTGAATGTTTGCTACTTACTGGTTTGCCATCATGTTTACATTCGCATCTTTTAGCTGGTTCACAGGAGACATTACCATGCCTGCATTTACATTCTACACAATCGTCCTCCTGAGTAAACTCTGAATTATGCGCATATTTAATTCCATCATCTTCGCAGGTGCATGCTGGGTTATCGGTGCATGTGAGTTCTCCATTAATACACTCACATTCCTGGCATGTATCGTCAAAATACTCTGACTGAAGATGTTCCATCGTACCATGTGTGTTAATTTTACAGGGTTTACATCTGTCCTCTTTACATGCAACCTGAGGGTATATTTTAAATTTAATTGTCAAAAATACAAAAAATATTCAACAGTATTATTTGTCATTTATTCTTAAAATTATTCATGTTTTATGCTATCACATTTTGAAAAAGTGCTTATGTTGGCCAGGTGGGCACTACATTTTTATCACAATATGTCTTGTTTTAAAATGTTAATCATGATCTGGAAATGATTTGCCCCAAAAAGGCTACCTAAGCACTTGTTTGATTCCTCTGTCTACTTAAAAATGTACCTTTCCATGTTTGCATTTACATGTTGAACAGTCTCCTTCCATGAATTCTTCCATATTCCCGTATGTCACACCATTATATTCACACATGCAATTTTTCCGTGTCTTGCAGACCATTTGTTGTTCCTTGCATTTACATTTTGTACAGCTTGCTACGTCATCTGATTTGTAGCCGTCTTCTACCACATTGCCATTAAATAAGCACCCTAAATATGAAATGTTGAATGACATCGATGAGCAACATTTACATTAAAGGGATAACTAAGATTGAAAAACAGTTTTGAGTAATAATCTTAAAATAGTACCATTCAGTAGGCTGGGCTCACATGATTAAAAGCCAAAACAAGGAAAATAAGCAACCTTAGGAGGCAAAATTTGCTTTTGCCCCTTTAACTTAAAACAATGACTAGTTATGACTTTTAGTGACATTCTTAGAGATTGTACCATGAGGTGAGGTCACATGATTAAAAGCCAAAACAAGGAAACAGTAGTTGGAACCAGATTTGATTGACTCTGCTGCGTGCACAAGCAGCCAGAAAATATTGAATATGGTTGAAACCCTGAACCTGAAACCCCTTAAATCCAATGGAACAAGGATAAACTGATGACATTATATCTGAACAGAGTATTGATGAGCATTTTGAGATTAATCTTATCTTGTTCTTTGACACATTTTCTTTAAAAATTAAACAACTAAATTAAAAGAAAAAAGTAACAAACTTGTTATTGTTATCTTTAAGGTCATGTCCGATCAATCACAATTTTGATTGATTAATTAGTAACACAATTTTTATGAACTCGCTGATAATTAAGTAAAACAAAATGACATGAATCCAATATGTCAATAAAATTAAATATTTTATTGATCAACAGACTGAGTCTTTGTTTATGTTTAATTTTTTTTGTCGTGATATCTCACTTTTTCTATCATGAACACTTTATGGCCTATATATTGAATTTTGTACCTTGTGTATTGTCATCCAGCCCAGCCGGCTGTATAAGTTGATCAGGACAACATAAAGAGTAGTGTTCAGTCCTGCTGCATGTGTGGTATTCTGGACAGTCACTGTTTTCATTACAAGAAATGTAAATTCGAGAACTTCGGGCCTTTAGAATTTCAGCGGGGGATTCACAGGTGAAGTTTTGATATCTGGAATTCAAAGGATATCAATTTAAGAGAACTTTTTTCTTTAAATATCTGTAGTGATCTTTCCAAATAGAAATTACGGAGGCACACCACCTCGATATGTTTCTTCTTTCTCAAGTGTTACAAAAAAGAAAAGAAAATTCTTAAATATTGCACAGAAAATAACACAGACCTTTAATATTACAGAAAAATTATTGCCTAAATCTATTCTGAAGAGAACATGCAGTACATGGTTAGAAAAAAATTGTCCCAAAATGATGAAATAAAGATATTGTACCTACCTACAACATACACTGTGATGTATTCTCTCTTTCGGGTTGTTTGAGCTAATCACTTTTTGACAATAAAATGCATTGGGGCAATCATTATTTTCCCTGCATTTGATTGGTCGCTTACTCTTGACGAATGGCTTTTTCCATGGACATGCCTTTGAAACAGCATATTGTTCAGAATCAAAAATTACTGGATTTTCGTATCCTTTCGACTTTTGTTCTTTATAACTAGCTTCTTTCCAGCCTGCGATTTTTCTACGTCCATATGTTCCCATGACTTGAAAAAATGTCAGAATTAGAATTAATCCTTTTTGGTCCACAATCATTCTTGTAGTTTTTAATTTTATCGCAACTGAATTGTCAAATCAGATATTGTAATTCACCTCTAATTGGATATCATACTGGATATTATACTGTCCTCATATCTCCAAACAAATATTTTTCATCAGATTGACAGCTGAAGTAGTTGTCATATAAAAGCGAAGGATTTGTAAATCATTTGTTTATTAAAAAAATCACTGGATGATGAATTGATTTGTGATAACATATCAACATTTCATGAAAAACAATCAATAATATAAGGCAAGAGCAAAAAATCTGTGTTTCACTTTTTCAAAAGAGTGCCAATGCTATTTTGGGCGTTTTATATCACCTCCAGAAGTGGTGACATATTGTTATAGTTTCTATTTTTGTGGACTGTGTTTGAAGTTTGGCATTTGGCAGTTATCACTTGCAACAAATAGCAGGTGGTGAGATTGTGCATGTTAATTCCTTGTTATAATATGTTTTATAGCTAGGACAGTATAAAACACAAATATTTTCTGTAGAAATATGTCACACATTAGTATCTCAAAGATGTTCTTCTTGGGTTTCATGTACAGATGTTCATTTAACATAAGTCAGTTAGTCATGGGACTCTGAAAAGTTGTATATGAAGGTGTTTCCCTTATGGAGATGTTCTACTTAAAAGAAGTGTTCCACTTAACAAGTTTTACTGATAACCATGACCCTAATTTGCCAACTTAAGATCAAGTATATGTGATTATCCTTGCCTGTATTGAATAAATAAAAAACAACATGTCAATCAAAGTTCATCAATTTGTCAATTTGCATGAAGTATATGATGTTGTTTCTCTTTGATTTACAAACACTTTCTTCACCTCGTTTGTTCTTCCAATAATATAAATATAATATACCAATATATTATAATCTTTGAACTCATGAACACTTATTAATTGACAGTATTTTGCATGTACCATACTATGGAGGTTAAGATACATACTTTTTTAAAAACTTGTACATGTAGAATTATGGTCCTTTGTGGATTAGATCTCCCATTTGTACTATCTACTTGGCCAATTGAGTATAAAGGTAATCCAAGATGCCATATTCCCAAGAAAACCATTTCTTTGGATTTTTACTGATTAGATTTTCAAATGTTTTTTCTTAATGTGGCTGATTATGCTCTGAGCACCACAAATCTGTTTATTATGTTCTTTATGAAATTAATAATGTTTAAAAAAGATATAACTTTTGTGTTGCCTATCAATCCAACGCATATCTCAATGTTCTCTATGTTGACATGTATGGAAATGAAGTTAGTTTTCTGAATGGGTCACCCTCACCCCTACCCCTCCTTACCTCCTTTTCCAGGTTAACTTGATCATGAATTACACTCAAAATCAACATTTACCCCTTACTTTTTCCAGATCTGGTGCATCATATTGTATATTGTATTTTCTTTATCACCAGTCATGGCAAGCATTTGAGCAATACCTTTTGGGTATTTGGTCGCCAGGTTGGCCTAGTGGTTAAGGCATTGGTCTGAAAAGCAGGAAGTATGGCTTCAGGCTGAAAAGTAGAGGTCTTGGGTTCAAACCCAGGACACAGCACTTGTGATTTGTCTTTGACCTATGACTGCTGACCTATACCGGCGATTACTAGAGTGCTGCCGACTCGATAAAAGGCTGGCGCTGGCTAGAATTGTCTATGGTTCTAGCCAGGATAAAGATACCAGTTCTTCAACTCAACAATGGGAAGAACTGCTCTACCTTAGTGACTAATATGTCATGATATGACATCTAAAGAGTCAATAAAAGATATATATATCCCACATTTTACTGTCTTAATCCATAACACTGTCTTTTAGTCAAGCAATTAATTATTCCTGGTATCATGTATATTCCTATGATATATTATAGAAATTAGACATTGCATGTATTTTACTGTATTTTCAGCTGAGACTGTATGTATGAGAGTTCTGAAAAGTCTAATACCAAAAGAAGATGTTTCAGCATTCACCGTCATAAAAGCTGTATCATGGATCAACTGTTTACATAAAGGTCCACCACTTACCAGAAAAGTGAGTTTCTTTTCAAAAATAGGCAATGGGCCCTAAGTTACCTTTTTTGCTTGCACTAGCAAGGGCTTATTTAATACCTGGGCCTCAGTATGTGTACCAAACAAAATGAAACGACACAACATTCGGGGCTTTGCATGTCGTCCTTATAAAGTAGTGCGAACTCCTGTGCAGTGATAATATCACTGCGGCGGGCAGGTATCTCACCGTAAGCATGGTAACTTCGTAATAAACAACTGGCGTGATTGGTTCTAGTCCCATGCTCAGGTCGCGTGATTGTAAAATTTAGACAATTTCATTGGTTGAATTGCGCGTATTAACTAATAAACAACACGTGCGGTAAACTATTATCAACACAACTTTTACTCAGAATTCCTTCCGCGGTGAATTCTTCTCATATTTCAATAATTTTGAAATATTTTGACAAAATAATGTTTGGGGAACATTTATGAATACATATTTTATAAGTTGTGTGAAAATTGACCACATATATGATGAAAAGGCTATTTTCCCCAAGTTTTGGGGATTTTCTTCGCCTGCCCGCCGCAGTGTCTATACCGAGACACTGCATGGGAGTTCGAAAGTAGTGTACTGCTTACAGCTTAATGACATCATCAAACTTGCCAATGTATTATAATTTTTGATGAATAAAAATGTGGCAAGGTTAATTGAAAAAGTATACTTTATTCATGAAAAGGAAATTTCAATTTAATTTTGCTGATTAACTAATGCTATATATATGTATATGTTGTAAATTGCACTAAAGATTATCAGTCAATACACTTGGCTCAATAGTTGCATTTAAAGTGTTAATATTGAAATAATCATCTTTTGTGCATGCAAGGTCTTTATTATGGTGTATATTTCAGGTGTTTTTTATATGAGGTGCTTATTTGAGGTGTTTGTCTGAATGATATGTACATGCATGATGTGTTCATTAAAATACGATTCAGGGCTTCATTATAGATTGCATTCATGAAATGATTATATGTGTTTAGTATTAAAAGATGTGTTCATTAAAATATGTTTCAGGTGTTCATTATAGATTGCATTCATGAAATGATTATATGTGTTTAGTATTAAATGATGTGTTCATTAAAATGTATTTCAGGTGTTCATTATAAGATGGCTTTTGTTGGTGTATGATCTTGTGGACAATCAGGACCAAGTACATCTACTTTACAATATGCTCTTCCCAATGATAGAATATGTACCTCTGGTAGGTATTTAGTGCTTGCTTGTTTGTTTGTTTATCTATTTGTTTGTTTGTTTGACAATTCTGAAATTTGTCATTTTTAACTTCATAAAAAAACAAATGAATTTCAGGAATCTTACAACATATTTTTCATAAGCAACTTATTTAAACTGCAAATATTTGTTCATTTTTTTTTTATTTCTATCTATTTCTTCCAGTGTCCATTTCTGTGCCACCTCCTGTACAAGATGACAAGAGAAGATGATGTCGTCATACACAGAGTACAGAAACTAAACACCCTTATCAAAGAAATGGTAGGCATTTAATTTACTATATACAGACAATAGCATTGTAGAATTGAGAACTAATCATTTATTTATTTTGAAATAATATGTTGATCATAAAGTAAAAATAAGAGTCTCACACCTATAATTGTCTTGAATCTCGTTGACATCTATTAAGTGCTATAAACAGTGATGATGCATAAGTTAGTTATTCATTCATATTTCAGGGGGACCAGTCCCATCTACTAGGACTACTGTCAGTGTACAAGTCATTCAAGCCACATCTTGTGTCTGTGCCCATTCCAAGGTCAAGGAAGGTAAGGTCATCAGAAAAATGCATCATTTTTGAGGGTGCAATTCAGGTGGATTTTACGAGAAAGCATTGAACACTTCTACAGTTGTTGTTTTTCAAGTATGCTGAGCTTTATTTTCAATTGTATGGGATTGGATTGATTATTTTTAACCTTATTGTATACTAAGATGGAAATATTGCAAATGCAAGCAAAAAATGAAAAAATGTTCACATCATCATAACGTAACACTGTTATGATTACAAAATGTTTAAATAATAGACATGTAAAATCTGAATTCAATATGTACATAACAACATATTTTAAGCACACATATACCATCCTTTATTTTTGTTTGCTAGGCATTCTTTAAGAAAGTGGATCGTGATTGGGCAGAGCGCATTAAGACAATTCAACAGCGAACAAGACCAGATCACACTGGGGCCGATGATATGACATTACAATTTCAAATGACTGATACAGAACCCACTGGGCCAGTAAGCAAAATATCACACTTGTAGCTAGAAATTTCACTACAGTGTATGTTGTGTAAAATTACCTTCAAATATCTCACATATATTTGTTCATTTATTATTTATTTTGAAAAACCCTTTTAGAGCATTGGAACACTCTTCAATGTGGAGATATGCGTCAATTTAAAAGATACATTATTATTTATAGTTTACACATCTATTGGAGCTAAGAGTTTTGGTTACAATAGAAGATTATCTTAAAGCATATAGAATATGCATATAGCAGAGAATATACTATAGTATATCGATAGTCCATAATTGTCAAACATAACTGAAAATTCTTCAATGTTGTAATTATCAGATCATATGATTTAAGGCATTGTTTAGGTGCAACTGCATATTTATACATTAACCCAGATAGACTAATTTATTTTTTAGCGAACCAAAAGGCGGAAACTTGTCCCAGAAATTGAGTCACAGACTGTAAATGCTCCTGCGAAACCTTTAGAGGGAATGCTTGAACCCAAACCTTTTGAGCAAATAAAAACTGTTGATGACCTCATTGGTAACATTGAGAGAATAGAGGTAAGAATGTGTGATCACCCCTATGTTAGGAAATGAACTAGTCCAAACTGTCATTATGGATCAGTCTATTATCCAAGCAGACGACAATTAAAGTGTGTTGTGTTAAGAATGATTGTGTGATGATCCCCATGAAAGGAAATTAACTAGTCCAAACTGTCATTATGGATCAGGTCATTATCCAAGCAGATGACAATAAAGGACTATAGTGTTAAGTATGATTTTGTGGTTATCCTCATTCCCCATGTAAGGAAATTAACTAGTCCAAACTGGCAATATGGATCAGTCCATTTTACAAGCAGAAAACAATTAAGGGGTGTTATATTGCATTTCAGTTGCCATGCCAAATTGCTGGGGTTCTTGACAACCATCTGCTGCAGTTTTATGTTGGTTACCTTAGTGATAGGTCAGCTGACCACAGGCTTTCATTCTGGTTGGCTAATACATTAACTGAGGGTAAGTTAATTAGTTAACACAGTAAATTTTCTTTTTAAGGTATTGTCAACCAAATATTCATTTGTGAAGTGTTCATTATCAAACAAGAATAAATTATAATCTAGATAGTCATCTGAGCTTGTCAACAATTTTCTATATAAGCTTGCATATGCTGAAATAAATTCAAAAAATGATGTACAGTACTACTAGTACTGGCTCATCTACGGTAAACACTTGAAATAGTTCAACATTTTGATTACCCTACACATCTTAGCCCTTACATGGTGAGTACTGAGAATGGAGATGACTCTATGTTTTGTATGATAGGAGTGTTTTTATTATTAGCTCACATGGTGAGCTTTTGCAATCGCTCACTTGTCCGTCTGTCTGTCCATCCGTCCGTCTGTCTGTCCGTCCGTCAACAATAGTGGCACGTTTTAAAACCTCTGTCGATAGGATTCCTGTTTTAAGTTATTTCTGTTCAACATCAATACAGAAAACTCCCCTATGACTCCTGGTTCAAAAGCTCGCCTATTTTCAAAATGGCCGCCATTTTTGTCTCGCGAAATTCACTTTTGGCTGGCACGTTTTAAAACCTCTGACGATAGGATTCCTGTTTTAAGTTATTTCTGTTCAACATCAATACAGAAAACTCCCCTATGACTCCTGGTTCAAAAGCTCGCCTATTTTCGAAATGGCCGCCATTTTTGTCTCACGAAATTCACTTTTGACCCATTTCCTAGCTTTACAAATAATTTCAGGTATCCTACATTGTAAAAATCTGTGTCAATGTAAAGAGTAGATATATGAAATAATTTTGTTACAAAAATCAGCGAAAAATTATATCTATTTTTTTATTTTCAGCCATTTTAGTTAACATTGATTTGTCCATCTGACTTGTGAAATCCACTTTTCCGTCAACAACAGTGGCACGTTTTAAAACCTCTGTCGATAGGATTCCTGTTTTAAGTTATTTCTGTTCAACATCAATACAGAAAACTCCCCTATGACTCCTGGCTTAAAAGCTCGCCTATTTTCAAAATGGCCGCCATTTTTGTCTCGCGAAATTCACTTTTGACCTATTTCCTAGCTTTACAAATAATTTCAAGTGTCCTACATTGTAAAAATCCATGTCAATGTAAAGAGTAGATGTATGAAATAATTTTGTTACGAAAAATCAGCAAAAAATTATATCCATTTTTTTTATTTTCAGCCATTTTAGTTAACATCTGTCTGTCTGTCTGTCTGTCTGTCTGTCTGTCTGTCTGTCTGTCTGTCTGTCTGTCTGTCTGTCTGTCTGTCTGTCTGTCTGTCTGTCTGTCTGTCTGTCTGTCTGTCTGTCTGTCTGTCTGTCTGTCTGTCTGTCTGTCTGTCTGTCTGTCTGTCTGTCTGTCTGTCTGTCTGTCTGTCTGTCTGTCTGTCTGTCTGTCTGTCTGTCTGTCTGTCTGTCTGTCTGTCTGTCTGTCTGTCTGTCTGTCTGTCTGTCTGTCTGTCTGTCTGTCTGTCTGTCTGTCTGTCTGTCTGTCTGTCTGTCTGTCTGTCTGTCTGTCTGTCTGTCTGTCTGTCTGTCTGTCTGTCTGTCTGTCTGTCTGTCTGTCTGTCTGTCTGTCTGTCTGTCTGTCTGTCTGTCTGTCTGTCTGTCTGTCTGTCTGTCTGTCTGTCTGTCTGTCTGTCTGTCTGTCTGTCTGTCTGTCTGTCTGTCTGTCTGTCTGTCTGTCTGTCTGTCTGTCTGTCTGTCTGTCTGTCTGTCTGTCTGTCTGTCTGTCTGTCTGTCTGTCTGTCTGTCTGTCTGTCTGTCTGTCTGTCTGTCTGTCTGTCTGTCTGTCTGTCTGTCTGTCTGTCTGTCTGTCTGTCTGTCTGTCTGTCTGTCTGTCTGTCTGTCTGTCTGTCTGTCTGTCTGTCTGTCTGTCTGTCTGTCTGTCTGTCTGTCTGTCTGTCTGTCTGTCTGTCTGTCTGTCTGTCTGTCTGTCTGTCTGTCTGTCTGTCTGTCTGTCTGTCTGTCAACAATAGTGGCACGTTTTAAAACCTCTGTCGATAGGATTCCTGTTTTAAGTTATTTCTGTTCAACATCAATACAGAAAACTCCCCTATGACTCCTGGTTCAAAAGCTCGCCTATTTTCAAAATGGCCGCCATTTTTGTCTCGCGAAATTCACTTTGACTGGCACGTTTTAAAACCTCTGTCGATAGGATTCCTGTTTTAAGTTATTTCTGTTCAACATCAATACAGAAAACTCCCCTATGACTCCTGGTTCAAAAGCTCGCCTATTTTCAAAATGGCTGCCTTTTTGTCTCGCGAAATTCACTTTTGACCCATTTCCTAGCTTTACAAATAATTTCAGGTGTCCTACATTGTAAAAATCTGTGTCAATGTAAAGAGTAGATATATGAAATAATTTTGTTACAAAAAATCAGCGAAAAATTATATCTATTTTTTTATTTTCAGCCATTTTAGTTAACATTGACTTGTCCATCTGACTTGTGAAATCCATTTTCCGTCAACAACAGTGGCACGTTTTAAAACCTTTGTCGATAGGATTCCTGTTTTAAGCTATTTCTGTTCAACATCAATACAGAAAACTCCCCTATGACTCCTGGCTCAAAAGCTCGCCTATTTTCAAAATGGCCGCCATTTTTGTCTCGCGAAATTCACTTTTGACCTATTTCCTAGCTTTACAAATAATTTCAAGTGTCATACATTGTAAAAATCCATGTCAATGTAAAGAGTAGATGTATGAAATAATTTTGTTATGAAAAATCAGCAAAAAATTATATCCATTTTTTTTATTTTCAGCCATTTTAGTTAACATTGATTTGTCCATCTGTCTCGCAAAATCCACTTTTGGACCATTTGCCTTAAACCCTCTGTTGATAGGATTCCTGTTTTAAGTTAATTTTGTTCAACATCAATACAAAAAACTCTCCTATGACTCTTGGTTCAAAAGCTCGCCTATTTTCAAAATGGTCACCATTCTTGTCTCGCGAAATTCACTTTTGGCCCAGTTCCTAGCTTTACAAATAATTTCAGCTGTCCTGCATTGTAAAAAGCCATGTCACTGTAAAGAGTAGTTGTATGAAATAATTTTGTTACAAAAAGTCGGCAAAATATTATATCAGTTTTTTTATTTTCAGCCATTTTAGTTAACATTGATTCGTCCATCTGTCTCTCAGTCAGTCCAAAAAAGTGGCAAGTTTTAAACCTCTGTCAACACTTTTTAAATCCTCTGTAGATAGGATTCCCGATTTAAAATAATTTTGTTCAACATCAATAAAGAAAAAAAAACCTGTGACTCCTGCTTCAAAATCTCGCCTAATTTCAAAATGGCCACCATTTTTGTCTCGGGAAATTCACTTTTGGCCCATTTCCTAGCTTTACAAATAAGTTCACTCAAAAGCTCGCCTATTTTCAAAATGGCCACCATTTTTGTCTCGCGAAATTCACTTTTGACCTATTTCCTAGCTTTACAAATAATTTCAAGTGTCCTGCATTGTAAAAAGCCATGTCTTTGTAAAGAGTAGTTGTATGAAATAATTTTGTCACAAAAAATCTGCAAAAAATTATACCCGTCTTTTTTATTTTCACTTTTGAGCAACACCATGTGAGCCCAGTACCCATGGTACTTATTTTTATTTAATCTTTGTTTCCAGAATTCCTTTCACGGCCTGCCAATGAAAATCTCCATGAAAAGATACGCCTCCTAAGAAGAATCCTGGTATTTGAGGACAAAATCAAAGTTAGTTTTGAATTTATTCAATAACTTTGGTTACTTCTTGAACTTACTAAATGAATGTTATTTATACTGTAGTGACATCCTATTTGACCATTTTCCTTCTTTTAAACAATGAAAAACTGTATTTTATATGTAATGAAAAATTAATTCAGTGGCAAAAGATCAGGATTTATGAAAACACTGAGGTATGCCATTTGGATATTTTTACTGTTTTGGGTTTGGCTTTAGGGATGTCAACTCTATTTTTCCCCTCTTGTTTCTCTTTAATTATTGGGATTTTGTTGCTTTAGATATACCATTTATTGAAGAAAATATGACATGGAAAACACAATTTAACTAATTTCAGGGAATAGTATATTGTCTTCTTGCTAATCATTTGTTAAAAGAAAGTCATGCCCAAATATTTTGGAGTCACTTCTCCTTCGAATTGTAATATTTACTCTGCTTTTTACAGGAAGGTATCCCGGTTGTTGAAAGGTTCATACACAGATATCTGCTGCAGTGGAATGGGGACGACTTTAGGGAATGCATTCTAGGTCTGCTTACCAGGTTGCGCATTCAACCATTTGAAGGTAAATGGAATATTGATCATTTTGTTCAAGGATACTAGAAAATCCAACCCATTAATTTTGTCAAAGATGATTCTATTGTTTAACTTAACATTTTGATAGATGCTAGAGCAGACTCGGTGGCCATTTTGAATTTTTCAAGAAAAAGTTCTTAGTCTTTAGTGAATATTGAATACATTATCAATATGGAAACAAATTGCCCATTTTAATTTGTATATTTCAGTGCTAAATGAGCAGGTGTTCGAGCCTCTGAGGCAGATATTCTTCAGATCAAGTGTATATTTTAAGGTAAGTCCATCATTGATACAGATAATAAACTATGGAAAATTGAACTTTATTTGTCATAGCAGGATTGTGAATGTATTTCTTCTTGTTAAGATTTCTAAAATAACTGTATTTTATGTACCCACAGTGAAACAATGACATGTTTTTGTGTCTATAATAACTGCTTGATTTGCTTTATGGAAAAAAAAGTGGCAACATCTTGATAATATTTTGTATGTGATGTGATGATGAACCAGCCAGGCATGAGGCAGAAATATATTTTCTCTAATGTACTTTTTTCTTTTATGTGCACTCATACATGCAAGTACACAGTACCTTTTTACAAGTCATGGATTTGACATTAGTTCAACTAAAAACTGTTGAGTTAAAAATGTTTTGATCAACCTGCTTTATCCTAAATTTGCCTCGCCTTCATATTTGGCCTCACCTAATGGTATATCACAGCAACGTCCCAGCTGGAATTTATATATCTTTTATTGACTCAATAACCATGTCATGTAAATGACATATCAGTCACTACAGTGTACAAAAAACTACAAACTACAACTACATATTACAAAACTACTTTACATCAGTTTTACATGTCAGGGTATGATAACACACCAAGCATAACATTTCCTAGCCTTGCCCAAGTCGGTTTTTTTACTTATCTGATCTTGAATTATTACTAGAAATCAAGATAAGTAAAAGAGACTGACTTGGGCAAGGCTAAACATTTCATATAATATTTATTTTTTGTAATTTATATTTTAAATGTATCTCTATTGTATTACAGTGTCAGGTCCTGGTTGTGTACAAAGAACTACTGCGTAACTTTGCCGCCCATGAAGGTCGAAGACATACAAGTACGAAAAAGCTGAGTGAACAAATGAATTCAAATCCATACTTGACCAGTAATGAGTAAGTTATTTACATTACCAGCACAAATTGTAACATATTGTTATAGGCTCCAACTTTTTTGTGGAGGCAGTGTTCAGCAGTTGGTGTTCAGAGTTTGGCGTCTGTAACAAATGGCGGGTGATAACATTCTGCATGTTTAAAATGCCTTGTTTTTATTTGTTGTAAATTTCTATGTTAAAAAACTTGAAATAAAATAAAATTTCATTACTTTCAAGCAGTAAACCAATTCTTAAAAGAATGAATTACAAAAGAAATACATAATCATCAATCCAATATCAAGTAATGTCATCACAAATCAGCAGAAAAAAAGCTATTTAAATTGACACTTGCCCCAATGCTCATGATATAAGACTTTCTGAGGAACACAATTTGCTGTACTTTACTCGAATCATAACTTACAGGATCCCATAACAAGGTTCCATTTGTATGTAGATACTATATAGGGATAAATATCATATCTTGGACCAAGGATTGATAAAGAAATATCTGCCCCTTGCCTACTTTTCAAGTTTAGGAACAACAGTGTTGTGATATCTACCTAGAAATCATGATATGAAATACATCTGTTTTATACTGGAAGTGGTTGCTGGACTAATGGAAAAACATTTTCACAAGGAATATCCCTCCATCAAAAGTCTCTAGTACATAACCCTGATGTATATTAATATTGTATTGCTGTATGTTTTTTTAGGAGCGTGTTCCTCTATGAGACACCAGTGGAGGATTTTGAACCCCTTACTACTATTCTAGAGTTTGTTGAACATGTATCAGAGATTAGTGTTGTCGCGTTGCAACTTGAAGGAAATCATCCCGATCTTGTGAATCACACCCTCATGTTTTTTGAAACTGTAAGTCTAGTTTTTTATAAAATTACAAAGTGATTAATAGGATATTGATAAAATGCTCCTTGAAGACATGCATTGTGGTGATGCCCCTGTCAGGCTCGTGTGTAACAAAGCTGTATACCAGAGTGACATCTTTTTTGTGCAAAACTTTGACGCTAAAGTATCATAAAAGAATTTGTGGACACATGGTGGAAGTTAGTGTATTGTTTTGTTAATTTATTTTATAAATGCTCGCAGGATTATATTTACCATAGGTGATTGCAGACGACAGCCTTCCACCCCTGCATTGTATGTAAACAAGTCCATTTAATCAATCTGGACATGCTCACTTGTGAATTAAGGGGTGTGCTATAATTTCAGGCTAGCACTCTTCAAGACAACTATGATATCCCGCTTATGTTATTCCCGAGCCCAAGTATATGTAACGCTTGCCTGTTTTCCTTTGATGCTTCTATCTTCGTACGAATCTTGGATATAATATTAAGGTAAGTTTAGTTTTTATTACCCTTATATAGGATTTTTCCTTGATGTATTTATTTGCATTCATGTATAACTAAATTAAATACTTATGTGGTTTAATGTATTTTCTTAATGAGTAGTGCGATAAATTATGACATTTTCTTTTAAAATATTTATTTCATTTTAAAGAGTGTATTGTATTGTTAACAAAAGAAATACAAAATGTTATATTCATTTCAATCTTTTCAATATAAAATCACATTTTAAAGAACAAATTAATATTTTCAATGATCAATCCCATACCTTACGAGAAAATTAACCTTTGAATTATTTTTTGCTTTTTTTTTTCTAAAAACTTCGGTAATTTTAGATGCGGCGCTGCAGTCCGTAAACTGAAGAAGGCAAGGAGCACATCAGATCTCGATGACTCTGTAGCTGCTGCCATCATGCAGAGTATAAGTCAGGTATGTGGCAGACGACATCCATACACCCCTGTATTTTATATAGAATAGTCCATTCTATCAATTTGGACTAGTCTACTTCTATATGAAGGGTGAAATATAATATGATAGTATCTGTAGCTGCAGCCATCATGCAGAGTATAAGTCAGGTATGTGGCAGACGACATCCATACACCCCTGTATTTTAATATAGAATAGTCCATTCTATCAATTTGGACTAGTCTACTTCTATATGAAGGGTGAAATATTATATGATGCTATCTGTAGCTGCGGCCATCATGCAGAGCATAAGTCAGGTATGTGACAGACGACATCTATACACCCTCATAATTATGCATAGACTAGTCCATTTTTCTATTCGGACTTGTCTGCTTGTATATGAATTATATATGAAAGCATCAGTCAAGTATGTGGCAGATAAGGATATGATCTTTATTTTTCACACTTTCAAAGAACTCTCGGTGTTTTGTGCTGGTAGACATAGGTGCATCTGTCTGTCAATGCGCGGGTTGGTGTCACATGAATTTTGACATAAAAATTCCAGGAAACAACTTACAATATTCAATTTGAAATTATTTTTATCCTGTATTCTGATTGGCTAGAATTTGATATATCATTATGCCATCAACATTTTAGATTCACATAATAAAGCATTCAAAATTGACCACATAATACACAAATTTAAATATAGCAGCAGTTGAGAAAGACCAGTTTATCAAGAATAGCAATTCAAACACGCCAAGTGTGTCTCAGCCAATCAGCTTAGACATTCCAGTGTGTTAATTTATTGATATGATCATGAAAATGATTTTGCTGTGCATTTAATTACTGATTTGTGTATGTACTAACCCATTCTGATAATGCACTCATGCTTTGCCTTCGGGCATTATGTGTATGGGTTAGTGCATACACTCATGCTTTTATATTTCCAATATAGAATGATATATGATTCTTTATTCGCTAAATAATCATTCAATCAACCATTCATTATAAAGCATAAAGTATCAAAATGTGTTGTTTTTCATTCATTTATTTATAAATAACAAAGAAAGTGAAATACAGTATAATCATTGACATAAGATCATGTTGGCAAAGATACTGCTCTAACATTGTGCTACATTTTCCACTAGCATTCACCGATGAGTCTATCAAATGTCTTCGTCAGGTTATCTTGTTCAATATTGCGCTGAATTTCCAGTTTGGCTATGCATTCATCTATCAAATGAAAGATTTGTCCTTGTTTATATAAAACATCAATGTTTGCATGAAAGTATGAGAAGCAATACAAGGAAAACAAAGGCAAACACAATGAATTAAGGCAAGGCAAAACAAGGAAATCATAAAAAATCAGGAACTGTAACGCATAAATAAAAGAAAGGCAACAATTAGATGACAACAAAGATGGTGTTAAACACATAAGGGACAAAAGAGAAGGAAAACAAAGGCATTGCAACACAATAAAACAAAGGATTAAAGCAATACAATAGAGAAATGATGGAGAAGTATCATTAGAAAATGATCTGTAAAATGCAGTCTACATTGCAGAACTCCTTGAATGTATCATTCTATTTGGATTTACAATAAAATGTAAGACGTAAATAACATAAAAGGCCACTATCACTAACTGGACAAAATTAATTTCAATGAAATTCAGGAAAATTATTGAATCATTGACCTTTGTTTTAAATTCTTATGAGGGCCCATAACCTTGTTTGTTTATTTTTTCGTGGAGCCACTTAGTAAAATTACGAATTGACCTTTGTTTTAAATTCTTAAGAGGGCCCATAACCTTGTTTGTTTATTTTTTCGTGGAGCCACTTCGTAAAATTACGATTTCTCTGCACCAGGATGTTCATTCAAGATCATTCCAGTACCTATGTATTCCAAAGAGGTATGGGCATCAGGGAATGACATCATCTACAAAATGTTTGCATGCTTCATCTACGAAAAGTTTACATGCATCATCTACAAAAAGTTTGCATGCATCATCTACAAAAACTTTGAATGCATCATCTACAAAAAGTTTCCATACATCATCTACAAAAAGTTTGAATGCATCATCTACAAAAAGTTTGAATGCATCATCTACAAAAAGTTTGCATGCATCATCTACAAAAAGTTTGAATGCATCATCTACAAAAAGTTTGAATGACATCATCTACAAAAAGTTTGCATGCATCATCTACAAAAAGTTTGAATGCATCATCTACAAAAGTTTGCATGTTTCATCTACAAAAAGTTTGCATGCTATTTTGACTGTTACTGGGAAGATATACAATTGTATAAGTGTGATATTCTTTCAAAATTGCTAAATACAATAACTAGCCTTTAATGGACATTTTAAATTAACTGAGTGGCTCCGCGGGTTATGTGCCCTTTTAACATTGCCTACATACAGTACATGTATGTAAATCACTTCACATATAAATACTCACCTACAGAGTCTTGGTCGTAAGTGCCTGAAAAATAGCAATATATCAAATCATCCTATGTACTCTGAGCCAACTAAGCAACTAAAAACATTATGGGGGAGTTAAAAAACTTATAGTAGTAGTTAACCCAATTATATTTTCTTTAAAATTTGTGAAAGTGTAAACAACTTATTAATGGTTACTGATTATAAACTACAGTTTATATAACTGCAGTTTCCATTTTGGATTCAGAAATAAGTACGTAGTTGGCAGGGTTGGAAAACTAGAAATCAATTCAAATTCAAAAGTCCACGATTTTAAACAAAACAACTTTTTTTGGGGTTGTCGAGTTAGCCAAGCGGGCTTGAGCGCCCGCACGTTCACGCTAGGTGATTGGGCGCAGTAACCACGAGGTTGCGAGTTCGAGATGCGTGTGCTCGTGTTTATTTCATTTACAGTATAATAAGATTACTAACCCTCTCCTTTAAGCTCTTGAAATGTTGGCCCACATGCTATATTATCAGTCGTGCTGGTCTCAATCACACAGAAATATGTGTAGAAATATATTGCAAGACAATCTGGGACAGTCAGTCCTTTACATGCATTTGGGAAGAATATGTCCCTCTTTGTAATATCATTCAAATGTGTGCTAACTTGATAGCCATTGTCACAACTCAGTGGATACTAAAATGAATAATAACAGCTCATGTTAACACTAAAATGAATAACAACAGCTCATGTTAACACTAAAATGAATAACAACAGCTCATGTTAACACTAAAATGAATAAAAAGTACTCTATATTTTGTTTGTGCTACATGAAGATATGGCAGTAAAATTGAGAAAAATAATTTTTTTATCATCAACAAAAAGTGTGATTAGCTTACTGTTCAGGTATTTGATATAAAACTCAAGAGTGTTATTATTCAAAAATGTGGCTCATAAATACATTGATCTGTTTTGCAGTTGGTACATGCTCATGTGATGACACAGTTATAGGCAATTCACTTACCTTATGCCGCCTTGGATCTGCGTCCAAACCATCACACACAATAAATATACAGTCTTTGTATGTATTACCCAGTACACTAACTGGTAGAAATCCATTCCCACCTTGACAATCTTAAATATGGAGCAATTGGTTGACTTAATTGTGAATAATGCAATTAGAAGGTCTACTTTCACCCTTGGTATTCTAGATCATTTCAATACATTTTCCCTTAACTTTTTAACAGAGAACAATGATGTTATTTGCTGTTTTGATTTGGTCACCAACATTTCATGTGTCCAATAAAATTTGCCTCTTATTTTACTAAACCATGTTTTTTTCTCAATATATATGTAGGAATTATTGAGACAGCATAGTATCCCTACGAGATCCACAAGAAATGCACTTATTAATCATCAATAAAAAGTTTTTATACTTTTTGTAGTGAATGGACCTCAGATCAAAATCTCTTTTAACTACTGCACTCCCGGTATTGTTCGCATGCGTTTTATTTTCCCTTTGTGTTCGCGAGCAGGATAAAAAAGCAAACAATTATCGTTGCGATGTCTTTTAAACCCCCCGGGGATTTGTTAAATTAATATTTACCCAGAACTTTGATACATTTCATAATTATATATATATATTTTGTTCGGTGTAAAACGTTTCGTCTAGTGTTGTTGGGCGATACTTTAAAAAGGACATCGAACTTGTGATGCCTCCCCTTAATTGCTTAATAGCCTCAATTTTCAAAATTGCGAAATTTTAAAGCGTCAAAATATACCAGGAGTTCAGTAAATAATTTTGAATGCATGATATTTTAGTAATTTTTCAACAAATGTTGACATACCAATATCCTCTAGTTGATATTTGCCCTTTACTTACCGACATCATCAAATACATTGAGGTTAAATTCAGCAATACAAAGTCCTAGCATTGTTGACAACAGAGACAATTGTAGCATGCTCATAACTTTTCCCATAATGCAATTCAAAAGGCAGACGGATATTCTCTTGATCTTGCTGCTGACTCCACAATCGAAGTTTATCACTGTTTACAGGAATATGCATTTTTGAGTTTTTATAATATTTCAAGAGAATGAATCGTTATAATGACAATCATGAATTTATTACCACCTGGGTTTTTAAAGTGAAATAAAACAAGACGGCCCATAAAATGATGGATATACAATGAACGAGTGAATATAAACTGAAAATTAAATGACAATGTGACATATAAAATTTCTTGTTGCTCGATTTAATTCTTGTTTCATTGTAAAAGTAATAAAAACAAAATGTAAAACGACTAAAATAACCACCTCAGAATAAAATTTAAATGAATACATAAACAGCTTTATGCAATAAGCTTAATTATCTGATCTAAGGTATTTTTTATTTGAGTTATAAAAATGCTCGAGTGATAAAATAGAATTAATCGTAATCCATAAATTTGTTGTATTCCATAATTCATATGAAGAAGATCGTTAGTACAATTATAGATGTAGATGTTCAGGTTTATACTTAATCTGGGTAATAAATATACCTACTTGATAGTCATTTAATGAAATGGAAATGTGTCATAATTTCATTGAAATATCCCGATTGTTGTTGAAATGACTGCAATAGCTTAGTGTAGCTCTAAGTATAGCTTTTTGTAAAGTTAAGTACTTGGCCGAAGTTGAACTCTATGATTGTATTTAAGCAACGAGCAGATTCAGAATATTTTTCTGAATATAATTTAGGCCAAAGAGCTCTTTATGAATATACAGTAAAACTGTGTAAAGTCAACATTTTTTGCCTAGAAAAAACATTCGGTGTTGGTGCTCACTACAGAGACGGTAATTTTAACAGAAGTCAGTAGAGTATGTGCGGAGGAGGGGTGTCCACTAGAGACAGGTGTTCACTAGAGAGAGATGTTCACTAAGACAGGTTTTACTGTAAATAATAATGAACATAATTACACAAATGTGCTTCATTGTCACTTATATTTATTTCTTAATAGTCTTATCAATGAATCTTGACAATGATATTTTTATGATTGAAAAATATCTCATAATTTATTGGGCCCATATCAAGATAAACTGAAAACCATGGCATTGAAAGATATACGAGTAATCTAAGGGCTAACTCTACAGGTCTTTCTATGTCTTTCTGGATGATGTGATTCAGATAAGTGAATCCATCAATCTCTACACATCACAGCCATAAACCTCCCATTTCAATTGTATTTTTCCATTCCACTCCAGTGGTCTGAGTCGTACAAGCTTTGCTTGGAAATCATTTTCAAATTCATCTCTGACCAATGTTTCTGAGTCGATGTTCCCTACAAAATCCTGGAAATAGATGATTATTTTGTGATATTTTTTTTTTGTAAAAATAAAACACCTTCTAGATTAATTAAAGGGATATTCCTTACCAGACCTTCTCTTTTCCTAATATGGTAGCTAAAGCCATATACATAAGCAACACATGGAAAAATGTTTTGATATGGTCAATATTCACTGTTCCACTGTTCTTTCGTTTATGAAAATCTAACGATTTCTATTAAACTAAGTTAAGTCTGGATTCCAAATGTTTCGCCATGCAAACTAATAAAGTTATGATTGTAAACAGTCACGAGAAAATATTCAAACACCCGCCATATTGGAGAATTTAAGGGAAAAGGCCTCACTTACTATGACTCTAACTGAACTTGATGATGATGTAGGAATGACATGTCATCATCAAGTTCAATTAGAGAGGAAAGAAATGATCTGGTAAAATGTTTCTCTCGTGCTAAAGTAATACTAGCCATTCACTGTACCTACCCCTAAACTGGTGTAAGAGACACCATCCCAGCTATATTCAACTTCATATTTTTCAACTCTGTATAGACTGTCTCTTCCACCCATTGTTGCTATTGCTGTCACAAGCATTATATCAGGAAATTCAATCTGTATACGTGAGACAAGTGTTAATGTATTGCATCCAAAAGACAATGTTAGGTCACCAGGTTTCATTCAAGAAATATTGGGACTTTCATATTGCATCCAAAAGAAAATGTTAGGTCTATATGTTTTATTCAAGAAAATGTGGGGTTTACATGTTGCATCCAAAAGACAATGTTAGGTCTTCATGTTTCATTCAAGAAGATTTGGGGCTCAAATGTTGCATCCAAAAGTCAATGTTAGGTCAATATGTTTCATTCAACAAAATTTTGGGCTTGCATGTTGCATCCAAAAGACAATGTTAGGTCAATATGTTTTATTCAAGAAAATTTTGGGCTTGCATGTTGCATCCAAAAGACAATGTTAGGTCAATATGTTTCATTCAACAAAATTTTGGGCTTGCATGTTGCATCCAAAAGACAATGTTAGGTCAATATGTTTTATTCAAGAAAATTTTGGGCTTGCATGTTGCATCCAAAAGACAATGTTAGGTCAATATGTTTCATTCAATAAAATTTTGGGCTTACATGTTGCATCCAAAAGTCAATGTTAGGTCAATATGTTTCATTCAATAAAATTTTGGGCTTACATGTTGCATCCAAAAGTCAATGTTTGGTTAACATGGTGCATTCAAATTACAAAGTTAATTACATACAAAGGTATTATACATATGTTGCATTCAAAAGACAAAGTTTGGTCTACCAGTTGCATCCAAAAGTCAATGTTTAGTTAACATGTTGCATTCAAATTACAAAGTTAATTACATAAAAAGATATGATGCATATGTTGCATTCAAAAGACAAAGTTGGGTCCAAAAATTGCATTCAAGAAGTTTAAATGTGGGTTTATGCATTCCGTTTCAAAAACAATACAGGTACATATTGCATTTTGAGGAAAATGAGTGGGCTGCCTTACGAGACGATGTCTAAATATTTTTATACTAATATGGGGTTTACAATGCAGTGAAAGGTTCAAATGTTGCATTCCAGGGACAATGTAGATGAGGTTGTTATTTGGATTCCTGAGTCAATGAATGGTTAATGTGTTGCGTTTGAAAATGCAGGGTTAACATATTTTGTTCAGCGGCAATATGGCACAGTATTTAGTACTCAGATCAATGTCAGTTGAAACAAAATTGTTTTGCAACAATAATTCTTCATAAAAACTTCACACAGCAGGTATATCCAAAATTTCATGATGCATCAAATTATAATGTTGATCACAACCCAGGTACCTGAATCCATTGGTTTGTGTCATGTACAGCGGGCATCCATCCATCATAATAGAGTACACTGTTGTAGACATCAAATCCAGAAGCCTCACTAGATGCTGTTATTTCAAACTCTGTATCTCCAATAAGGGCCTCCTGACAATCTGAGAGTAATAGGAATTTTTAAGTGAACAGGTCGTTTAATACAAAAAGTAAATTGAAGAAGGCTGTCTGTCTTCTCGTTGCATTCCTCTTTCTTTTTGTTTTATTGTTCCTAATAAGGGATGGTACCGTTGTCACATAGCTGGCAGATGGCCGTGTTTCTCTTTATTCTTGTCTTTGCATAGTTAAAGGCAAACTGGATTGATTAAAAAATATCAGTTTTGTTTCTTGGTATCACTTAGTATAGGATGGAAATAGGGCTTGCGACAAATATTCTTGTTCTTTTTGCATCATTCACTTTCATGATAACCCACTCGTCATACCTTCACCTGTATCTGAGGGACTAACGGTTACAAAAATTTATGAAATGATACATGTAGATCATTTGACACTTTGGTGTTTGATACGTATGGTTTAGTTTCATAAAGACTGGATTATTAAATAAATTACATACAAAGATAAGTACACATGAAATACTCCAAAGTATGCTTGAAACAATACATTAAAATGTGTAAACTATGTTTAATACATACAAATGAGAAAACAGTTGCTCTTGATCTCATAACACCGGAATCATTTCACTTACTTGGGTTAGGTTCATTAGGTGTATCAGTAGTGCTGCATGCATTGATGAGTCGTTCAAATGTTTCTGTCAAGTTTGCCTGTTCAATGTTTCTTTGTAGTATCACTTGAGATAGGCATTCATCTATCAATCAAATTATTAGTATTTAGGAATGATTCAATTAACATAACATAGGCAATGAGCATTCATCTATCAATGAAATTATTTGTATTTAGGAATGATTCAATAAATATAACATAGGAGGTAAGAGAGGAATATTCAACAATACCTCAATGGCTAAATGATGAAAGCCCCACAATTCGATATTTTTTATTAATTTATATTTTTGTTTCCACTTTTATATCAATTGCACTTGCGGACTCCGCAATGCTGTTAATGCATTCACAATACTATCAGAATAAAATACAATTACATGTTCATTAAATATTAGTATATAGGCAAAAGTGTTAAAGGGAAATGACCAAAAATTGTAGTAGAAACTGGCAAGAAGGGGAAAACAATATAGATATACAGTATAAAACATATTTGACAATATGTCATTATTAAAGGTGTTTGGAATAATCCAAGAGGTAAATAAAAAACATTCAGAAAGTATGATAGGCAAGCAGGAAAACTTGATCAATTATTGTTTCATACATTATTGATCCAATTGCTTTTATTTCACTCATTTAACATTTTACTCATATCATATTTTTCTAATTTCACATTTTACTCATTTCACATTTTATTAATTTCACATTTTACTCTTTTAACATTTTACTCACCTACTGGATCATTAGGATCATCAGCACTGATCCCTGTAACAACAATACATCATTCATTGTAAAAATATAAAAAATGAAATGATTACCACATACAAATTAGAATTGAATGATTGAGTCTGTAAACTGCGATGAAAGCTTTTTCATAATGACCTTTACTAAATCAGTACGCAAATGTTTATACATCGGTCACATTTGCTCCGATTTCCAAACCTGTGCCCAGCCTGCATGGCAAGCTAGGAAACAAACCCCAGAAGATGATAGACCACTATCTGTTAAGTTACCGGCCTCTGATTAAAATGCAAGGCTGATTTTTATTATTATTTACCAGCTGGCGCCTGATGCAAATGCAACTTTTTGACATTACATGATCTGCTATGACTTTACATTATATATTTTACATTACCTTACTGAACTACAACAAACAAATTTACTTTTTCTTTTGGCTAACATGGTGCATTTCTTAATGTAAAGATTAATTTAATATAATACAATTAAATCGCATACAAACTTATATATTTGCAATATAAACATACTAACCCTTAAGCTCTTCCCATGTTGGCCCACATTCTATATTATATAATCATATACAAAGTTATATACTTGCAATATAATACTAACCCTTAAGCTCTTCCCATGTTGGCCCACATTCTATATCATCAGTTGTACTGGCTTCGACAGTGCAGAAAATATTGTTGAAATATAATGCAAGACAATCACTGACACTCCTACCATTGCAAATATATGGAAAGAACAAGTCATCGGATATAGTATTCAGTGGCGCACTCACTTGGAACCCATTGTCACAGCTTATGGGATACTACAAAGAATATAATATATCTGGCTGATATACTCTTGCCATTGCAAATATATGGAAAGAACAAGTCATCGGATATAGTATTCAGTGGCGCACTACAGCTTATGGGATACTACAAAGAATATAATATATCTGGCTGATATACTCTTGCCATTGCAAATATATGGAAAGAACAAGTCATCGGATATAGTATTCAGTGACACACTCACTTGGAACCCATTGTCACAGCTTATGGGATACTACAAAGAATATAATATATCTGGCTGATATACTCTTGCCATTGCATCTTGAACATTTTTTGGGGTTGTTATTTTGCATTTTTCGTATTATAATTGATTCAATATAAAATTGTTGAACCCATTAGAAACTTTGGAGATTATCAAGATGAAAACTAAGTCTATGACATTCATTAAAATATTGATATATAGGCAAGACTGAATTAAAAACTGTGTATAGGGGAGAAAACTTCCATGCTTCAACTGTATGACAATGTGAACAAATGTCTGAAAATATTGATTGGATCTGTGCTGTTAATATACTTTGGGTACATCTTTAAGACACCCTGTATTTCCTCAGTCAACAAATAAACACTATAGACGGTCATGATGAACAATTTAACATACCCTCTTGAGGTAAAACTATCCAAATATACCCTGCTTGCACCCCCCCCCCCCCCTTCATGTCCTAATAGATAGTACCAATATACAGTTACTTCCAGGGAGACAATAACTGGTAAGCCCACCAACCTTATGCAGCCTTGTATCTGCATTTAGACCATCACACACAACAAATATACAATCTTTGTATGTGTTGCCCAAGTATCCAACTGATAGAAATCCATTCCTGCCTGCACAATCTAGAATATAGAAAAAATGAATAAACACAAGGAGCACACACGTCTTGAACTCTCAACCTCGTGGTTACGGCACCCAATCGCCAAGCCTGAATGTGCAGGCGCTCTTATCCTCTCAGCAGTATGATAAAGTGTGTATATCATGTGTAGACGATGCATTCCAACTATCCTATTTGCCTTTGAAATGAAATTCCAATTGTAACCCATCTTAAAGAGCGCCCAGAACCAGCCTGATATTTTGTATGAAATAAGCTTTTAATCATGGTCTATTGATGATACAAATTGCATCCTGTTGAAAATTTAAAAAATTGGATATTGAAGAGACAAAGCCATTAACTTACCAACATCACTTATTTGTTCAAGATTAAATTCAGCAACACAAATTTTCAAAATAATTGACACAAGGAACAATTGTAGCATATTCATCCTGTTTCCCATAATGCAACTCAAAAAGCAGACGGATGGAAAGTCAGTCCCTCTGCTTACTCCAGTGTTATGTTCTGTTACAATTTATTGACTTAAATGTCAGTTAAAATGTAATTTCTTCAATTTTCCCTATTGTGAATTTAATTAATCATTCTATTATCTCATTGAACAAGGTTCAGATGGATATAGGGAATGCCTCCATCCGTCCGTCCATATGTCCATCGAGGCAATAACTCAAATACTGTTGGCCCAATAGTTCTTCTCAAAAGCCGGTTTTCAAAATGGCTGCTCATTTCAATATGACTGCCATTTTAGTGCAGATTTTACAGTAATTTAGGTATAGTATATAAAACTGTAATATCCATATGCTTTAAATGTAAAAAAATTATATATCACATGAATTGAGCTAGATGTTCAAGAAACACATGGCAGCCATCTTGAAAAATGATGGCCTTTACACACTATTTCACGATTTTTTAAAATAGTGGAGTGATTTTGTTCATATTCAATATATGAATGCCCATAATCGTGGCAATTTGGCTAATACATGTATATGTGTGCAAATTTGTTGAAATTTTAAATGTGCCTACTTTGAAGCATATTACACTTTCTTATTAGAATTTGACTAGTAGAGCGATCACTTTGAAAATGGTGACCATTTTTATGTGTGTTATTTTGTAAAAATGGCAGCCATGGCGGTTTGATTAGATCTGCTACACTTTGGCGTTGCTGTTATCTAGTATTAAAAAAGTTAGACATGGGAACTAATGTGAATTTAATGAGATTTTAATCATAGATACGTTTAGTTTTTTAACAAGTAGGATTGGCTCCCAGAATGCAACACCGATATTCTGCAAAACAATCACCTAGCGATAGCTTTGTTGGAGAGTATCGGGTCATTCTCCATGCAGTCGTACAAATTATACAGACACAAATAGCAAATGACGCATGCGTGGAGATTAAAGAATATCGAGTTGGAACCCTGGCTTCCAATCCTCCTTGGTTTTTTAAACAATGACTCAATCTTAATGAAAATCTTTGACATTTGTATAGATTTTGTCAATGAACTCACTTTTTGTCCCTGAATATTTCATATCTCCATTTTGCCCGTATTATTGTATGAATAAAACATTAGAAGGAATAGTTTTTATTTGTTGGATTTTGAGCCTTTTATATTGTCAGTTTTCTAAATCGTATGGTATGTGTGTAGCAGATGATTAATACAAGCCTTTCCCATGAGCTGAGCTATATCAAGACTCTTTGAATTAAAGATTTTGCCTATTGCACATTCAGTTGGATCAGAAAAGCTTATATTATATATTATATATATTTCTGCCTATAAGAAACTATCATTCTTTAACTTTCAAAATTTCATAAAATACAATGACACTAGATGTACTTTAGAAATTCTTAAGATCGAATTCAGCATCGAAACTGTACACACATTTGTAGGAATCAGAGGTTTGAATAGTAAGCTGCATGATTTCAATTCAGTGTAGTTAATGGCATTTTAATTGATTCTAGTAGTCTGGATTTTACATGATAAAAGAAAACATTTGTTTTGATCATGTTAATGACCCATTTTGTGTGTAATCAGATTCAGAATTTGCAGATCCCTCTCTGTCTCAGGCCTAGTAACTGGTACACTTTAGGTTTAATTAAAAGTTCTATTTTAGGTCTAATTGACTGGTCATCAGTATGTCTATTTGGGTTTTAAGCTTTTCCTTAACACTTTTAAAATTTCATAAAATATGCTGTGTAAATGCTGTGTAAAAATTATTTGACTGCTTTATGATCTTAATATGTAGTTTAAATGTTTGCTTGCTCATTTTGCTGATGACTTACTCACTTTCCTCCCATATATACAAGTCAGGTCTAACTGCACATGGGCATTGTGTTTTAAGATTTCAAATATGACTTTTGCATGGTGATATTATCCTTGATCAATATCATATTTCCCCTCAAAATAAACCCATATTCCTACCCTCTTATTGAATAACCTTTTTTCTGTATTTGCAGGAGAAAATCCAATCCATGAATGCCCACATTACAGATGTCGTTCACGCCATGTGGAAGAACAACATTTTCTTCAGCCAATCAGCTCCCTCCCTTTTCACATTGGACAAACCAACACTGATGAAATTAACGGGGACATCAATTGAGGCTGATGTATTTGCACTGCCCCATCACCCAGCCTTGGTTGGTTATGCCAACAGAATTGTGAAAAATGTAAGATTTTAGATTTTCCGAAAATGTTCTGAACATGTATGACTGACTTGAAATAATGTTGTAAGCAAGGATTGATGTTTTTTTTTATAACTGTTATGATATGAATATTTTTTTTATTTATGGACAATATCTGATTGCTATACAATTTTCTCAATGCTATATATCCAAATTTGCATCGCGTGTTGTATAGAAGAGGACATCACATGATTTATGAATAACAAATGTTCATTCAAGCAGTTATCATATCCAATTGAGGATAGAAAGCATATCCTGAGTAAATCATAGAATGTCCTTTATATTTTAAGTAAAAGGGTGCTTGTCAAGCACTTCTGATTGACCATTTTACTGCTAGCCTCTTTTTGAGTCCAGTAGCAAAAATCTATTATAGCCCAGTCAATAATGGCTCGATAGTTCGCGATCATATATATTCTTAGATTTTTGGCACATAGACTAATATGGACATTCTAAAAATTTTGATCCGCATTGCCAAGCGCGGATCGCACTCCTTCTTGGTGAAAATCCAAGATGGCCGCCAAAATTGCCGACAATTATATAATATTCATTTGATAATTTTTTTCATTCCTTTTTTTCAATAAAATTTGGTTAATTAGTATTTTTCAACATCAATCTATAATATTTCTACCCAGAAAAATATTTAAATTATCTGAAAAGAAGATTCTGGTTGTTCAGTGCCACCCCTTGTTAAAATTTCGCACAAATTATCGATAAATCTATAAAATATGTACATTCCACATATAAGTTTCTATCATATTTTAACCTTTTCTTCATCAGAATATGATAGGTTTGTGTGTTTTAGAATGACTGAGATGACTCCTTCCCAAACAATATTTAAATAAGCACATATTGAAGAATGGCCCCAATAGCGCCACCTATTGGTGAAATCGTTCAGAATCAAAACTGTTCAGTACAATACATTGAAGTAATTATGTCATCATTCGAAGAGCCAAGATTTGATCTGTATCATGTACTATGCATTGAAACACTAATAAAGAGCTAAGTATTATTTTAAAATACCAACTTTAAGATGTCAAACATATAAATTGGAGGATATATAGGGGGTACCTTAATCTTGCAAATTGTATAGTATTGTCACATTTGAGCCCTTACTTTAGTTAATCTAATGAACAGTCTCCATTACAGGCACATAATGATATGCATACTAGGGCAGCCTTCAAGCAGGTACATCTTGATGGGGAACACTGTTTCTGACAACCACACTTTACCAATGCTTGACTAGCATCAGCCATCTGCTTTAAGGTAGTCCAGTGTGGCTTCCAAATGTTGTCTCCTGGCTCTGTTGTCCAGCCCCAGTTCTTTGGTGATGGAATGATAGGACTTGGCTTGTTTAACTGACCCCAGATATGTACACCTTGGTACAATGCTCTCTTGCAGTGTTGCATTAAGGCATCAGCTGTTGGAGGAATGTGTTCAATTGAAGTTGTCTTCTTTGTAAATATATTCTTCCTTGCAGTGTTGATTGAGGTTTCATTGCTAGATTTATCATACAGCAACACAACAAAGCGCTCTAAAACAGGGAAGGAATCTGCCAGTTTAGCAGGATCATCTATTAGACTGAGGAGTGCATTTGTCAGTTGAGGGAATGAATTCCATCTGTCCCATGCTGTCTTTTTGCTCCGGCCATGGAACCCAGATGTTGTATCACAACCTGTCAGTGAGTGAAATAATGGCAGACATAGTGCTTTTTGCGGGCCGATGGAATTTGCCATTTCATGTGCTGCCAAGTACCTGAAGTGTCGCCCTCTGCCAAATGCTACCCATATTTGTTCACTCAGAACAGATGCAGTGGTGATTGCTAAAACAACGACATCAGTGTCCACTGTTCGGATCATAATGTTGTGGTGACCTTCTGATGAAGCATCTCGGATGTGTAGCATCATCCTTGTATCTGCTTCCTCATGTGTACAAGGTGACATGTCTTTGTTGGATTGTTTTGGTGGATAACAAACAACATCTTGACCAAAGGTTGTGATAAGTCTTTTTCCTTCAGGTACAATTATACGGCTTACATTTGCAGCAAGGAATTGGAACAGTTCACTCTTGTTTGAATCCAGGCGTAAAAAATCTTGCCAGTTTCCAGGCAGGGAATTTTCAGGATAAACATGTCTCCTTTTACCCTTTCCTCTCTTATTCCTTGTACCAGCCTTTAAACTGTTAGTTTCATAACTGTCCCAAACTATGTCAAGGCGGGAGACATTGTTGAGTTGATCTTGGATGTACTTGTTGAATATTTTGTCACCATATTCCTGGAAGGTCTTTGCATCATGGGTGGGGAGGAAATTTACAATAACAGCACCATCTAAAATCATTACTTGAACATTTGGAGCATGTATTTGCTGTTGTGCCTGTAGGTTCTCTAATGGTGTTAAGAGATCAGCTTTTTTTCCACTTCTGATGATGCCATTCTGTGATAAAGATGGTGGATATGCTTGATTTTCATGTTGAAAAAAATACCCCAAATCTCCATTTCTGTGCTGACATGCAATGAACAAACGAGAAAAAAGATTGCAGTCATTCTTCAGATTGGATATTTTGTGCTTGGATGACTCAACTGTGGTCTTGCTAGAGGCATGTTTGAATAGGGATAGTTTATTCCGCTTGATTGGATCTGTAATTGGTGTAGTCCTGTCACTCAATCTTTCTTTCACAAATGCTTGGCTCTGTGTTATTCCCATTGATTCAATACGGAACAGTGTTTCAACAGCTTCATCATTGAGGACATCTTTGGTGTCCAGGGTAAATAACTCATTTGTTGTGTTAAGGAATGGATTCCCCCACTCATCTATGACTTCTGTCAGGGCACTGACATCGTTGATGAAATTGCGTTGGAAAGTGCAGTTTTGTTCATGATGTGACAGGTCTTCCTTTACAGAGTGTTCTAGGCTGTTCTCAAATTCAGACACAATTCGTGCCATCTCTGGGCCTGCTACCATCCATTTTCTAAGTGCATTAGGGTTATCTAGGAGGCCTATGGCACCACCATCTCCCTTAACCAGTGAATTATTCTGCTCATGGGCTTGGTCCAGGCTTATGGTTGAGAAACTTTTCTTTGTTTTAGCAACTGTGAAGTTTCCCTTCATGAATTCCTGAAGCACTGATTGGTGTGTTGTGTTAAGTTGGTTCATGTCACGGATATGAACTGGTAACCATCTGGAGTAGTTGGTGTGACTGAGTGCAAAAAACCATGGCAACAACTCAGAAAGGGTATCTTTGTATAGATTGAAGTTCCCCTCTCTAATGGACTGTATATAGGCAAGACAGAGAAGTTCAAGGTCCATTATCATCCACCAGAACTTAAATTGAGGAGAGCCATTCTGCTTGGACTGTTGTTTCTTCACCCAGTCACCCCACTCCAACTGAGGCAAGTCATCAAGGTCACAACACAAACAGTATGTCTCGTAGGCTTTTTTGGCAAGAATATAGAGACTACAGGCAGTAATCTGATGTGCTCTGCGAGTTCGTGTAAGATGGCTAACTTTGATAAAGGAATCGGCTGTACCAGATGTAGCTATGCCAGCTTGAGTGAGTGAGTTTGTCCATCCAGAGTCCTCTAATAGGTTGCCCAAGATGCGAAATGCTCCCATCTCAGTGTGCATTCCACCAAGCATCATTATAAGCTTTGTTTCTCCTATTTCCTCTGGCCATGTCCACTGCAACTGCTTGCATAGTGCAAAGAGGGGCTGGTCGGCAGCAAGTACAGGTGTTTGGTCAGGGTTAATATAATTTGTTGACTTTATACACATCAACATGGCATGCCTCATCATAGAAGGTGACTTGGAATCATCAGGAAAGAGAGGAAGCAGGGATGATCCTGCTATTTCACGAATTCCTGGTTGTTGTTGGCTTGCAAAGAAGGCTGCCCAGGAAATATTACTCTCAGTGGTGATAGTAGATTTGCTAAGATCATCTTTCACTATGACACCATATTCAGCATTCACAGTCTCTAGCCAGCTGGAAGTAAATTACCACGTGTAACACACATATGTAACAGATGTGTGACACATATAATAACATTGCATTTCAAAGTCCATAAGGTAGTGTAAATATTAATAGGTCCATAAGATCCAAGATACATGAACTAACAAACGATTTGTTTAGATTGATATTTTTGATAACAAGTTATTTGAAGTTGTAAGAATTTGTTACAGATGCTGAACACTAACATTGAACACCAACCACCAAATGCCAAACACCATCCACAAAGCTTGAGACTATAGTATAACAATGGTGACATAAAAATTAGGTCATGTTCACTTTGTAACTATAAAGGACAAGGTACTGGAGTTTTTGCCTTGGCCTAATGTATATGCTGTCATATTCATACCCTTAAATAATATTCCACTTTAAAATTCTAGGCATAAAGGATGATTTGAATTCATGAAAGAAAGTGATTCAAAAAGGTAATGTGTTTACTTTCTTGATATCTTACTTTGGATAATTACTCACTCATATGCATTTTTCATTGCAGATTCAGTATTTGAGTCTTTAATGATTACATCATCGACTGGGGGAACCACTGTATCTTTTTTGAACACCACCGGTGGGACAGATCTGTAAAAGTCAGGAAGTGATGCAACTCTGGTGGGATTTGATTCCTCATTGTCACCATCTCTCAATATCACTTGTTGAATCACCTGTTCTGTACCTTGATTTGATCTTGTGAAGTGTTGGAACAGTGATATCCCAGTTCCATGGAATGAGGAACTGGCTGTTGTTGATGATTGATTATGGTCAATGTTGTCCACTGCTGCAGTAGTAAAAACAGATTTATGCATCTGTCTTGGACATACAGCTTGGATAGTTTCAAAATGTTGGCACATTTCATTTGTAAGAGAACTAAGGATTTCCTGAACTCTTGAATAAGACACTGAGAGTCCTAGTTATCGCACTTTGAAAAAGTGCTATATTGTCGTCGTCTTGTGCTGTTGGGCGGGCGTTTGGGCGTACGGGCGTGCGGGCGGGCGGGACATAAACCAAATCTTGTCATCAAATTTCCAGGATAACTGCTTACCTGTTCAACTTGAAATTTTTACAGATGCAAGAGCAGACTAGTACCAAGATCTGATTAGGTTAAGGGCATGCTGGGTAAACTATGTGGCGGCCATTTTGAATTTTTCAACAAATCTTGTCATCAAAATTCCAGGAAAACCACTTATCCGTTCAACTTGAAATTTTTACAGATGCAAAAGCAGACTATTGCCAAGATCTGATTAGGTTTTGGGTATGCTGGCTGAATTACATGGTGGCCATTTTGAATTTTTCAATTTGGCGGCCATTTTGAATTTTTCAACTTGCTCCAAATTGACCAAATTTTTTTTTTTAAAACATCTACAAGTTCTCAGAAGTTCAAATCTGACCTTAGATTTCAGATTTGACCTTTCCTTCACCTTCAGTGACCTTGAAAAGGTGAAAAAATTTGATTTTCTAAATTGATATTTTGGATTTAAATTTAGGTCAGCTTAATTACAAAACACCTACTGAGGTCTGAAAAAGTGAAATTTTCAAGGTCGAAAGTCAAGGTCATTAAACTAGGTCACAAATGATGTTATCCAAGTTTCTCAAAGTTTGAGACTACAAATCAATTCTTTTCATCAAAATTCCAAGAAACCCGCTAACCTGTTCAACTTGAAATTTTTACACATGCAATAGCAGACTAGTGCCAAGATCTGATTAGGTTAAGGGCATGCTGGGTAAACTACGTGGTGGCCATTTTGAATTTTTCAACAAATCTTCTCATCAAAATTCCAGGAAAACCACTTATCCGTTCAACTTGAAATTTTTACAGATGCAAGAACAGACTATTGCCAAGATCTGATTAGGTTTTGGGTATGCTGGCTGAACTACATGGTGGCCATTTTGAATTTTTCAATTTGGCGGCCATTTTGAATTTTTCAACTTGCTCCAAATTGACCACATTTTTTTTTTAAAAACATCTACAAGTTCTCAGAAGTTCAAATCTGACCTTAGATTTCAGATTTGACCTTTCGTTGACCTTCAGTGGCCTTGAAAAGGTCAAAAATTTGATTTTCTAAATTGATATTTTGGATTTAAATTTAGGTCAGCTAATTACAAAAGACCTACTGAGGTCTGAAAAAGTGAAATTTTCAAGGTCGAAGGTCATCAAATTAGGTCACAAACAATGTCATCTAAATTTTCCCAAAGTTCAAGACTACAAATAAATTCTTGTCATCAAAATTGCAGGAAAACCGCTAACCTTGTCAACTTGAAATGTTTACAGATGCAAGAGCAGACTAGTGCCAAGGTCTGATTAGGTTTTGGCCATGCTGGGTAAATTGCATGGTGGCCAGTTTGCTCTTCAAAGTGCGATATTTATCACTGTGTGTCTTGTTGAAATAAAGTGTCTATGATCTCTTTCTTCCTTGTTTTAGTGTAAGTTGATACACCAAGATAAAGGGGTAGGGGGGTTTCACGGGATTTATTGTGGCGCTTGTTTGTTGACTTACGAGCCTTAACATGACTGTTGTATTGCAACAATTGTGATATGCTAAGTGTTGATTGTGATACACTGGGGTTTACATTTTTGATGCTTGTTCCATTAAGTATCATATCAACAAGGGCTTTGAGTGTTTCTGGTACTGATTCTTCCTGGCAGTTTACATCAAATGTTCCAGTGAAGGAGGAATGCTTCTTTGCCATATCCTCTCTTACTATATTTGCAGCTTGTGTTAGGATAACAGCCTTATTGTCATTACTTGATGTGGCGATATTGACAGCCCTGTCAATTTCATCATCAAACACAAACTTAACACTTTTTCCCTGTTTGTGTTCTTGTAAGTTGGGTATCTGGGAGAGTATCCTTTTCTTCAGATTGGTTACATTCAATTTATGATGGAATACAACACCAAGCTGTTCTGCTCTAGTTTTGTACATTTTCGCAAGTTCACTCAGTGTCAGATCAGTGAATTCATCATCATTGTGACAGTCTTCAATATATGAAAGCAGTTCTGCAAAAGCAATACCCTCCTTTACACTAATATCAGATAAGTCCTCTTCATTTAAATTGTCTCGTCTCATTTGTTTCACCTTATTGAACAGTTGAAGTCTACAGTTCTTGTGATATTTCACCTCTCTTGCTATCATATCTCCAGCACTTAGTTTGGCTAAAAGATTTGAATCATTCAGTTCTAGTGCTTCGTCCCTTACTGATTTGTCAAATGAAAATGATTGGACTTGAATCAAATGCTCATTGCTTTCTGTGCTATTTTTATCACAAAAGAAGCATACATCCGCAGCAAATGGGATGGGTGTGGACATCCTACGTGTGTACTTTGGTTCCCTGCTGCCACACTGTGAATTAGCGTCATCCCCCAGCTTCTTTTTCTCTGCACGATGGAGTCTGGATTTGGTGAAGAGTAGTTGACATTGTTCATGCCACCTAGCTTGGTGTTTTTGTAGAGTTAGAAGAACCCCATCACCATCATTAAAACGACTGTGGTTTATTTCTAGGGGGAGAGGTAGACCTTTATTTACATATGTCTCTAAAATCTCTGAAAATGTTTTGTATCCACTTCCTACATTAGATTGATTAGGATTTTTGGCAGGACACCTCAATGTACCACCATGTTTTTGGCAAATGGCACAGATATTCCAATTAGTTACAGAATCTGTCTGTGGAGATGACATTGGTGGACTTGGTGCAGAAGACAATATACAGTTTGGACTTGCCATTACTGAAATGAGGCAAATGACAATTTGTAAGCATTTAAGATAAAACATAAACCTCAATTCACCATAATGCCTAAGACTAACTATTCATTGTTAAATATTGTAGAAATGAGATATGGAATGATTCCAAACACTAAGAATGTTGAAGAGCCACTTCATATTTTAACAAGAAATTCATTCCTTACAGTAAATCTTCTCAAAAATTGCTTTTACACAAATGAATATTATATTTTAGATTATATATTGACCTTACCATTTTACTAATCCATTACACAATTAAGTCACATTAATTCTTAATACTTTCTTCAAATATTTTTGCTTTGATTTTTGATTTCAGTCTCATACCTCACTTAAAATAGTACAATTGATCTGATTGGTCAATATATACATGGATGATTAAACACTGACCAATCAAAGTATAGATTACACTTTTCCATTAAATTTGCAAACATCACACTTTTTAAAATGGTTCACTGATATATCTCCAACCCAAGGAACAATGCAATGTTCAAAACAAAACAAAATGAAAAATACTAACATCAGATGAAACTAGGGGAATGGGTGAGAATCATACATAAGGATGATTAGGTAAAAGGTATGTTTTCTCGCTGAGAGGCTTGCTCCTTCAGGAGACAATGGATATTACCATATAAATTGACTTCAATATAACTAAAATGAAAATTGTAGTGCAGTTCTGTTATACTACAGACACTCAGAAAATCAACGGGTGACACTCCTCAATATACATACCCACACATTTCATCCCCCATTTACACCCCCCCCCCCCCCCCTATCCCTCCCCCTCTCTCTTCAATACCTCTAATTTCTAGGTGGTGTTGAATCTGGAAACACTAACATTTTGTAACATTTTTTTACAGATAACAGTTAAACATACAGAATAAGCAATTTAAGTTACCATGTATAAAATAATTATAAATCTATGTTTCAGAGCAGTACAATGCATAGGCCTATACCTATGGGTGTGGCTGCACAACTTCTGTCTTCTGTATAAGTTATAATCAATTATTTTGAATTAGATGTATGTTGAATGTTATCACTAAACACTGATAAAATATAAACTCATCAAATTTTATTGAAAACAAAGAGTGAATAATAAAATTGCCTATTATTTTGACGTTAATTTTGGTGTAACTTTATCAATAGGTGGCGCTGTAAAACCAGTTTCTTATGTTTATACTTAATAAAAAAATTATATGGTAGGAATATTATTAAATAATATTTGAAAACACTAATTTATCACATTTTATTTAAATAAAGGCAGTAAAAAAAATTTAAAAAAAATATACATATTTGCCGAAAATTATGGCGGCCATCTTGAATTTTCACCATGAAGGAGTCGGATTCGCGCTTGGCAATGCGGGTCAAAATTTTTAGAATGTCCATATTGGTCTATGTGCCGAAAATCTAAGAATATATATGATCGTGAACTATCACCATGTTAGAAACCCATTAGTGATTTGACTATTAACCTTCATTTACTATGAAATAAAATTATGTTTTTTAGTGTTGATTGAAGCAATTTAATCTAAGTTATATCACAAAAATCACACTGTTTCCTGGAGGAGAAAATCTCTTTAAGATGTTTCTCAACATTTCATATTTTCTAGATGAGGAGCAGACATCAAAGTGGAGACACCACAGATATCTGGGTAAGATTGAACAGCTGAACTGATAGCAGCGTTGAATTTCTTTTAAGTGTATTTATTTTCAAAATCATTTTAGAAATTATTTAGATACCAGAAATGTTATAATTAAATAGTCTAAGTATTGTTGACCTCACTTATCTAAACTTTTGCAAATTAAACTTGATTAAACTTGCATTTATAATTTATTGGCTTTCAAACATGGGATGTGTTATTTATAAGAGATACAATGGGCTCAAACAACTTATATTTTTGTAATACAATTTGAAGGATAACAAAAAAATGTAAGAAAGTTGGTGCAAGTTATATCTTAGATTGCAATGTACAAAGGATAGGAGGACACGAGTATTTCATATATGACTTTTACATTTGAGATTGTAAAGATCAGTGTTAAGATATTACAGTGTTCATATTTATTTATTTTCAGGTTGAGAGGAAGGATGAGTTCTTGAACTATTTAGAAAAACATAAACTTTCCCAAGTGAAACATTTTTTCAACCAGTTCATAAGAGGCAGGGCAGAGTCTTCTAAATAAAAATATCACCCCTTTATCAGAATGTAGACCTGACCATTCTGTCATTATGGATCAGTCTATTTATGAGGCAGACAGTACAAAAGGGGACTGAGGTTATGTGTTCTGAATCCACAACTTGTCAGTTTTAGGCAGAACAGTCTGAGTGAAATATTACCCCTCAATATGACAATAGACTCAACTATTCTGTCATTTTGGATCAGTCCATTTGTGAAACACACATTGCAAGAGGGGAGTATTAACCTTGAACTCTTCTATAAACTAGATCATTCCATCTGTTAAGCTTGCATAAAATGGAATGTGACTAAAATGGTTTCTAATGAGAGCAATCATGCAACTACAACCATGTATACTGTTAAATATTAGATCTTATATTGTAATCAGCTTATGTTATGATATATTTTTAAGAAACTAATTTTTATTTACTACATATAAAAGTATAAAACAGTTCTTTGAATTTATTGAATTGTAATTACCTCGCATCCCCAATGGCTACGCCTATGCATTGTGTTATACAGTAATGGAGAGTTTCAACTTGCACTGTTTTCTATTCTAGCTTAAACTCTCTAATAGTATCATGGTTCAACTCTCAAACGTGAAAATATTACAGGCATTTCAAAAGTTAGTGTTTGGCCAAAGTTAAGTTCAATTTTACACCAAAACACTTGTCAATGTGGCCATCTAAACAACAGCAATTCTTTTCGGGTCGGTTGAATATTGAGTTGGAAAAAGAGAATGGTGAGGGTAGAAACTCTAAGGAAACTCTTCTTAAGTCCCTTTACAGGTTTTAAGAGGGTTATAAAATTCCACACCCCTATTTGAAGGGCTTCTGAAGTCATATCTGAAAATAATTGCTGCTGTTAACATGGCCAAGGGGGACACATTGACTATAGTAATGTGGTGTAAAATTGAACTTTATTTTGACAAAACACTAACTTTTAAAATTACTGTAACTTTTTCCCATTTGGGAGTTAAACCATGGTACTTGGCAAATCAATGGCCCATACTTTCAGGACACCCTGTACATCCCATAACTTGAACAACTGGAGGTCTCATTTAATTAAATTTTGCTGTTGTACCTTGATTGCAAAATTTTTCCTTTGACTTTTATGAAAATGACAAGCTCATTGAACAAATCATTAATGAATAAAATATTGCTTGGACCACATGCGTAACTTCAACAGAGTAAGACAACAGAAACAAAGGTTCAGATTCACAAGCCATATATATATATTTCAGTATATCAATTAAATGTATGCCATTTATCGCTCTGTAAGTTGTAAAGTTGAAACCTCATTCGCTGTATCACATCCTCTTGGGCTTATAACATTCAGGTACTTTTTGAGCCTTTCTTAGAGACTCAATATCTTTGTTGTCAACTGGTTCATGATATCCGTCATAAGTCTGTCCAATAAAAGTGTCTCCCTCTCGAGGGGAAACAAATGGGAATGACTGCGGTTGGCTTTTACATGTAAAACTATCATGGCAGTAAAAATGTTTTTCGTTATTCTCCCAAAGTTTCTTCAAGAAATCTTTTCCTAAATACGACAAGAAAGAACCAGAGAAAAGAGATTTTATCCTGGAATTAACGCCACCGATGAGATTTGGAATGATAGGTGTTTTATGAGAAGGATGGTCTCTGATACAATGGAAAGCTCTCTTTGATTTTTTGGTCCACTCTTCAACGGTTATGAATTCACGATCTGTTAAACGGAATGTCACATTTCGAATAATAAACCACTCAACTGTTGAATCATTAATGACCAAATATGGCCAAAATTCAGGTAATATTTTTGTAGCTTGATTGTCCACATACAATATCTGGGCTCCTAAAAGTTGAAGCTTTCTTATTACATTCTGTGGTATAACATCATGATTTGATGTACCAAATGTTTTCTGAATGTAAAATCGCGCCGTCCAGCCAGGAAACATGACCGGGGTTAGCTGTGCATTACGAACAGCCCCAATCAAACTGGCCGTGTCATTTGAATAAAGGCTCATTGAAATTATTTTCTGACGTTTTGGATTTTTAGTTGTATGGGTTGAATTTCTGTACGTTATGTAACGGTTGAGTATTTTCTGGTTGGAGGCTATAGTTGCTTGGAGCTTTCGCTTGACGCCGAAATGAACCTTGTATCTGGTACCCTTTTCTTGTGTATGCTTCAGTATGACACCTTCAAGTTTAGTAGTGCGATTGGGACCATAAACACTCGTTATCCAGTCATCTGCGCATACATCCGTAAATAGTCGCGGATAATAGATCCCGAAAATATCTTGGTGGGTCTTATGTGTAAAATCGTAAGTTAAAATTTTAAGGTTCCCGCCTATGTGGGTTGGGCCTACTACTCCAATATAAGGGGGCACGTACTTGGATAACGTCTCCGTGAAAACCTCGGACCATCCTTCCGTCAGCAAAACGCTGTCGTCATTGACACGATAGAAAAACGGCATATTGTCTAAATACGCCTCCCACATTGCATCTGTTTGGGCCCAGGCTGGTTTTCCAGAGTGACCACATCGCACTAAATGGAGTCTAACTGGAATATCTGATGGGCAGTGTTTTGCAATAGCAGCATTAAATTCCTTGGTGAACATTACATGAGAGTCGGTCAAATTGAAATATGGGTCGTCATGATCATGTGCCAAATAGAAATGATAACTAAATCCTTTGCTTGCGGTTTTACAAAAGCTCGGAAGTAAACGTAAAAACAATGGCAGTCTAGAAGCCATACTTTTCGCAGTTAATTCTTTCACTTTTCGTGTTGTTATAGCACCTCCTATTGCAATTGTTTTATCGTTGATTTCTAGTGTGTTATTGTCATCATTTTGAAACCCTTTCTCATCATGTTCATAAACCAAGACTCCAGCAGATGCATTCTTTAGATTCAATTGTTCATTTTGAAACCCTTTCTCACCATGTTCATCTATGAAAACCCTGGCAGTGAAGTTCTCCCTTCTTAAGTTCAATCTCGGACCATGACTTGCATCAGTAGGAGGTCTTTGCTTATATCTTTTTATAATGTTGAAACCATTGATCTCTGGTGCTGTCCGAGCCCTAGTTATTGACGTTATGTATTCATATTGCATCGCCATGGTAACAACCACACACATGACAACAATAAGGAAAACAAACTGTATTGTTGTCCATTTCCCCTCAGTTGCAAGCTTCTGTGTCCTGTTTTGATTGATAGAGACGACCATCTTGTATTTGATATACCACGTTCTGGATCAACTCAGGCCATCTAAAATAAAAATGTCAGATGAATGTGTGGATAGGTGATACTAGTATATTAATTGAGATCATCAAGAAATGGCATAGGATATGGCACACACAATGGTTATAACTGAAGTGAACGTATAAACATAGAGAGGAGGTCAACAATAAAGTCCACATCAATGGCACTTAAGAAAATGTTTCAAACGTGTGCAGCAAATTGACTTGAAATAAATCTTACGCAACCGATTCGTTTTTCTAGTATAGTCCAGTAAAAAACACAAAAATAAAGGAAAAAATTGCAAAAGTTTTTAAACCTGGTGAAATCAATGTGTCTTGGTAAGTAAAAAAACATATCAAAAATCTAGAAAAATCTAAGTTGTGGAAGACTATGAATTTTCATGCTGAAGATACCCCCCTCAATGACCCCCCAAAATGACAACAATTTATTTTAAAAAAATTATCACACTACTTTCTTTTTAAAGTGTCCCTTGTTTTTTCATGAATGTATTAGAAAGATATCAAAATTGATAGTTTCATAGAAGAAAGTTTGAAAATACTGAGAAAATTTCATATTTGTATGTGTTCATGGCCTTACCTTGTATGCTTTTTTCATCCATTTTTCTCTATAAATGCCTATAATTTGATCATTAGACATGGTGATGACTTTTAAAAATTCATGGGAGTTGTCTTACTATCAGACATTAGACACCATCAATATCAGAACTGTAGGTTAATTTGTTTGACAGAAAAAAATTATTTAAGTTCCTATAATTTGTTCATTTTCTAGGGCCAGTTTTAGGGTCAGGATGAGCGCAACATCATCCTTTTAAAATAAGAGGTATATCAACCAAATATTCAACATATTATTGTGCCAATGATGTGTAAAATACTATAAAATATAATTCTGTAGATGAACAGAATATATTTATGTTCTTAATTTTGACAATTCTAACATCATGGGGCAGGGGTGAATTGAAAAGTGGGCGTGGCACTTTTTGGTTACATTTCCTACTAATTTTATGTTGGTAGTATTATCACAGTCATTTTCATTGGGTCATCAATCCCATTATCGTCAATTGATATGGTAATCTTGATCATAATTGGTCAATAGTAACAATGGGTCGCAAATTACTCACAGAAGGTCATAGTAACAACAATGAGACTATGAGCTGAAGCACTTAATAAAAGTTGATGAATACATCCTCCAGAATCTAAGATGGTACAGCCTCCAGAGTTTAAGATGAATACATCCTTCAGAATCTGAGATGGTACACCCTACAGTGTTAAAGATGAATTTATCCTTCAGAATCTAAGATGGTACAGTCTCAAGAGTCTCAAGATGGGTACAGCCTCAGCCTCCAAAGTCTGAGATGAATACATCCTCCAGAATTCAAGATGGTACATCCTCCAGAGTCTAAGATGAATGCATATTCCAGAATCTACGATAGTACAGCCTCCAGAGTTTAAGATGAATACATCCTTCAAAATCTGACATAGTACACCCTCCAGAGTTAAAGATGAATACATCCTTCAGAATCTAAGATGGTACAGTCTCAAGAGTCTCAAGATGGGTACAGCCTCAGCCTCCAAAGTCTGAGATGAATACATCCTCCAGAATTTAAGATGGTACATCCTCCAAAGTCTAAGATGAATGCATTCTCCAGAATCTAAGATAGTACAGCCTCAAGAGTCTAAGATGAATACATCCTCCAGAATCTAAGATAGTACAGTCTCCAGAGTCTAAGATGAATACATCCTCCAGAATCTAAGATGGTACAGCCTCCAGAGTTTAAAATGAATACATCCTTCAGAATCTGAGATGGTACAGTCCCAAGAGTCTCAAGATGGGTACAGCCTCAGCCTCCAAAGTCTGAGATGAATACATCCTCTTACAAACAACAATATATCAGAAAGATTGAGACACAATGGAAGTTCAGGTTACCTTATCATTGGTCGTCAAAGGTCACAGCATCCGCCCAGGATCTTAAAATGCCAAATACCGAGATATTGACCTAAGACCTTATATGATACTCATTGATCCACTAAGAATATTGATCAAGCATGATGACTCAAGGTTGAAGTGTCTAGAAGGAGATATCCAGACAGATAGAGAGTGAGAGACATGGCCTGTCTTACTTTGTAGTAAGAAGATACTACAGTAACAAAGCATGTGTCTTAACAAACAGCATTATCAGTTAAGTTGCCATAACAACCATGTATCAATATTATCAAAACTTAATTTTGTTAGAATCATACACAAAATAACTCTTGAAAGGTGAATGTAATTGGAACAACCTGTTGAGATATAAGGATTATTTGAAATGATCTCTAGCCACTATTTGCATTCATTATGTTGTGTTACTATGGCAACCACTTGACTTATCATTTTCAGACTTACCATATCAAATTATAATATCTGTATTCATGACCCCTATAAATATGACTGTGATTGATACTGTCAAAATGAAATTGTTAGAAAATGTAACCAAAAGTACCACACCCACTTTTTAGTAGATTGAGCAGTAGTCACCAAATATCAAGTCCAGAGTCATAGACATCCACAGAGTTCATCATTTTTATCATGTTATCTTATTAAAAACTCCCTAAATATGTTTTAAAGGTCAAATTTGTGTTCATTTGGAATAACTTAAAAAGATAACAGACATTTGTTTTTAAGGAAGCTTTGGATTTATCCCAAAAAATATTCACAGCTTTTGTGTAATTAAATTGTGTTGCCATGGTAATCATTTCACCAATCAATATCAAACTTGCCATGATAACTGACAATGTATAGCTGCATGATCCCTGAAAATTTGAATGTGATTTGGAGTACATAACAGGAATTATTAAGGTTTATCATAGTACCCCCTCGTAAAAGTACCCCAGGGGGTATAAATGGTGATTTTCGAAGTTTTCCACTACTTAGATTTTTCTAGATTTTTTATATGTATTTTAACCCATCATTATGCATTGATTACACTAGGTTTAAATACTTTTGCAATTTTTTCCTTCATTTGTCAATTTTTGCCACGGTTTTACTGGACTAGTATGGCTTTTGACATGTTCCTGGTGACAGATAAAAGACTTTAACTGTATAGTAAGATCGCTAAGTTTAAGAAATAATCACCAATGCAAGGACAATATTCATTTTTCAGAAAAAATAGTTTCTTCCACATTACTGCTGGTTTTCATAGCATTTTCTGTTGATGAAAATCAGGATTATTTTTTGTCTGGTTTGTCTTGTGTTACAGTTAAATTTTAAATGTTAGTAACTACTTTGAATTTAAGAAATAAGCAATCAAGACCATATCAGGACTATATCAGGACCATATTGAAGCAGTATTGTAAAAATAGAAACATTTATACATGTCCTAACTTTTGTATATTTTAGTCTGTTTTGTAGTTAAGCTATCATATCTGTGCCCTCTTATATTTTGATGCTTCTCAGCCATGTTATTTTCGGAAAAATTAACATGGCTGAAACTCCCTAAATTACAAAAGGCCACAGCTTTACTGCACATATACATAACTATCTGAAATATACAAAAGTTAGGACAAGTACATATGTTTCTATTTTTTTATATACTGTTGCAATATAGTTATTTGATTGCTTATTTTTTAAATTCAAAGTACAGTAGTTCCTAACATTTAAAATTTTACTGTAGTCAAAATGGTTTGCTGGATATTTGAAATGAACGTCAGATAATTGGATAATAAATTCAAGTAATGTTAACGTAGAATTATATATAGATTCCAGGGTGCGATAGCAGGGACGGAGGGCACAAATTACTTACTGAAAAACGGACTGCTAGATGAGACTTGTTGAATATGTATAGTTCAATTTCCCTCTCTGCGTAGAGTTTGGCATCAGGTGTTTATTTGTCTGGACACCTTTCATGCAATATTCCAATATCACTGGTGATGCAGTTTGCTTCACCAACAAAAACTAGTCATGGGGATCTATACGCGCAATATAGCAATACACTTTAGTCCCGCCATGGTAATACCGTATCTAAAATGATTTAGCGGGGATACCCCCTGAAACACTCCATTACAAGCAAGATCATTCAGTTTTACACAATTCTATGTACAATTCTTTGTGCCTTTTCCTAACATGATAATCCAAAGGAAATCTTACTAAAACTACGAGGCCTTTTTGATTTATGTAAATGAACCTTTCATAAAAGTACTGGAAATCGTTCATATGATCGAGACCTAAGCTTGACCTTATTATATGTATATACTTGTATATACTAGTATGTATAGAGAGAGATTATACCATATGAGGTTTAAGGTAACGGGATTATCAAAATACCTTTTGGTCGGGATAATCCAAGAATCAATATTTTCAACCTGGTTAAATCAATCATTCTTTCTTAAACTTAATTTTAACTTGAGGGATAGAAATAATTTTTAAATAAAGAGGGCAGTTAAATCAATCTGTGTTTATATACTTTTCTTTTATAGAATACCATCCAGTCCGTGACCTTAATATTGGCCCAAAACCTATTTTTTAACACTGAGGTAGGGTCGTTATTGTTTTTTCATGTGGTTGGGCAAATTGCTGTATTTCCAATTATCCAAAAAAGCATTGATTATACACCATCTATCATGCATATCCTACAGTAAAATGTTAAATGTTTGGACTACTTTGAATTTAAAAAATAAGCAATCAAATGACTATATTGCAACAGTATATAAAAAATGGAAACATATGTACATTGTACAAGTCCTAACTTCTGTATATTTCAGATAGTTATGTATAATATGCAGCAAATCTGTGGCCTTTTGTAATTTAGGGAGTTTCAGCCTTTTTAGCCTTTTTAGAAAATAACATGGCAGAAAAGCATCAAAATATAAGCGGCCACAGGTACAGTATGATAGCTAAACTACAAAACTAATCAAAATATTAAAGTAAGGACATATATAAATGTTTCTGTTTTTACATATTCTGTTTCAATATGGTCCTTTAATTGCTTATTTTTTAGATTCAAAGTAGTTCCAAACATTTAAAATGTTACTGTAGTATATTGAAGATTGTGAGTTTGGTTTACTATTAGTAACCAATTTCTATTTGTGGAAAGCTCCCCTTTTTGGTGTAGAATTTAGCATAACGACCTGTATCAAATCGTCAATAGCGCCACCAATTACATAATTCATTTAACGTCTTGGTGAACTATAGAACACTAGTTTTCGAAAGTGACGTTCGATCAATTTTTAGGGTTAACGAGGGTTGTATCATAAGTCCTGAAAATTTTTGTTATTCAAAGCTTGGATATTTCGGTGCAGTGTTTTGACAGCTTTTATTGATATACTTAATTTCAAATGAAACTATTTTGTTACATGTAATCAGGTAATTCATTTTCTGAACATTAAACTTTAGTTTACAGGGCAAGCAGGCTGTTCAATATTTGTAAAACTTAATATTACTCAGATTTATGCATTTTCACTAGAATAGTGTCATCACACACGAGAATATGCACCCCCCCCCCTCCCCATTCACTTTAAGACAATATAGGTCTTACTTTTCACCTTATCTTCATATCCATAATAATGCACCAAAAGCATATACTGGTAAAAACATCAGTAATAAATTACTAATAATATCAACTTGAGATTGAAATCTATGAGCGATAAAACGATGTCAAATATATAAGTACAAGTGCCAAAGGGAAATGACCAAAAGTTGTAATGGAACTGAGCAAGAAAAAGCAAACGCTAAGTGCATACAAGTCGAGAAAAGCAAACCCCATATAGCCCAAAACCATGATCTAACGTGAAAAGGAACAATGTCTAATGCCCCCTTTCCCCCACCATTCAAGAACCAATATCACAATCCAAGACCAGAAGACCAAGGGACATTTCATTCATACTGAAGTCATTACATGAGAAGAAAAAATTAGAAATTGATAACCAATACTCATAACCTCAAAAATAGTTGTAGATACAAGTACTCATACAAGATAGAGCATTCAGTCTCAAATGATGTGGGATAGATAAAATCCAGTCTCCAAGTCCATAGGCGTTTCAAAGGGTCAACATCCATTCACAAAAGCGTTTAAAGAAATACTTTTCTAAATTCTTTGTTTTTATCTGAGACTAACTTTATAGAATATCTAAAGGTGACCTTTTTGTAATGACCTTACTAAAAAATCTAAATGAATTGAATGAACCGACTTGTAAAACCCATCGAGGGAGGCTGCAGTATATGAATCAGCTTGCATGGAATGTTTTGTATTTGACCAAATAGTGGACGAATATGATTTCTTCTCACGAAACTTACTCATTGTGAATAGAAAAAATCGCCAAAAATTGTTTTTATAGCTATAGCAGCAGAGCAAAAGTTTTTCTTTAGCTAAGCACACAAAACAACTTAAAATTAACACATTTTTATTTTATTTCAAATTCAATTGGTGCATGTGCGTATTTGGCTATGTTATGTATATATTAATACATGGTGTACAATAATTAAATTTACTTAGTGATCACCTTATATGGTGTTTTTTTTACTAATTTCAGTTTAAAGTAAAATAAGAATGATAATGAAATATCTCGTAGCTTCAGAGCACATATGCGTACTTAGCTAAACAATATCCAATGATGATACTACAACAAAAGGATCTGGCCTGTAGACAGGGGGCATACCTATATTTATCGTATGATCTGTAGAATGAAGCGCTCTGATTGGTCAGTTCTTGTGCTGTGGCAATCTGTATTGCTACTGAGATTGTCCCCATTGATCATCTCCATAGCAATACAGAAAATATTGGTATGGAGTGGACCGGGGGAGTGGACAATCTCAGTAGCAATACAGAGAATACAAGTACAGAACATTTCCCAGGGACTATCTCCTAAGTAAAATATATTGGCTTAAGATCACACGATAAAAACGTTATAGAATGATTTGAAGTACAATACAGAATATATTTTGTTCTCGATATTCTGTATTAAACTCGACTTCGTCTCGTGTCAATACAGAATTTCTCGAACAGAATATATCCTGCATTGCACTTCAAATCATTCAATAACTTATAACACTCGACTGTTGAGTTGTTGCCTCTGGAGGAATGATTGGACCTGTTACGGTATTGAGTGGTTTTCTCTTAACATATGTCGGTGTACATATCACTTCCTTTAATTTTACGCTTCAAACAATCAGGTACTTTTCGAGCCTTTCTTAGAGTGGCGACATATTTATCGTCAAATGGTTGATGATATCCGTCATATGTCTGTCCTATAAAAGTGTCTCCCTCTCGAGGTGTAACAAATGGGAATGATTGTGGTTGGCTTTCACATGTAAAGCTGTCGTGGCAGTAAAAATGGTCCATATAATTCTCCCAAAGATTCTTCAAGAAATCTTGGCCAAGATACGCAAACCAAGACCCCGAGAAGAAGGTTTTTATCCCCGAATTTACACCACCAATGAGATCTGGAATGATGGGTGCCTTATGAGAAGGGTGGTCCCGGATGCAGTGGAATGTTCTCTTAGATTTGGTCCACTCTTCAACGGTTGTGAATTCACGATCCGTCAAACGGAATGTCACATTTCGGACGATAAATCTCTCAACTGTTGAATCGTCACTCACCAAATATGGCAATAATTCAGGTAAAAATTCTGTAGCTTGATTGTCTACATACAATATCTGGGCTCCTAAAAGTTGAAGCTTTCTTATTACATTCTGTGGTATAGCATCATGATTTAATATACCAAATGTTTTCTGAATGTAAAATCGCGCCGTCCAGCCAGGAAATATGACTGGGGTTAGCTGTGCATTGCGTACAGCCCCAATCAAACTGGCCGTGTCATTTGAATAAAGGCTCATTGAAATTATTTTCTGACGTTTTGGATTTTTAGTTGGATGGGTTGAATTTCTGTATTCTATGTAACGGTTGAGTAATTTCTTGTTCGAGGCTATAGTTGCTTGGAGCTTTCGTCTGACGCCAAAATGAACTTTGTATCTGGTACCTCGTTCCCTTGTATGTTTCAGTTTTATATCCTCAAGTTTAGTAGTGCGATTGGGTCCATATACACTCGTTATCCAGTCGTCTGCACATACATCCGTAAATAGCCGTGGGTAATAGATCCCGAAAATATCTTGGTGAGTCTTATGGGTAAAATCGTAAGTTAAAATTTTAAGGTTCCCGCCTATGTGGGTTGGGCCTACAACTCCAACATAAGGGGGCGTGTACTTGGATAATGTCTCCGTGAAAACTTCAGACCATCCTTCCGTCAGCAAAACGCTGTCGTCATTGACACGATAGAAAAACGGCATATTGTCTAAATACGCCTCCCACATTGCATCTGTTTGGGCCCAGGCTGGTTTTCCAGAGTGACTACACCGCACTAAATGGAGTCTTACTGGAACGCCTGAAGGGCAAAGTTTCACCACAGCAGCGTTAAATATCTTGATAAACATTGAAGGGGAGTTAGGCAAAGTTAAATAAGGGTCGTCATAATCGTATGCCAGATAGAAATGGTAACTGAATCCTTTGCTTGCAGTTTTACAAAAGCTCGGAAGTAAACGTATAAACAACGGCAGTCTTGAAGCCATAAATTTTGCAGTTAATTCTTTCACTTTTCGCGTTGTTATAGCACCTCCTATTGCAATTGTTTTATCATCGATTTCTAAAGTGTTATTGTCTCCATTTTGAAATCCTTTCTGTTCATATACCAAGACTCCAGCAGATGCATTCTTTAATTTCAATTGTTCATTTTGAAACCCTTTCTCATCATGTTCATAAACCAAGACTCCAGCAGATGCATTCTTTCGATTCATTTGTTCAGGCTCTACCTTAGTATAAGGTCCCGGTATGTACCCTTTTAAAAGGTTGTTCATTATTGACTCTCGGGTCCTAGTTATCGAAATTGTCATTACATATTCATACTGCATGATGATATTTACAGCCACACATGTGACTATTAAAATGAAAAGTAACTTTAAAGTTTTAGGTTTCCCCCAAGTTCTTAGTTTCGGTGTCCCTTTTGTTCCCTGAAGTACATCGGAGACGGCCATATTGGATTTAGTAAATGTTCTGGGTCAACTCAGGTCATCTGAAATCAAAGTGTCATAGAGATTTAATAATTATACTTTCTTCTTGAGATACTGGAGGATGTGGTACCCATTGCTTATATATAAATGAAGTTATAAGCATACTGGATGGACCAAAGATACTATACATTGAAATACAGCTCACTAAAAACGAAGAGAATATATATATATATACCTGCCGGCCGACGGCTTCGCCTACTATTTATGGTCAACTCATTTCGATACGAATAGGACCCGCCACTGTTCCAATCATATACAAATGAGTTTGCTATAAATAGAAGGTTAACCCGTCACCCGGCAGTTGAATTCGCAGATGTTACCTCAGTCATATACAAGGGAACATTGATTGACGATAATTATGTAAGCAATTATATAAGGGTAGCGGTATCTCTATCTGCCCGTACGTCCGATAGTTTTTCCAAAACCGCTACATATATAACCTTCAAATTTTCGTAGATAACAAATGAGTACATACAGATGTTTTCTGAAGAACAGAATGTAAGAAAATAAATCAGAAACAATTTAGCATTTTCTTATTTTCAGTTCAGTTATTTTTTCATCATATAACTCATTAAAAACATCAACGACATTCCTTCTTTGATTATGACGTTATCTATATGATCGTTTATCACAGGTCTTGTAGACATTCACAGCTTGATTTATAGCAAAAATAATCATCACTATTGACTTTTGCACGCTGGTGACGTTGCGCCTTTCCAAATAGATCTCACGCCTTATATTTATAAGCCGTATCAGAAATATAGACGTAACAGATTTTACCATAATCGTACACATCTATTCATTTAGCGATTTATTTATTAACTTCCTCGTGAAAAAATAAACTTGCAGATTTGCAAATTTTTAGCAAAAGTCGCCTCCTCTCCCACCAATAATTTTGTGACTCCGATTATCGGCCGCGAGTTTGATTCGACAAAAAAGTACGAACGTCTTTCTGATCGAATTCCTCTCTCAAAGATTGTCATAGTGATTGTTGTTTCTGGTTATATTGATTACACGCATTTTGCATTATCATTGACATGTGTTTGAATGAGCTATAAAAATGTAAAATACAAAAAGTATGAGATAGTTGTAAAATACAAATACAGCATGATCTAATTTCAAACATCATTGTGATGTAACTTTGTCACCATATTAATTATTAATCCAGGTTTTTGAATGAATGATAAAATATTAAACTTTGCTGTATGTAAAAGTACGTAAGATTTTTTATGAGACATCTGTTTTTAAAAATAAAGTCAGAACTACCGACAAAATTCTGTTGTATTTTTCTCACAAATTATATCATAATAAAGTGTTGTTCATGTTTTAAAATACCACACATATTACATAAGCGTGATCCATAGGTCTTGGTTAAGGCTTCAAATGACTACTAAGTCTCTATGTAGTGTGAACTAAGCCTAAATCTACTAATCTACTGATAAAATACTATCATCATCAATCTTTTGAGTTCCCCAATATGATAATAGGGAATTCAATTTTTAGCTATACATATATTCATTAATTTTATTTAAAATCATAATTTCAGTAGAATTTCATATTTTCATTCAAAAAGTAGATTTCTAAATCCAAAATGATTTTTACTTCATGCCTAGCAACGCTTATCTATCTATGTGCTTTTTTCTTCAAAATTTCGATTGCCTCGGATAAAAATGTGATCGATGCATTTGATGGCGTTCGTGAAATGAAAAATTACAGTGCATCAACATTGATTTTATCACAGTATGCAAAACTCCTATTCGCGATAAGAGTTCAGGTGGTAATTTACATAAATATTTCCCATGATGCATCGCTTTGGAAGGGACAAATTTTCATTGGCCCGCCGAACGAGTCGATTACTCTGAACGTTTCTCAGCTTCTGATCTTCCATCAGCCCTCAAGCATTGTTATATAATCCAAGCTATTCAATGATCAGAAAGATAATCGGAGATTCAAAGTAACATTATTTCTATTTTTCGATCTTCGATGGCGTCTGAGCAATTTCTGGGATATCAGTGACGTCACTGGAATTGGACGGCATTTTCAACTACAGATTTCTTCGGATTTGGGGATTATAGCTCAAAAAGCTTTGTCATATATCTTAATCCAATGGGAAAGAACCCGGATGTAGACGAAGTTGTACAATACATGAGAGCTCTTCAAACGAGAGGTAGTTAAACTGAACGAAATTGAACGTTATCGCGTATTGGTATATTGGACCAAGGGCGAACGTAATACCCGGAACGTTCTCAAATTTCTCGTTTCGTTTGGTACACAACTAAGCCCCGGGTATTAAATAAACCCTTGATTGGACAGCAAGCCGATGTGTCATCATAGTTTGACATTTTGTGAGAGGAAAATAAATCAAGAAAAATCTGAGAAAATCGAAGTTATGTGATCATTACTAAAATAAGGCCAATTTTCAGTTGTTTTTGAATAAGGTTCAATCACAAGAGTTCCATTTAACATGTAGTTCAAAGAGGAAACAATTGTTTCCCACCTTTTAGAGTGGAGTGTATGTTTTTACATGCAAGCCTTCAATGCCTCGAGTTTAATTTTTTGTGTAGTTCTGCTAGAGGTAAAATCGAATGCATTCAAAGCTATAACCATGAGTATAGAAAAATCAGACGTGTTATTATCCTGAACTAAAACCAAATTGCCTCATTCAGGTTTTTTTCAAATAATTGATTCAGTCTTTTGAAAATGTGATCAATAAGAATTCAGACAGGAATTGCACAACGCCCTAAATGCATGTAAATGAAAACTTCAAATCAACGAATTTATTTACTTTTATTTTTTATAGTGAATAGTGAAAACCAGTTGTGCAAATAGTACAATCTTACAGTACTAATTAATTGAACAATAATATGATATATGTATGTACAAAATTTAAGACATTTAACCAATACATATAGTATTACCATTGGACATGATATTTGTCATTATTATATCACTGTCATATTTCTCGCTCTCTAATTGGTCGATTCGGGCTTCGTGGAATATCACTTGTGAAAGCTACACACTGGTTTTCACCTAAACAGAAGAAAGTATTTGTATTTCAAAACACGGCCAAAACATTTCTAAAGGATATACACGTAAAACTATCCCTTTTAGATTAGTCAACCCGAGTGACCTTAAAAGTGTTATAAAAAATATAATAGAAGCAAAGAAAAGTTTATTTGTCAAACAATTGTTTGTGAATGAATTCATAGAAATCTGGGACTGCAGTTTGTAATAAACTTTTCTAAATACAATGAATATTTCTTTTCATAAGTAAACATCAACATGTTATTGGCAGGTTTCGCCCGACTTTTTCCTCGAGGCGCGCGTACTTTTAACATAGTAGTACAACAAGTTTCAGAATGTATTCATTCTTTATATGTGGATCACCTTGACGATATTTGCATTTTTGTTAATCAAAACAACTTTTGATTTTCACTTAGTCTCACCCTCTCGGGAAATAATCTATATATGACTTGAATAATTGAATTATATTTAGTTTTTGATGAAATGAATTCATTCGTTCGTTTTCATAATCTTAAAAAGTAATATTGTATCAGTTCCAGTTTTTTTGTTTTTTTTGGAATAAAGACAGTTCCAGTTTTTGATATAAAGACAGTTCCAGTTTTTTGAATAAAGACAGTTCCAGTTTTTTTAAATAAAGACAGTTCCAGTTTTTGAAATAAAGACAGTTCCAGTTTTTATTCTGTTCATATATTCCAATATGGTAACCAAACCAGCAAAAACGATTATTTGCATTGATGAATTTTATACAAGATATAGCCTTAAGATTCAAAATATTATGTCACTTTGAAATATAATTGAAATAAATAATGATTCAAAATCAAAAATAACATTTAGATATTCGGTTAAATTCCAATGCTATTTTGTTGTATTTGATAAGTCATTCAAATATGTGACGTGGGTAACATTCGATCATTTTATTAATTTACCTAGCAGCTTGTGAAACATGACGGGTCAATATTCATAAAAAATAACCCTTTACATTAAAGTGCATTAGGCAGTGTGAGAAAAACTGGTTCATTGATCGGTCATATAGAAAACATATTCAATAGCCCATTCAGAGTCTTTTAAAACACGCATTGCAATGTCACTCCTTAGAATTAAAGTTCACTTACCTCTAAAAGTTTGGCAACTTTATCTCCCCCATTGAACTACGTGTTAAACTCTCTTTATGTTTGAATTCTAATTTACATAGCCTGCAATTAAAATACTTATGATGAAGGTAAAGATGAAACTTGACTTTATTTGAAAAAATTATTTCCTATAACTTCACATTTTCCACTTTTTTCTTTAATACAATATAGGATCGAAATTCAATGACATATGTGAAGATTTGAAATTTGAAAATCGTCATTCTCATGTAAACTAATGCGAAACGGTGGGTTCGGGCAAAATCAGATTCCAGGGTATTTGTTCAGTAAACGATTCCCAAAAATTACTTTTGTAGGGAGAACTTTATGCTAAATGTTTACTTTACTTTGTGAACATTAGAGATCTTCAAAGTCATTTTTGAAAATCATTTTCGCCCCATGTGTTATTTCAATGGGAGGGTTCTCATGAAAATAAATTTTCAAATAGGAGATCTATAAACTAGTGTTAAACCTGAAGAAACATTTTTTGTTGAATAAAGTTAGCGAATTCAATTGTCTTACTTAACTTGTATTTTTTTGCGCGAGCTCGGATGAATGGACATTATATCATATGACTTGCGGCAAACCTACCATTTCCCATTGGTTTCAATAATTCATGAGATAAGCTGTCTTCAATTTCGACTTGTAGTTCCAGTCCTAAAAGTAATTTATTCTTCACAAATTTTGCAAATAAAAATTCAAACACAAAGAGATTTAACGTCTAATCCAATGAGGGGGGATAAGGATATACTAATCTAGTATTAGTGTTTTTAAAAACGTTTCATTACACTTCATCGCAGTTTATTAATTTAAATCTGCATCGAGTGTCGGCCAAATCATTAAATTGAATATTCTACCTTATGCGCAATACGCACGTATGTTTATTAAACTGTTTTTGTTGTTTGTTTGATTTATCCAGCATCACTTTTGTAATATGGTACACATTTTATATATTAAACTATAAAAAACATAAAAAGTGATGCTTTGGTTTAAATGTGTAGCATTTATCGTATGGTATCTGCTGTGAGGCCAGGGTTTTGGTCTATTTACATTGATGACAATAAATGAAATACATCAGTGCCTCCAAATATAAAACGCATAAGGGTATCATTGGGAATATAATTTTGAGTTGTATTGAGAAATATTCTGTATTCATAATTCAAAGTTTCAGGTTCATGATAACAATATTTACATATACCAGGAATCTTGCCTCTTGTCCATTTTTTTACATTGACCATAAAATTTCCTTCTCTTTGAATTAAACTACAGTTCTACAACATTTTAAGTCTCTCTGGTCTAATGTTGCAATATACCAACCCAATGAAAAATACTTACATGTGCTGCCGAATCAAACTGCTCTGTGTTGTCGAACAAACCAATCCTTTAGGGATGCATAACAAGTACCCGGATGTTAGGCCACGAAATAAAAAATCTTCATTAAAAATGTTTCTCTTAACTTCAAAACAGTTTAGAAAAAAGATTTCTCCGTCTTGGATGACCTTGGTATAATAATTTGATTATTCAAGAAATAAGACCTGTCAAATAACGTCTTGGCTAACGTTTATTAGTTTATTAAAAAACTATGCGAACTATAGTTGACAAAATGTTTTATGATATCGAATATATGTGATCCACATCTGATGTTTAAACAACATATATGTGCTGATTGTATATCAGTAAATAGTGCGTGATGTATCATGTTTAAAGTTTGAAACCAATTCGAAGTCCAATAATATCTATTTGATATCCATTTCTGTAGAGTGCCACATCAAATGCATCTCTGATAACATCTTCCAGGCAGTATTCTGATACAGTATGTTTCATCAATAAATGATTGTCATAGGTATACGAGGTACCACACTTATAGTGAAAATATAGCAATGAACTTAATAAACATGATATTTAAATATTTACAATGACCGTTCGTATGCGGGTCTATGTCCTCAGAAACACTCCTTCACGAAGACCATTCAGTTTTATACAATCACGTAGTGAAGTCCATCGCTGCTTAGTGTGAAATTACAAAACTTACTAAAGCTCCCACTATTAAATCGATATTCGTGAGTAATTAAGGTGGACTGTGTCGGGAATGTTTCGGGTATTCACAAAATATGTCATTTCAGCATTTCATCTTTTTGGGGGATGCAGGATGGTTTAGATCGCATTTATTTTTTCTGAGTTAGAAATTGATTATTTGGCTGTTTTTATTGAAGACGGTATTCTTGGTTCTCGAACAATCTTAAAAGCCAATGTAAAAATATGTTTCCAATTTTTCGTTAAATTGAATTTTCGTATTTAGATGTTTTTCACATTTGGTTCTTCTATGACAATGTATGGAACACCAAGTTCAAGTTTTAATATAATAGCATTGACGTTTATTTTCGTGTTTTTGATAAGGAGCTTCGTCTTTAAGCGTCTTGTTGCTTTGATTTTTTATATACATGTATATTTTTATCTCCATGAGTGGAATTGCGTGAATTAGGCCAAAAAATGTGATGAAAGGTGTTTAATATTAATGTTATATTTTAGGGAGAATTTTTCGAAAACTAGAAAATCATTATAATTTTTTACGAGGTCTTTTATTTGAACAGTTCCTTTGTGTATCCAATTTGCATTACTTAGGGTTTGACCATTGATATTTGATTTCACTCATTATTCCAAATATTATACTCTTTTAAAATTAGTTCTTTTTTATATGTCTCTTTAATAAATAATGATTTCCATGTTTCCTATAATATTACTATAGTATAGTTATTGTAAAATGGGGGGCAATCTGGTTAATATTTTCTCATGGAATTTTGATTGAAAATTGTCTCGGATTCTACATTTTGAAAAAAAACTGTAGAAATATTCCTTCCACTTGCTAGGCTTGTTTTGGAATAATTATACCCATTGTATTTAAGCTTGTTGTAGCTCAAATTTGTAAGCTTTTGATTCCCCCATTTTTTATTTTTCCCATGGTTCTAAATTGCTTATAAATTGAAGTTTTCTCTTCCATAAAAAATTATTAGGGATGCTTTTATGGAAAGATGGCAGTAGTTGTAGAATCCTATTACTGAAGAGAAGTAAGAATAAACACAGCATGACTGACCTGCCATCTTTATTTAAAAACTATTTTTATTGCGCTTTACAGCCTATGTTCTAGTATAAATCGCCTGATGGAGTATGTGATGGGTTATTAAAATATCACCGTTTTATAAAATTCCCCAAAATACCCTTTATCTAGATCTAATACTTGCCAGCAAATGACTCCGTGAAATATTCAAAAGAGGTTTTGGTGATCGTATTTTGTGTCATTTTGATACTAGGCACAGTGAAATACATAACGTACTTATAAAAGATCGAATCATCTTGAGATGATCATCAATACACAAAAGAGCGAAACAAAGCTCATCAATATAGGACATAACGTATGTCTATAATTAAATGCCATTGCAAGGAACACAATTAAACAATCAATTTGTACATATCTTACTTAATATATACTAATCATTCTAAAGAGGTTCTGGACTATTATGACAGAATCAGTTTATGTTAAGGAATAGCTTATCTGAAAATGTAAAATGGATGTTATCAAGAATACTTGGAAATATGATAACAATAAATATGCATGTTGATTTAGGAAACAAAAAATCGTACATTCATGTTAATCTCAGATAATTAGACTATAGGATATGAGAATGGATATAAGTGATGGAATAGATATTGTTTTTATGTCCTCGTCTGCCGTATTTGGGATTTTTGGTAATGGAATGATCATCATGGCAATCATATATGACAAAAATCTAAGAGTGACTTCCAATATTTTCACGGCTTGTATTGCTATAGCGGATATATGTATGTTATGTATTGTGAACCCCATCGCAGTGAATAACGTCATCCAAGGACGAAATACGTTATCGGATGTACTATGTGACTTCAATGCAGTTGCGATCGTTGTCACATGTGGTGTTTCTATCAACACATTGGGAGTACTTGCAGTGAATCGTTACTTCTATATTTGCAACACAAAATGGTACAACGTGTTGTTTACGCGAACTAAATCATTAATCATTGCTTTTGCGACGTGGTTGTATTGTGGGTTATGGATTTCCCCGGCATTTTACGGTTGGACTCGGGTCAATTACAATGACAAGATGCTCCTTTGTCTTTATGATGAGACGTATAGCCTTAGCTATACATTATCGCTAAGTGCTATATGTGTAGGATTACCTGCTATTGTGACCATTATCAGTTATACGAAAACAATCACAGTAATACGCAAAAGTGCAGTTTCAGTAACAAATCACAAAGAGGTCAAAAACACGTCGAACTCAAAAAACGATGCAGCCAGAAATAAGCAAAGGCAATTTCGTCAAGTTTTGTTGTTCTTCTTCGTTTCTATATTATTTCTCGTGTTTTGGTCACCTCATGCTATTGCCTCTGTGTTGGATTCTAACGACAGCATTCCACCCTGGGTTATACGTGTCACTACACGGCTGGGAGTCTCAAATTCATGTGTAAACTGTGTTGTATATGGAGTCCTAAATAAACATTTCAGAAGTGCATATAAGAAAATTATATTTTTCTGGAAACGAGAAAATTCATTACATGAAGAGGACATGAGTCAAAATACAAAAACTGCGAATTTCAAACAAAAAGCTGAACCTGCTGGACATAAATAAATTAAAGCAAAATCATGCCAGTGCATAGTAACTCTGCATAAAATAAACTCTATCAAAGCAGAAAATTACATTACGTAAATGTTTGTAATATAGCACTCACAAAATTGAAACATTTTTTTCGTGCATTTTGTACCCCATTGCTTGGGCAATGGGAAATGGCCTGGGTAAATCTTCTCATGAGTTTGGATAGACAAGATATCTGAGTTTATTTCGGTGAACAGTAAAATCTATATTTACAATAACCTCTCAAGTCTCAATCTGGATGCTACTTTGTCCCATATTTAATCAATGTTTAAAAAACGAAATGCGAACGCCTGCCAATCTGAACACTTTTGTCCAGTCTCAGTGGCGTAATTCAGATGAGAGTTTTTCTATTTAATTATACTTTTACAATAAAATTCATATGCCAAAATCAATTTAATGTGATTTCTTTTTATTTTGGTAAGTCTTTTAACAAAGCTGTTACATACCCAATGACGATGTATACAGTTGCATAAACCATCATTGTTATTCACATATATAAAGGATATAAATTAAAATGAATTAATAAAAATACATTTATGGTAACATTTTCTCAATTTTTCTAAATGATTTTTAGAAATTGAGAGTTCATGTGCACTGTGAATCTAAAGTTACGAATTCTTAAATCAATTGTAACCATGGATATAATGGATGGATGTCACAGTCACATAATGAACTTTACGAATTCCTTACTTTGGGAAGTTTCTGGAATGGCCCCCAGTATCATAAAAACTAGAAAATATTGTTACAATAATTCCAGTTCTGTATTTGACTCCAATATAAATGACCTGCACCTTAGACAGCCCTGCATTAATCCGCCCTTGTCTAAGGAACTCGAGGCAGATGGCTTGTACAAATCTTCCATTTATTTGTTTATATTCGTTTGTTTGCGTTTAAAGTTTGCTTTCCGAATGCAATATTTTGAGTTATATTTCTTTGGAGGTCTGGTTTTAAACGCTAAAAAACTATAAAACTAAACAATCTAAAACTGTCTTCATTTATGTTTTCAGTAGAATTGATTGCATAAATCATTAAATACGGGTGGATCTGTTGGAGAGCCCGGGGGCCCGAAATTTGCTTCTCCCCACACAACTTGGGTAACAAATTAGCCCACCCCTTACAATTTTCAGATCAGCCCCTGCAATAGTAGCTAAGCTGTAGCTGTAGTTAATAATATCTAAAAATATTATCCCTTCCTGGCCAATCAATTATCTAAATCGCGATCTGCTCGATAAATTAAATATGTCAGCTTTGTAAAAATCATAAGGAAGAACACCTTATCTCAACGTTTAGACAAAGGAAGAACACTTTATCTACCCATATAGGCTAGACATAGCTTGATAAGACATCCTTCAAAATCAATTTCAAACCTGTCATAAATACAGTTATACCTGTCTTAAAAACACCTCTCTCTTGTGGACACCCTTTCTCCGCACATACTGTACTGACTTCTGAATGAATTACCTTCTCTGTAGTAAACACCTACCAACACTGATGAACGTTATTCTCAGCAAAAAAATGTTCAATATACACAGGTTTTTGTTTTTTCAAAGCTACTTTATTCGACAAACCTTATTTATCGACCCTAATCGATAGTGATATTGATCGGCTAAATTCACATATACAGTTTCTTGGTAACAGGGGCGGGGGGGGGGTTACAGGTACTATGATGATGTTCGTTGTGAAATGACGGCGTCAACGCAGTAGCTTGACGTCCTACTACAGCAAGAAAATATATCAAAATATGTAAATTTAACAAATGTTTTCATCATTTTCTGTTAATGCTGTTAATAAAATATTAATAAATAAATCAATTGTAATGTACTCACATGATTTTTCCCTTTAAATAAAAAATGCCAATGGTATAACGTCTCTTAAAGACTAACTTTTAACCACTACTGTATTGTAAAATTGTTAAATGTAGGTTTACATGTAACTGTACTGTAATTGTTTTTTGCAATTGCTTTAACATGCTTATTCTTTGAAATAAAAAAAATTATAAAAAAAATAATAACGTGTTAATAAAGGATACAATCGTGACATAACCTGAGACCATCATTATGTTAGTCTCAGGCTTAAGTTCACACATGGCTAGGCAAGCTATGTCAATGCAACTAGATGACTCATCAGATTGAAATTGATAACTTGCCAACTACTTGACCCTTGCAAATTGAAACAGTGCAAGAGGTCTGTTATCCCGGGGTCTGTATGCAGCCCGGCGTATCTAAATATGCCCGGTAATAATTTTACACCATATTTCGTTTAGTGTAATATTTGCGTAATCCGGTACTGATGGTCTTGTGATTTTTCGATGTTTCCTAACTTTATCGATTTACAACATTTTAACTCATTTAAGTGATTCCATGTCTCATACCTGATTGAAGATATTATATTCAAGAATCAATATTATAATCAATAATGAAGAAGAAGGTAAGGAGTTACTTTATTATTGGACTTTTACATCTGAAATTTTACTTCCGGTGTTTTTTATTTTGTATTTGGTTTGACGTTTACGATTCATCTCCTTAATACGATCACATGAAGCTATATCGATTCCTTAAGGACCTCTATTGAACTTCCTATGATTGGGACAGTTGGCAGACAAGAAAACGTTTTATTTACTCATGGAGAATATTTCAATAATTTATTGAAAAAATCATGGCCCATGAAAAAATATTGACTCTGTGACTGGTCTCCACCTGACCATGGGCTTTCAAATCGGACCAATAGATTTTCAAGTCACAGATTGTTCTTCTATCCTTCCAATGTACTTCAGGTACTAAAGAAAATTCCTTCAATTTTCTCATATCAACTAATTACATTGCCTGCATGGGCTTTCAAAAATATAAGAACATTTCTGACATTTGTGGTATAATTTCACCAAAATTGCAAAATTGAGATATAATTTATTTTATCGCTATCACTCAGACCATGGGCTTCCATGTGTTAGTATAAATCAAGCATAATCACAATGCTTGTTACATAGCGAGGTACAGTAACAACCCACTTGTTAAAAATGTTTTAGGTATTACTGATGGGGAAAAGTGGTTCGGGGAAAACCAGTATGCGGTCAATCATCTTTGCAAACTATATTGCACGGGACACCAGAAGACTTGGCGCAACAAGTAGGTCTTGTTTTAAATTCCATATTTTTGCTTTCAGGCCTCTCTCTATTATATCTATACTGTATACATGGGCTTTCAATTAGATTGAATTAGTTGAAAGCCCATGCTGTGTATAAACATCACAAATTAGAAATGTCCAAAATGACTTCTTGTTCCCAAGTGAACAATAGATACAGGAATTCCTTTACTGATAGATGATTTGAGTAAGAAGATGTAAGATTAGTATTAAAATTTGATAATATAGAAATTACATTGTATTATCTGTAAAATGAATGCAAGGTTAAAAGTTCATTGTATACTGTACTGCTTATATATGGGCGGGAGGCCTTATATTTCTGAAATAAATGGTAAAAAGGCCACTTAATGGCACTTAACAATGGCACTTTATATTTTAGTTGATGTTGAACATTCACATGTCCGTTTCCTTGGCAACCTAGTACTGAATCTTTGGGACTGTGGAGGGTAAGTTATGCTTGCTTTTAGTGTTTTAAGCAGAAGTGATTAAGTTGGATCCAGTCAGCCATTATGACATTATAAGACATACCAGGCCCGTAGCCATAGGGGGGGGGGGTTCGCAGGGTTCTTTCAAAATCATGCGGTTTTTCACCATTTTTAGCACTTCTCAAGTGATTTTAGCCATATTTGGGCCTAAATTGTCAAATGTGAATCCCCCCAGGAAATTTTTGAAAACTGAACCCCCATTGGCAAATCCTGGCTACGGCCATGCATACTATACCTAGATTCATTGTCATCAGACACATTTCCAATGAGTTTCAGTTTATGATTGTACAATTCTATTTTCAGCCAAGAAGCCTTCATGGAAAACTATTTTGCCAGTCAACGTGATAACATTTTCCGTAATGTCGAAGTCCTCATATATGTCTTTGATGTTGAAAGCAGAGAGCTTGAAAAAGACATGCATTATTACCAGAGTTGCCTAGAAGCAATTCTACAAAATTCTCCCGATGCCAAAGTTTTTTGTCTGGTGCACAAGATGGATTTAGTCCAAGAGGACCAACGCGAATTGGTGAGTTCAAATTTAAAACACATTGCCAGATATAATTGGATAGGTCTCAAATATGAAACGACTTTGATATTTGAGCCAGGCCACAGGAAAAGAGGTCTTATCACAGATTTTTTCAATGTTTTGATTTTTTGTTTTTCTTAAAAAGCACAAAGAGACCTTTCAAATGAGCCATGGCTTGTGTCTTAACAATTTTTCCTTGCAATAGACCAAAAGGCGGAAATGAATTTAGCACATTTTCCTCTTACACTTTGGTACATTTTTTGCTCTGTAGCACAATTAAAATTTTTATGATAAGACCGGTTTTCCAATGGCGAGGCTCATTTAACGAATGAAATCAAGATGCGTCTTGTCAGTGTCCTATATATCCTATATTTTTCAGTATGAAGGAATTAGCCAAATCTTATATGAGATTACAAAACCTTGTTTTAGTTATCCTGTATTGAAATGAGACCAAACACAAACCATCTCCTATCATTTATATTCATCCATTACACATTTATTAAAACATATATTAATTGTTAATATTTTCACACAAGATGAATACTGCAGTAAAATTTTAAATGTTTGGAACTACTTTGAATCTAAAAAATAAGCAATTAAAGGACCATATTAATTATACATAAGTATCTGAAATATACAAAAGTTAGGACTTGTACATGTGTTTCCATTTTTTCATATACTGTTGCAATATACTCATTTTAATTGCTTATTTTTTAAATTCAAAGTACAGGGTGTCCCAGAAGTAATGATAATTATGCTCTAAAATTTTTATTTGATATGGAAACAATATGAAATTCACATAAATTAAAGATCAAGATGTTAGCTTCATTTTACTATATTACATTTATTACTTTACACAAATATATTTAATGTATAGATGCCATAGCAACATGTACGCGCGTTCTGCGGAGCAGCTGTGTGTTTTTCATACATTTTTTAAAAAGATTTCATGTTCATATGTTTCCCTGCTGTTCACATGACTACTGTAATGCTGCTACTTCATTCACGATATTCCTTAAGAGCATTGTACATTGTTGATTCACTTATCCACATACTGTCCTTGTTGGAAACAATTTGTCTGTGCCTTTCCAGCCAGGATCGGAAGACATGATCAAAACCACTGTTGGACATATCCTGCAGAGCCAACTGAACCGAGCGGCGCAATTGTGCCTCTTTATGCCACCTATACACAGTGGGGTTGGACAGTCTTCTCTCACCATATGCTTGTTTAAACTCCTTTATAGTGTCACTGGGTTTACCCCCTGTCTTCTGAAGGAATTTTATGACTGCTCTCTGCTCTAATTTTTCATCTTTGCTCAACGTTGGTGGCATAATGTACACCTCCCTGGAAATTCCTAGGTTATGTTCCTAAGAGTTTTCCTTTTGTGAAACCCTATATGACATCATCCTGTGATGTCATAATATCAGATTAAAGTGATAATCCTGTCACAATGAGATAAATTACATAATATTAAACCACTATGACATCATGCAACTGTATACAATTACCATAACAATGATTTAAAAGCTTGAAACATTATCACAGAATAACTGCTTTTCTAAATTAAGTTTGAACATTTATAATATATGGAAACTGCTCCGCAGAATGCGCATACATGTTGCTATGGCAACTATACATGGAATATTTTTGTATAAATTCATAAATGTAATATAGCAATATGAAGCTTATATCTTAAACTTTAATTTGTATGAATTTCATATTGTTTCCTTGTCAAATAAAAATTTAAGAGCATAATTATCAATACTTCTGGGACACCCTGTAGTTCCAAACATTTCAAATTTTACTGTAGGCTATATTATAGCACTGACGAATCATGCAATGGCATTCCAAAGTGCTCATAATGAAGCATCCTTGCAATTGGTCTTAATATAGCGCAACTCCTTTCCAAATCATCTAGCTCATATTGAAGGGCTTCAATTTGTTCAATATGTAGCTTGTCCAACTCTTTTTCATATTCCAGCTCTTGTTTCTTTATAACGAGCTTGGCTTTTATTTTTCTACCTGGAAAATGATGGTGTTTTTTAAAAATCGTAACCACATATATTTTATATGGAAGTGTTAAGTTTTTTATAAATTCACGTGACATGACGTGAAGCCTTGGAAAAAGTTGGCAAACTTCCTTATTTATGTTTTGTGTTATCTGAGAATTATGAATGAGAAACTTTTTTGCACACAGTTTTATGTGTACATTAAGGCAAATATTTGTCATCTACGATGCTCATGCTTTTAGTCATCATACCTCCCTGTTTCTCCTTTTCCCTTTGCTCATCTTTCCTTCCAAAAATGACTTCGCTCCAAACAGCCACATGAGCAAGTATAGCAAATCCAACCATCATCTTGACAGAACATAATGTGCTGTTGTCCATTATAATTTCAGATTTTAAAATTAATTCTAATGTTGATAGTAATGCTGTCAAGTCAGTTTAGTTGTAGGTTTCAAAGTTGTAGGTTTCTAGGTTATCAGTGTAAACATGCCATGGTATCACTAAAGTATATTGTGATGTCATCAGAAATCTTATATTGTCATAGTAGCAATTTGTGATGTCATTAAAAAAACAATAAGATAATTTAGAAAATCCATGAGATCACTTGAATTCCCTAGTTACTGTTGCTAGAGTATAATCATTATGACATCCCAATATGGTCTTGTGACAACATATCCCATAGTTACATGGGTCTAGTGTCGTTTTGTCATCTTCAATTGTTTTTCATTGGTAATTCCTGCCAAATCTAGTAAATTAACAACCAGGTTGTAGTAAATTCACATGTTTAAGAAAACCTTATGACATGCATAAGAGGACGGGAATAAAAGTGAAATAAGAAAAAACAAGACATGTTTTGTTTGGAACAGGAAAATCTTAATTGACATTTAGTTGTGCAATCATAATGAAAAAGTTGTAACATATTGTTGTTATAGCAACTGGTTTTCATGACAGGTGTTGATGTTGGCATAATTATCCTCATCAGTGTCTGCAACACTTTTATTTTCAGTTGCAGCTTTTGACATTATGTCACATTTATGCCTTTTTATCGCACTTTGTGCTAATTTTGTGCTGATGAGTGAGCAGGCATCTGTGTGGGTAGGTACCAATAAACTTGTCTTATTTTATTATCCTATTATTTCAGATATTCCGAGAGAGAGAAGAGGATTTAAAGAGGCTGTCTAAGCCACTTGAATGTACTTGCTTTGCTACATCAATATGGGATGAAACATTGTATAGGGTGAGACATAAATATAGAACAATAAGCTGTGAATATACATGTAGTAAAGACTGAACATATTGAACACTCTCTGTAATAGGCAAAGTGTTCCTTGTAGACAGGTGTCTCTTGTAGACAGGTGTTCCTTACAGAGGGTTCATTAACATGTTAGTCAATGGGACTTGGTTCTTTTGAAAGAAAAGTGTCCCTTACTGAGAGGTGTTCCATATAACAGGTTTAACTGTACTTGCCTAAGTACAAAATACAGCCAGAAAGTCAATACAACACATTCCATGCTAGGTTGTTTCTGGCAACTTCTCATCTGAATAATTTCAAGTTTAAATTGTGAATTTTTGCTTCTACCAATTTTCATATTCTGACCGTTTTTGTTTTATATCAGTACACCAAACAAAACAAAAGTAAAGAAAAACATGTTCGTACATAACCCTTACTTGTGCATGTTATTTCAGGCATGGTCATCCATAGTTTATCTGCTCATCCCAAATGTACAGCAATTAGAGACCAACTTGGAGAACTTTGCAAGCATAATGGATGCCGATGAGGTGCTGCTCTTTGAGAGAGCAACTTTTCTAGTAAGTGCAATCTATGCATGCAGAATTATCCCATTTTAATATTCAATTACACAGGCAAATTACATCGGGCCCCGTACGAGCTTGTACAAGCCTCGAGGATTACGAGTCATTACGAAGCTCGTTTTTGAGGCCAGTGTGAGCTCGTACGATGCTCGTAATTGTTGTTTTCGAGGCCCGTACGAGCATGTTTTAGGGTCGTAATTTTGAGAACTTTGACAGCATAATGAATGCTGATGAGGTGCTGCTCTTTGAGAGAGCAACTTTTCTTATAAGTGCAATCTATGCATGCAGAATTCTCCCATTTTTATATTCATATCTTAATGATTCAAGGTTGTGATATACCATTGGAAAGTGGGAAGGTGGGGTATAGTGTGAATCAGACCCTTATTTCAACCTAAAACTTGTTTAAAAGTTGTGATGTAAGTCCCGTAGTCATTGTCTGAGATTTAAGGCCTATTGTTCGTTTATTTCAAATCAACATACATACGTGTAGTTTGGTTTATAACACTATTTTTCTCATCAGGTTTCCCGATTCAGTTGAATCAAGGAACATTTGAAATAGTAGTTAGATAGTTATCACCTTTGTGTCTTGGCCAAAGTCATGAGAATTGTCTGTAAATGTAAATGATGTATATTCAATAACAGTTTTTTCCTGTTTTAGGTGATATCACATTGTCAGCGACAGCATCATCCTGATGTGCACCGGTTTGAGAAGATCAGCAATATAATTAAACAATTTAAGTTAAGCTGTAGCAAACTCGCGGCCAGTTTCCAATCAATGGAGGTCAAAAATTCTGCGTTTGCTGCATTTATTGACGTCTTCACTTCAAATACTTACGTCATGGTGATCATGTCAGACCCAAATATACGTAAGTATCTACAGATTGAACATTTACAAGGGGTGTGGTTATAGTTTTGGGTTAACAATATGAAATGAGAGATAGGAAATGAATATAAGTGCATGTATTGGAATATGAAACTATGGAATATGGGCCCCATTGAAAATTTGTAATTTATGTACCTATGATCAAGACATAGGAATGCAGAATAAGAAATATTTTAATTGAGTATGGGATATGTTACAACTGTTACCACTTAGGGCACCCTCCCCCCCCCCCCCCCCATCTGCCTGTGGCTTGTTTAAATTGCAATTCTAAAAATACATTTTTCTCTATGATTTACCAAAACAAATGGTCACCGGATCTTAAAACTGTTTGACAATTAGACCTCTAGGATATGTAGGATAAATAATGAAAAATACAGATGCACCAAGTTACGAACAATTTATTTTATTCTACCACAAAAAGTAATGTTGGCATATCTGTTATATCACACAGCTTTTCAGTTATCTAATTTCTCCTTTGTAATTTTTGGCTTGCCCTTAAAAGGGCAGTTTGGTTTAATTATATCTGCATCATTTAGATTTCCTCATCTTCAATTGGGTCCATCTCATCTTCATCATCTGTAACCATGTCCCATTCATCATCTGTATATTCATCTTCATCATCTGAAAATGTCATCCCTTCAGCACGTTTCTTCAACTCCTCAACTTTGGCTGCTTGTTTCATGGCATACTCATACATCATACACTTCATGCCTGTCATGGCGGAGAGGTTCAGCCGTAACGTGTATCGCGCTGATTGTTTTTGGTTCTTCACCGCACGTTGATAGCGAACTTCAATCTGCTTTACTTGGTCATCAATTAGCAAAAGTTGATCACAAGCCCTGGTAAACTTCTTGTATTGGAGCTCAATCTCATCTCTGAGCATTCTAGGTGTCAGTTCCATCTCATCGTATTGGTTTTCATATGCTTCACTATCTCCATGTCTGTGTGGAACAGCATCAGGAGCATTTCCAGCATTTGTAGCAGCATTAGTAGCCATTTTGTTTGGTGTTGTCTTGGTGATTACACAACGTGAACTGAATTGTTGTAGGATTCTCTTGGTTTTTATTGAAAACTCATAGCAGCTTCTTGGCAGTATGGTTTCAATAGTGTATTGTTCTCGATGTGGCTTCAGTTGAAATATTTTATGGCTTCACAATATTTTATCACTTTGTATCTATAACTCTTCCCAATATAGTTTCACTATGTATCTATAACTCTTCACAATATGGTTTCACTATGTACATATATCTATAACTCCTCACAATATGGTTTCACTATGCATCTATAACTCTTCACAATATTGTATCACTATTTATCTATAACTCTTCACAATATGGTTTCACTATGTATCTATAACTCTTCACAATATGGTTTCACTATGTATCTATAACTTTTCACAATGTGGTTTCACTAGAATCCAAATTGTTGAATGATTTCAAGGATGTCCAGCTTGGTTTATATACCTGTGCAACGTTAGAAACATCTGACATCTTGTTTAATAATTGTGTGTCACTTATCGTGTGTCAGTTGTGTCAGGCTTGTTTATAAACATGTCACTTGACAACTGGCAGGAAACAAACAAAAAAATTAATGACAATATGCAGACTGAACTGGTTAACAATGTGGTGTATCTGACATCTTGTTTCTATTAATAATCGTGTGTCACTTACTGTGTGTCAGTTGTGTCAGGCTTGTTTATTATGTCGCTTTTATTCCCATAATAAAATGGATTAAACATGTAAACATAAATCAATCAAACAATACAACAATAACCAAAACATATACAACATTTATACACGTAATAAAGAAAGAACAAAATATAACAAAACAAATAATTATAAAAGTTTACAAAGTTAAAAGCAAGTAAAAAATTGCACCTCTGGGGTTTTAATTGCACTTCATAACTCAACGGTTAAAGCTTATTGGAACGGTGTGTTTAATTCTACATAAGAGTTTTTAATTATATTGCTAAAGTAAGGCAACACTATGTTTATCGTTTTCAAATTAACACAGTCGCTAAAACAAGAAAGGCCTTTCACTGACACTGGAAGAGGGGCTTTAAAGAATTCTCTGAGAAAAATCCCAGCTTCAGACTGACCTATAGCCACAGTGATTCTATTCAGCATATTGTTTCGTTCTGGAGCAGTTTCCGTGCACATTGCTGCTCTGTGTGAGATAATGTCTCCCTCTAGTGCTCCACAATATTCACAAAGCTCAGGTTTATTTGGGTCAAGTGGAATAGTTAGAAACTTTGCTATGACAGTTGCATATTTAAGAAGACCGGGAATCTTTCTTGAGTACAGCCATAGTGGGTTTGGTTCTAGATTGTTTTGTATTTGTCTTAATCTAGTAAAGCTATTGATGCTGTCCCCAGCTCCGATTTCGGTGATCGGCTAGTATAAAAGGTTTGAGGGTATCATTTTGTTCCAGACACTCTCTAGAGTAAATTATCCTAACTTGAGTAAAAATGTGTGGTAAGTAAATTCGCTATGGGCAGTTAAAGAGGCGCCATCTATTCATTTTCAAACAGGGGGTAGGGGTATAAAATAATTTTTAACACATTTTAATAGTAAAGTGACATTGAAATACTAATAAAATCTTATCAAAAACATTATTTACAATCAGTATGAATTTTCTTGTGTGGATTAGGGTGAAAATAAGGGCATATCTTGAAATTCACTACAGGGGCGCCACCTATTTTCATACTTCTACCACGTCTAATAACTTATTTTAGATTCGTTAAGGTACGAAATGTACTGAAAAAATTCATTCTGAAGGACCTATATATGTTCATATCACATACTTAAAATTGGATCAATAGATTTTGTACTGGCGGAGAAAAAAATTATTGAAATTTAAAATTGTGACATCATGCAGGATAGGGGTGACCATATCTCACATTATTAACTTCCAAAATATGGAGCATATGTATCTCAAATGTACTCAAAATGGTGTATGTACTCTTGCTTTGTCATAATATTACTAATAAGAAGTAGAAAAATGATTGTACATTTTAAAAAATATTAATTCTCATTTTGGCTTCTGACGTCCCAGGGGTGACCATATCTCACCTTAATAACTTCCAAAATATGGAGCATATGTATCTCAAATGTACTCAAAATGGTGTATGTACTCTTGCTTTGTCATAATATTACTAATAAGAAGTAGAAAAATAATTGTACGTTTTAAAAAATATTGATTCTCATTCTGGCTTCTGACGTCCCAGGCGTGACCATATTTCACCTTAATAACTTCCAAAATATGGAGCATATGTATCTCAAATGTACTCAAAATGGTGTATGTACTCTTGATTTGTCATAATATTACTAATAAGAAGTAGAAAAATGATTGTACATTTTTAAAAATATTGATTCTCATTTTGGCTTCTGACGTCCTAGGGGTGACCATATCTCACCTTAATAACTTCCAAAATATGGAGCATATGTATCTCAAATGTGCTGAAAATGGTGTATGTACTCTTGCTTTGTCATAATATTACTAATAAGAAGTAAATAAGAAGTAAAAAAATGATTGTACATTTGAAATAATATTAATTCTCATTTTGGCTTCTGACGTCCCAGGGGTGATATGTCACCCTTGGGACGTCAGAAGCCAAAATGAGAATTAATATTTTTTGAAATTGTACAATCATTTTTCTACTTCTTATTAGTAATATTATGACAAAGCAAGAGTACATACACCATTTTGAGTACATTTGAGATACATATGCTCCATATTTTGGAAGGTAATCATGTGAGATATGGTCACCCCTATCCTACATGATGCCACAATTTTAAATTTCAATAATTTTTTTCTCCCCCGGTACACAAGCTATTGATCCAATTTTAAGTATGTGGTATGAACATATATAGGTCCTTTAGAATGATTTTTTCAGTACATTTCGTACCTTAACGAATCTAAAATAAGTTATTACATGTGGTAGAAGTACAAAAATAGGTGGCGCCCCTGTAGTGAATTTCAAGATATGCCCTTATTTTCACCCTAATCCACACAAGAAAATTCATACTGATTGTAAATAATGTTTTCGATAAGATTTTATTAGTATTTCAATGTCATTTTACTATTAAAATGTGTTAAAAATTATTTTATACCCCTACCCCCTGTTTGAAAATGAATAGATGGTGCCTCTTTAACTGCCCATAGCGAATTTACCTACCACACATTTTTACTCAAGTTAGGATAATTTACTCTAGCGAGTGTCTGGAACAAAATGATACCCTCAAACCTTTTATACTAGCCGATCACCGAAATCGGAGCTGGGGACAGCATCATATGATCATTTTCCGTTTGTGATTTCCATTCGTCATTTTGATGAGAATTTATGGCAAATTTGACGATACGTTTCCATATGTGTTTTGGAGGGAAATACCCTGTATCAATGTATTGATTTAATGACTCAATTTCATATTTAGCTAATATCAACCATAGATTCCATCGTATTAATACCAAGCATTCCCAGGGAAATATCAGTTCGAGTCCATTTGACTTGGTCCTGTAAAGGTTTTGTAATAAATCGTTCTGCCTTCTCGAGTCGTAACGCCTGTGCGTTTGTGATATTGGTCCAAAGTTCCGACCCATACAAAGCTGCAGGAATACAAATACATTTTAAAAGTTTAAGGCCTGTGAGTGGGTTCAGCCCTCGGGGGTGCGTCCCTGCTCCAACGAGTGATGCAAAAGTGCCTCTTAAAGACTGACACGCTGCATTAATTTTGACATCTGATGAAAGAGAATGGCTATACATGTTACCTAAATGCTTAATTTCATCAACTTCCTGAAGTTCCTATCCATTGGTTGTTTCCCATTTTCTTTGTACCTTACATTGAGGATGCAATCGTGGTGATTCGCCGATTGTCATAACTACACTCTTCTGTAGGTTGTATTGATATCTCCACTTATTGGAATAATTAATAGCAACATCAATGAGATATTGTAGGTTGGACTTAGTTGTCGCAATAATGGTTAAATCATCAGCCAGTGCCGGGCATCCCGTTTGTAACGTCCCTATAGATGCAGTTTGATGTGCTATTTGTTGGAGTTCAATAAGTAGATCATATATTAAAAAGTCTTCCAGTTATTCCAGCATTGTGGAGCTTCCAGAGAAGGGCATCGTGACATACCGTATCAAAAGCACGTTTCGTGTCAAGACATGCAACGTACACTTTGCTCCCCAATTCAAGGTTATGGTATAGAGTTTCAGTAAGGTTAAAGCTACAAGTTATGCTGCAAAGCTGTTCTTGATACACATTCTGCTGGTTGCTCTTCAGGATTGGCTTCCCTACCCTTTCCTCAAATTCCTGTATTCTCTGCTTTATAACTCGTTCCCATAATTTCTCTATGACAGGTAAAAGAGTTATGTCTCTGTAATTCTCAGTGCTTGAACGGCTTTTACCCCCGCCCTTAAAAAGCTTAGAAATGACCCCATCGTTAAAAGCAGAAGGTGTTTTCAAAGTCACAGTTATCAAGTTATAAAGTTCTGCAAGCGTTTGAAATAAAACATGGCCACCGTATATTATGTGCTTATCTGTGCTTTTGAAACTGATAAAATACAAACTTTGAATATTTTGGAGTGTTTGAAAATTGTTTTGTGTTTGATATTATAATTTTAGAGATAGATTTTTCTTTTTTTTATTGGTAAATGAAAACACAGAATGAAATACCACACTATGGGCTAATGTGACATAGTCAGTCCACCCCAGTGGGGATCGAACCCACGACCCTTCGTTTTCCAATGGAGTGCAATGCCACTGAGCTAATACAGAAATACCAAGGAACAAAAGTAATATTTATTCTTCCATAATAAAGTTGGCGAATCTGTTAATACATATCACACAGTTATTCAGTTATCTAATTTCTCCTCTGTAATTTTTGGCTTGCCCTTAAAAGGGCAGTTTGATTTTGATTGTCTGCATCATTTAGTTTTCCTCATCTTCAACTAGGTCCATCTCATCTTCATCATCTGTAACCATGTCCCATTCATCATCTGAATATTCCTCTTCATCATCTGAAAATGTCATCCCTTCAGCACATTTCTTCAACTCCTCTACTTTGGCTGCTTGTTTCATGGCATACTCATACATCATACACTTCATGCCTGTCATGGCGGAGAGGTTCAGCCGTAACGTGTATCGCGCTGATTGTTTTTGGTTCTTCACTGCACGTTGATAGCGAACTTCAATCTGTTTTACTTGGTCATCAATTAGCAAAAGTTGATCACAAGCCCTGGTAAACTTCTTGTATTGGAGCTCAATCTCATCTCTGAGCATTCTAGGTGTTAGTTCCATCTCATCATATTGGTTTTCATATGCTTCACTATCTCCATGTCTGTGTGGAACAGCATCAGGAGCATTTCCAGCATTTGTAGCAATAGTAGCCATTTTGTTTGTTGTTGTCTTGGTGATTACACAAAGTAAACTGAATAGTTGTAGGATTCTCTTGGCTTTTATTGAAAATTCACAGCAGCTTCTTGGCAGTATGGTTTCAATATTGTATTGTTCTCAATGTGGCTTCAGTTGAAATACTATATGGCTTCACAATATGTTATCACTATGTATCTATAACTCTTCACAATATGGTTTCACTATGTATCTATAACTCTTCACAATATGGTTTCACTATGTATCTATAACTCTTCACAATGTGGTTTCACTGGGTATCTATAACTCTTCACAATGTGGTTTCACTAGAATCCAAATTGTTGAATGATTTCTAGGATGTCCAACTTGGTTTATATACCTCCATGAAACATCTGCCAGTGACATCTTGTTTAATAATTGTGTGTCACTAATTGTGTGTCATTTGTGTTAGGCATGTTTATAAACATGTTGATTGACATCTAGCATGAAAAACAGAACAGCTAATGAACAAACTATTCTTCTGTAACTGACAAAATGCAAACTTTGAATGTTATGGAGTTTAAGAGTAATGTTTTATGTTTTTGTGTAAGTGTAAGACATCAGGGTTAATTCCTATCTCTACCACAAATGACAATCCTCCATTTGCCTTTGTGTGGCTTGTTGCAATTTTAGAAACACATTTTTATTTTTATTAATACAGAATGAAAATATGCACTTCGGACTATTGTGAAAAACATGTGGATCAAACCTGTGACCCTTTGTTCTCTGGCGGAGTAAGCTTCCACTGAGTAATAGGATCCCTTGACCATAGCATTGCAAGTTTGTCGTACATGCCCAGTTTCCTGAACCCCATATAAATTATCTGTTTTCCCAGGTTGCCAATCATTCTATTTGTGATGTCACATGGACTTTCCCACAAGCCATTCCCCCTAAGGAGAAACAGTATTCTTATTTAAAACACAGAATGAAATTCTACACTCAGGGCTTATGTGAAAAAGTCAGTCCACCCTAGTGGGGATTGAAATCACGACCCCTTGTTTTCCGGGACTGGCAGACTTTTTCTTTATGATCTTTCAAAGATGAATGGTGAAGTGTTTGAAATTCAGATAATGTACAATTTTGAAACTGTTTGACAAATGGGCCTCTAAGAAAGACTAACAAATATAGAAGTACCAATGAATAAAAGTAATATTTATTCTTCCATAATAAAGTTGGCAAATCTGTTAATATCTGTCACACAGTTATTCATTTATCTAATTTCTCCTCTGTAATTTTTGGCTTGCCCTTAAAAGGGCAGTTTGGTTTAATTATATCTGCATCATTTAAATTTCCTCATCTTCAATTGGGTCCATCTCATCTTCATCATCTGTAACCATGTCCCATTCATCATCTGTATATTCCTCTTCATCATCTGAAAATGTCATCCCTTCAGCACGTTTCTTCAACTCCTCAACTTTGGCTGCTTGTTTCGTTGCATACTCATACATCATACACTTCATGCCTGTCATTGCAGAGAGGTTCAGCCGTAATGTGTATCGCGCTGATTGTTTTTGGTTCTTCACCGCACGTTGATAGCGAACTTCAATCTGCTTTACTTGGTCATCAATTAGCAAAAGTTGATCGCAAGCCCTGGTGAATTTCTTGTATTGGAGCTCAATCTCATCTCTGAGCATTCTAGGTGTCAGCTCCATCTCATCGTATTGGTTTTCATATGCTTCACTCTCCGCATGCCTGTGTGAAACAGCATCAGGAGCATTTGTAGCAGCATTGGTAGACATTTTGTTAGCTGTTTTCTTGTCGATTACACAGTGTAAACTGAATTGTTGTAGAATTCTCTCAGTTTTTATTGAAAATTCACAGCAGCTACTTAGCAATGTGGTTTCACACTGTATTGTCCTCAATGTGCTTCAGTTGAACTATATGGCTTCACAATGTGGTGTAGCAATATGGTTTCACTATGTAGTGTCACAATATGGTTTCACTATGTGGTGTCACAATATGGTTTCACTATGAATCTAACTTTTCACAATGTGGTTTCACTAGAATCCAAATTGTTGAATGATTTCTAAGATGTTCATCTTGATTTATATACTTGTGCAATGTTAGAAACATCTGACATCTTGTTTAATAACTGTGTGTCACTTATTGTGTGTCAGGCTTGTTTATAAACATGTCAATTGACAACAGGTAAGAAACAAATAAAAAAGATACTGAACAAACTGGTTTTGTATCTGACAAAATACAAACTTTGGATGTTATGGAGTTTACGAGTAATGTTTTATAATTGCATGAGATGTTTGGTTTCAAAATCATGCAGTTTTCACCATTCTAAGCACTTTTCAAGTGATTTTGGACCGAAATGGTCAAATGTAATCTCCCCTAGAATTTTGAAGTGAACCCCAAAAAGCTGGTTACAGTCCTGATATGGGACCTTTACACCTGACATAAAATTAGAAGATTTTTCTTCAACAAACCACACACTTTCAAGAGAGTTTGTAATAAAATGCTTTCTCTTTGATCTGTATGAATTTCATAATATAAGCAGACACATTTATTTAGGTTTGCTGTACTGTATGTAAATATTCTATATGAATTGTGGATAACCTGCCTACTATGTTCCAAATATAATTTAATAAACAACATGAGAGAAACAAATAAAACAATGCTTTCATAATATAGGAAATACAAACTGTAAGAATGTTTTTGTTTTAATAGAATGTGTTTTGATGTTTTTTATCTCAGGTACAAACAATGAGATTATCAGATTAAATGTATTCAGTGCTATGATCAGTTTTCATGGGGGTCAGAGTTGATAGTACAAAATCAGCTTGTTTTTTTATTGATTATATAACCCCCCCCCCCCCCTGTGTTATGCTTTGACGTCAAGGTTTACATTATGGGGTGGGGGGTGTGTGGAATACATTTTCTATTATTGTCATCATGAAAAGCTGAAGACTCTCCTTTCTTCCCAACCACAAGATTTTAGATATTTCAGAATTTGATGTTTTTAATCTCAGATACAAACAATGGGATTAAATGTATTACTATCTAAGCACGAGTGCCAAGGTGAAAGGATCAAAAGTTGTAATGGAACTTAACAAGAAAAAGAAAACTCTTGAGTGCATACCAGTCAAGAAAATCAAACCCCATATATCCCAAAACTATGATCTAAAGTGAAAAGAAACAATGTCTAATACCCCCTTTCCCCCACCATTCAAGAACCAATATCACATTAGATTAAGGTTAACTTTATCATTCTTGAAAAAGTGTCACACTAGAATACCTGTTTGTGTATTTTTGAGTTTTGCCCCCCCCCCCATCTTATTCTTTAAAATTAAGATGTGACGAGTATTAGAATGGTATTTTGTATTTTATTTGTGTTCTTCTCTTTCAGCTTCAGCAGCAACACTCATTAACATAAAGAATGCACGGAAACATTTTGAGAAACTGGAACGAGTGGACCAACAAGGAATCACATCAATGGGTGTGAGGTAATATACATTGTCACACCCCTATGATTTAAAATAAACCAGTCCATTCAATCAATTTGGACAAGTCCATTACTGAAGCAAAAGATAATGAAGGGGTGCAAAGACATAAATGGCAGTATTTATGCAGTGTAAATATTATATCATGAAAATATTGTGACTTACAACTCATATAATTCAGTTGTTTTTGACAATGTTACTATGGTAATTGTTGAATTGTGAAAGACTATTACAGGAATCAAAATTGATAATAATATATGAAACATTTGCTGAATCAGATGATGAATCAGAGTGAAATAAGAATGATGACAAAAACCTTGACTCAGTTGGTTCAGCAATGAGACATTGATAAGAGCTGAGCCTTTGAAAGAAAATCTTAGGAGAAATCATGTAATGCATGGGGCCATGCCATGCAGGGTAAACCTCCAATTCATATTCTGAAATCACAATACTCTACAGTATGTTAGAGTATGATACCATATGATACTGTTAGAGTATGTTTACGGTACTGCACAGTACTGTTTAAGTCTAAGGTACTGTACAGTGCCACGTTTTAAGGTACTGTACAGTACCGTACCCAAAATAGTACTGTACAGTGGTACTGTTTGAGATTGGCTGTGTAAACTACCGAGTGTGTACATGTTGTTTGAAAGTGAACGATTGTCTCATAAACTATGATGTACCTTCTATTAATTTTTATGTCACCTCCTGTAGTGGTGACATATTGTTATAGATTCCAACTTTTTTGTGGACAGAGTAAAGCGTTTGATAAGTGGCGGTTGGTGGTCCGCGTTCGGCATCTGCAACAAATGACAGGTAGTGAATTTTGCATGTAAATGCCTTGTTTAAAATTTACTGTGTAAAGGTGATTCAAAAAGGCAAAGTTCCACTTGATGAAATGACTAAGACTAAAACAGTTTGTTTATGAAGCCAAAATTAGTACAAGGAAGATTGTCTCCCAGCATTCTTGTGTGATCTCTAGACTGGCATGGACCAGTTTGGTAATGAATACCTGACTCAATGTTTGGTTTGGCGATGAATATAACATTATTACCAAAATGGTTAATGCCAGTCAAAGGAAAATCACAAAAGAATGCTGGTCCTCCTTGGAATTAATTCCTTGTTTTGTTTCTAGGACAAGGAAGGAACAAATGATTAACATAATACAAAACCTTTTTTGATGTACTGTAACTTATCTGTATTTATAGTAGTTTTAGTGGCATGTTTGAGCAAAATAAAAAATACTTTGTAAAAATTTCTGGTGGAAAATTGAAATTTTGTGTGAAATATGCCACTACTGCAATTCATGACACTATTTGAAGTATTGCAATTAAAGGAACAATTGAAGGAACTAGAAGGAATAGAGAAGAGTTGGGAGTAATTTCCAAATTTACAATAGTTTCTGCTTTGACTATTGTACTAGGGTATGTAGTCTAGCTACAAACGCTTGTGACCTACCCCCCCCCCCCCCCCACTACAGCAAGCTGTGTTCGAAGGTGTGTAGTCGAGTAGAGGGGTTCACAGAGGCTTGTAGCTAGCCAATAGGGTATATCATAGCTATTTTTATGTCACCAACAGAAGTGGTGATATATTCCCACCAGGGTGGAGTGTCTTTTTCACATCAGCCCCTAGCATAGGATTTGATCCTATGTTTTCAGATTAATTAATTTGATTAATACTCATAGTCTCCCAACTTTTTGTGGACGGCTTCTCGAGGTTCGACGTCTGTAAAAAGATTTTCAACAACTTCCAATACTTAGTGGTGACATTTTGCATGTTAATGACTTGTTTAAAGTCCAGCCGCTCTGACTTTAAATTTTGGGTTAATTACTAATTATTCACTTCATATGGTCATCTGTCGGAAAAAGTTTATAATTAAAAGTCGAAATTTCCTGTTTTAATTCTGATGAATTAGGACATTTTTAGAATCTTTTTTCAGAAAATAAGATTTATATTGTAAAGGTTATGATCACATCCTTTTTGATGAGATTGATTCAAACATTTACATCTTCTAGTTTCTATCTATTCTACTCTCGTAATGCCATTGTATGGTTATTTCATTTAAGGCATACTTAGCAATGGCAACATGCAAATTAGTATAAATATAGATGTACAGAAAATATATGTAATTCTTTGTTAATTGCACTATGGTTATTTACTTATTAACAAGAAAAGTATTGTTATAGACCAAAAAATAAATGTATAATAATCGCAATTGCATGGATAATTCTTGGTTTATCTTTAAAGGAAACATTCCTTGCCAGACCATTTCTTTTCTGATATAGTAGCTATAATCATAATGGTTTGATATGCCCAATACTGGTCATTTAAAGATTTAGTGTTCATTTCCAGTGAGCTGCCATCTTTTAAGATTTCACACTAAGACACTAAGATATCACTGGAGGTGATGTCATTGACATGTTTTCTAAGATGGCCATAAAATTGTAATCATTAAAAATAAGCCAATGAAACGTATATAAAATGAAAATTGTGCCAAATATGATTTTGAATCCATCGACTGGAGGACGGAATTATTAACATTTGTTTGGGCTAGCTGTTTTGGCTCACCCTGTATGATTAAAAGGGACTGATGATATTTGTCATTTGAAATAGTGGCTTCGTATAGGCACATATCAAGGATTTTAAATTATACAAACATTCAAAAACATCATTCACTTATTTACTTATACGTCTAATACAGCCTATTTATTTACTTTTTATTTTCACATTTAAAATTGAAAACACAATCCAGCATCTGTCATTTAATAATTCTATCTAATTAATAATACAACAACTTTAATTGCTCTCAACTTATTCATTTTATTTTTCCATGTGCACATTTTATTCAAGTACATTGTGAGTACAGTAACCAGAAATATCAAATGCGTTAGCAGGAACTATCACTTTCTTGGATCCGACCCGCCGTTAAAAGGCCTCGGATCAGCTGTAAAATAAATAAAAAATAATTGCAAAATGCATGCACACACGGACTATGTGTTAGTGACATAAAAACCGTAAATGTGAAATATGTTGAATAGTTTCTTTTTGTTAATGTTAAGCAGCCATCTACGACTCTCTTTTATATTTGCTTTTATATTTGCGTAATTAATAAGTAGTGACCGACCCATTAATAATTTACTTGTATTTTGACATTTAGCATTTTATTAAAGATTTAAAACAAACTATTGAATGTTGAAATGGTTGAAACTGTCTATAATGATACAAACAACTGCCTATTATGGTGTGATACTTAGGTGGTTCAAAAAGTTTTGCAGTTGGTGCCATAACTTCAAGGAAAATAAGACTTTTGCAATGAAACTTGGTACACATATGTGTTATATATTTATACATTATATGGGACCTCAATTCTGATTGGTTCTTGAGATATGGTTGCTATGGTAACCAGAGTGGTGGGTACCATGTTCAACCCGAAATTACGTTTTTCCAAATAGTTTTCTTGCTTGAATAAACTCTTTGTTAAGTGGCAATTAGCAGGTGTAAGGTGTATGGCATTATTTTTGCTTCTTTATTCATTAAATTCAGATATATTCCATATATGGAATATTTATATTCACTAAATCAATTTTCCATTCGGTAAAAGCGTTTACGATGTATTTGTTACAGCAAATTAAATTTTCAAAATAGCGAATGAATTAAATCACTTAATACTATTTACATTAAAGTACATATTTAATTCGCTAAGTGATATGTTTTTTGGATAAATTTTTATGGTATTGCTTAAGAGTAACACATTAAATGCACAACATCGAATTTCTATGTGAACACTACCGAAATAAGATTGTCTATATTTACCAAATAATTTATTTTTCTATAAAAAAGTTAATGCATTTTACCGAAAGCTAATTTGCTATTTACCAAATGCAACAAAGTAATATTCGATAACTTTCGTTGTTGTTTGATATTTTGTCACGTGACCTCGAGTTTTGCAAAATGGCCGCGCAGGTATTCTACATCGTTCAAATGACTGAAAGTCTCGTAAAGTATCGAAAAATAACGAAATTTATCGAATGTGGCATTCGGTATTTACCGAATACGAATAATCTAAATACCGAATGAACAAATAATTAATAACGCAGATGCGAGTAGGTAGTAACCAGTTTCACCACCAGGTGGCTCGCTCGGGTCAGATAGCATGGCGGGTATAGTAGAAAGTTCCCTTTAACTTAAATTACATCTGTTTTAGTGGTTCAATTTTCATATAACCCTTATGTATCTAATAGTTATATGCAAATCAAACTATGTCCAGTAAATGAAAATGTTATCTGACCAATACAAGAAAATATATTTTACTTTTTGTGATTTTGTAACATGGGCTCTATGGAGAATCAACCCGAACTAGAAGTCACACTTTCAAAAATAATTAAATTTTCAAACTTGATAAACAATTTTCGAAACCATATTTCTAGACGTAATTTTACATGTAGATTTCAAATATAACATCGCTTTGACTGGATTTTGAATATTTAATGGCGTAAATCAAGATTTTTTCTACTCGCATCTAGTCAATTGAGTTATATGTGCGTTTGGGAAAACAAATTGATTCGCTGTATCGCACAAATACATGTATAAATATCAGATGTAAATGCCAACACATAGAACAAGTGTAATTATTTAGCGAATATAAATTGTATAGATTATTATATTCGATAAAATAAAAAACATTTGATAGATTGGGTAAAGGTTTGGTAAATTGTTTGTTTTATTTGGTATGTATGGAATATTTAATGTACCGAATAAAGAAGCATTTTAAACACCATAAAGGTGTACCAAGTTTCATTGTAAAAGTCCTATTTCCCTTGAAGTTATGGCATCAACTGCAAAACTTTTTGAACCACCTAAGTACTTTACAATAATTGTGCATATAAAGCCTACAAGGATGTTGCCAAGAGATGTGATGATCATGAACAATTTTTTTTTTCAAGGTATACAGATAAAATTTACATTATCAAAGATTTTGCCGCCAACTTTATTTTAAAATCACTCACGCTCGCAAAAACAGCACCGAGGCGTGTCACAGTCAGAGCAATATGGGTTACATGGTTTTTCGTTATCTGAAATATGAAAATAATAACACTGTAATAAAATTATTTTCTTCAGAATGTTGCAGCGTGACAAGTTCAGTCTCAAATCAAGCCAAAGAATCTTCATTTTCGTTCTAATCATAGTGAGTAAAAGTACTTTAGTATTGGTAGCGAGTCCACCCTAACACTAACACTAAGCTTTTTTCCTCATATCCTTGTCATCGTAAGAAATTACTTCCTGATATGTGGCACAATTGTACATTATTCAATTTCCTACCGTCCCACTATATTTTATAACCATCAGACTGATAGTTACAATGTTACGGCACTTTAAATAGCATATCCCATGGCCACTATTGAGCGAAACCTGCACATGTCATCCAAAATGTCCCTACATGTTCCTCACCTACACGTACCTGTGGGGATACGCCAAAGATGTAGTGTACAAGATTGACCTCAGGACAATTGCAGACCTCAAAAGGTCATTTGTGTCTTCCAAGCCATACCTGCTGAGGAATATAGTCGGATCCTTGACAACTTGTGCAGGTTTGCCTACAGCGCGATGATGGCCACACCTGGAGTATGTTGTTCAAAGTGCAGCAGCATTGTGATTATCAGTCTGATGGTTAGGATATGTTGGTAGAAAATTAAATGATGCACATATCTAGATAATATTATGGAGAAATATTGCCTCAATCGACAAAGATATGAAAATCCAGAGTTTTCGTTTTTACCACCCTGTATTTATTACATGTCACGGTGAAGTAAATGGTTGGGGAAATTTATATACTAGTATTCTTGTTTTTGTTTTCAAATTTCTTTCAAAGTATCTCCAAACTGGAAAATTCTCTGGTTTAGGTCCACTTACTTCGTTAACATATGAGCCGGGCCACAGGAAAAGGGGTCTTATCACGGATTTTTTCAATATTCTGATTTTTTGTTTTTCTTTAAAAACACAAAGGGACCTTTCAAATGAGCAATGGCTTGTGTCTTAACAATTTTTCCTTGCATATATAGACCAAAAAGTCGGATTTGAATTTAGTCTTGGGCTCATTTTTGGCTCTGTAGCACAATTTCAATTTTTCTGATAAGACCGATTTTCCTATGGCCAGGTTCATATTATACTTTTGAAATTTGAAATCGATATCTAGTGGTCCGTAAAACTGTATACTAGTATACTAGTATGTTCAATAAATAATGTTAAAATGTTTCTTTTTTAACGTTTATTAACGACCATCTGTCTCCGACTCTCCTTTATCTTGGCGTAATTACCGAAATGCGATTAGTTACCAGTTTCACCACCAGGTGGCTAAATTGGGATGGATAACATAGCAGGATATTAGAAAGTTCCACTACACTTTAATATTCATCAGTTTTAGTGGCTCAATTTTCATATATCCTTGTGTATCAGATAGTTCAGTAGTTATACGATTATTTAAAATATGTCCAGTAAGTAAAATATTTTCTGTCCAATATATAAGAAAATATATTTCACTTTTTGTGATTGAATAACATGGGGTCTAAGGGGAATCTCCACGACCTAGAAGTCACATTTTCAAGAAAAATTAAATTTTCAAAGCTGATACACACTTTTTAAAACCACATTTCTAGGTGTAATTTTACATGAAAATTTCAAATATGATATCATTTTGACTGAATTTTTAATTTTTAACGACGTAGGCTAAATCAAGTTTATTTCTACTCGCATCTAGTCTATAAGACGAATGACTGACGGAGTAAGACTTTGCTTGTATTTAGCCATTAGAAGACATTTCGTCCCATTATGTCCACATTGTTACAATTGCATTTTAGCTGATATTGAGAAATCAGAGGAGAACTTTTGAGTAGTAATTTTTAAAAACTTGTTTCGTATGGGTAATCTGTATATGTGGGCCTTTTTATGTTTTTTTGTTTTTGAAATATCAAAATAACCCTGAAACTGAATCTTTATTCACTTCCATTTTGTTATTGTCTCGTATACCATTATTCTGCCCATCTGATTATACAGAATATGACTCGTGTTCCATTTTGACTGATGAGGCACTGGATGAACTTGGACCATTTATTATGCAAGGCCGGCCTATGTATATTTGGAGAACTCATGCATATTTCACGTCATATTGACATAACCTCGTGTACCTTTTGCTACGCAATATCAAGTGATCAATTTCTTATCCAAATGCTCTAATTTTAAATGACAACTTCAGTTTTAATTTGATCACATATAAATATATATAATGGTATATGCAACTGCCTACCATTGTGCATCTTGGATTTCCAAGGTATGATGTGTTTGAAAATCAAACTGGGAAACGAGTATGACCATTGTGTATTATATTACAAATAATATGCATATAAAGCCTACAATGGTTCAAAGTAACATTTTATATGTCATTTGAAGAATGTTATCCTATTGTAACAAATTTTTACTTTTCAAATTTTCAGTTCTTTGTAGTCCTGTGCCATTTTATCAGTTTTCTTACAGTTAACACATTTGGAAAGTGTTTTACAGTTTGTTTGACAAGTAGTATACTTACATGAATGTATCACAAGACAAAATCGTATGGAATAACTTGCGATAAGCTAGTTATTAAGCTGGTTATTATGGTCTTACTAGTGGTTATTATTGAGTAATGGTACAGGTATTCGATATGGTATTGCAGCTTACACTTAAGTAATGGTACACGTATCCTTGGATTTTAGGCCCGAATACCGAGGTTTATTTTTTTAATTATCGTGTATTATTATTTTGTGTTAATATTAGTTAATCATCAAACCCAAGGGGCATATAATTACATGTTCTGTACACCACCACCAACCTTTACTATCACTGTAAAATTGTAATATTATTTTATTTTACTTAATATATACCAGTATGTATTTGTATGATCAATTTATGGTCCAAATAAAGAAACATAAACATATTAGTTAACCATCTAGCTATTGGCATGATATGATAACCTTGTTATATTAATATAGCGCATAGGCGTAGCCAGGGAGATGTGATGTGTGCGATCGCACCCCCCCCCCTCCATAACCAATGAAAATAGAACCATTAGATAGAAGAAAAAAGTCTTAAAAATGCTTTTTATTTGAAGCTTCTAGCTCGATTTTGAACGAAGTTGCACCGATTTTTGTAAAATTCTAAACAAATCTTCAAAAACATTTTTTATGCCACGATCGCACCCCCCCCCCCCCCCCCCTCCCCCGACTAAAAGCTGGCTACGCCACTGTAACATGTAATCAATACGCTACATTTTGTATGTTCAATTTGTATACTAAAAACTGTTATTAATCCACAAATTTAGATGAAGACAAGATAAAAATTCGAATCAAGAATGAAAAGGTGTCTAAGTATATAAATCTTAAGGGTAATGCATATTTGAATTAAACAGAGGCGGGTTAATTTATATTGTGCTATGAATTACGCTATTATTCAAAATTGCAGCTAAGATGCCTGTTTTATGATACCCTGCGTGCAGAGTCTAGTTAAACTACACTAAGACGAAGCTCTTTTTTAAGAAGTGAAGTCAAACGAATGCAAAGCGTAGTTTTATGAAAAATATCACGGAAGATGTATTCTAGATATCAGTAGTATTCTCAGAAATTTATTATCCGAAACGGATAACATCTGGCCACTCAGACAAACAATCGCAGACATAGGCTAAGCTTGTTTATTTAACAGTTAGATTTGTTGACTTACCGATCCGTATTTCAATCTCCGGGAAGACGTTCTTTTCACTTTGTATTTGCGTGCAGTGTAATATAAGTTGATACTTTTGTTCAAAAATGTACTTTTAATGGCCATTTTATGCCTTTTATTTTCAAATTATGTTATGTTTTGATGTCAGTGTGAAAAGTCAAGAAACGTCAACCCCGACTTTTAATCAAAAAATGTTGGTTAATCACTTATGGCAAATCACAAGGTTGATGATGTCAACGGACCATGGTCGTGGAAGGCTATCAATATCAGGTGTATATAGCATAGAAAATAATTTTTCGCACTGATATGATGATGACTATTCTGGCGAATCGGGTAGATATTTCTCAGTTTTTTCCGATAATAAAACTATTCATTTCTATCAATTTTACAAACGGGGTCCTTTGAATGCACATTAAAACTATAAAAGTATTTATTGGGCGTACATACTCGTTCTGTCATGTTACTTTCATTTGCAAGTTGTCCACATATTAATCCGGCGTTTTGTTTAATCAAATTTCCCGCCCCTTGAGGTTTCCGACTGTAAAACTTAATATTTAATACTAACCAATGCATCAGTTAATATTTTCAGAATACAAATTTTCCATTTTTATTTCTCTGATAGATAAAGTCTCATTTTGAATCTGTTCGTGTATTAAAGAGTATGCTTTTATAATGCCGTGGTCACATTTGCTCAGATTTTCAGCACCGGCGCCCGGCCGATGAGTATTTTGTTCAAAATTGTATTCACAAAATACTCAATCGGCCGGGCGCCGTAATGAAAATCGGAGCAAATGTTACCAAGTCATAACTGATGAAAAATCGAATGAGAACATGAACATGGATAAAAGGGGCACTATTACGCTGCGTGCAGAGTCTAATTATAAACTACAAGAAGACGAAACTTTCATTTAAGAAGTGAAGTCGAACAAATGCAAAGGGTAGGGTACTATAGAAGGGGATCATATAAAAGCACGATCTATTTCACAACGCCTTTAACTTTTGTTCTTCAACTGTTGCCCTTTGTGCATTTCAAAAATAAAATATCTTAATCTGATTTGTTCCAGCTTTCTTTTCGCTCAGTTCTGCAATATTATGTCCATATGTTGTTTAGGATTATGTCATTTGCGAAATAGCTGTAAGACATTATGAGAATGAATATGGGAGTTTCCACGATAATGTTGTTCACATGATTTTATACACATACCTGCATAACAATCGGAGAGAGAAGTCTTAATATTGTCCAATAAAAAATCTAACATTTAATGATAACAAAAGGATAAATTGCTTAGTTCTCTTTGTTTAAGTCTTTGTTTTCTTAAATGCGGAAGTGTACCAACATCACCTAGATTACATAAGAGATCATCTAACAGTCTAAAATTGCTTTTAATTGCAAGTTAATACATTCCGACCAAAATTTGTATACCTGTAATTTGGGGGGGGGGGCGATGTTACATCACATAACCACAACGTTCATATAGAAATATACAATAAGCATGTCCGTATAAAAGCTAAAATTATAAAAACTAATTTCAAAGTCATTCTGTTCATGGAAGCCTCAAGTTATGAAAAACAATGCTAAACACTCAATCAAATCGACTTGATTACCTTTGAAAACTTCTTGAGAGGAAATGGACAAATGTGTTTTTCTAACTCATTAGAACGTCTGTCTGATTGAAATACTATTTTTTAAATACAAACATAAATGATTTAATCTTGGTCAGAAGTCTGAACATTGTCCAACAAAATAATAAGAATCTAACATTTAATGATTACAAAAGGATTAATTGCTATATAGTCTTTGTCTTAGTCTTTGTTTTTCTAACGGCGGAAGTGTTCCAACATCACCTTGATTACAGAAGAGATCATCTAACAGTCTAAAATTGCTTTTAATTCCCGGGTTTTAATTACATTTTATGTATAGACTTTTTTGCCTCTTTTCTCATTTTTAAACCTGTTTCTGTTTGCTTATTTAACAATTGTGATAAATTTTCAGTTAGTGTCGAAATCAAAACAATTTTCTACATTATAGTCCCCTCCTCTTTCACTGACTAAATATTAAAATAAGCCAGTCTGATTGCGAATTTACAAATCCTGTAAAAGTAGCTCCAAACCGCCTTTTAATCAGAGAAAACAATAAGTTAATTCATCTGATTGCGAAAATACGAATCAACCTGATTATCTGATCTCCATGCTATTTGATTCGTGCATTATCTACAAGTCAGTCGGGCAAGGGTAAAATTATTTCATTTGAAAACAGAAATAAATACCAGAACCCCTCTAGCATAACTATTCGGAAGAAATTCATACAAAAATTACAACTGATGAAGGGTCGCACACAATGCACGCACCCCTCTCCTCCTCCTCCGTGTTTGCCCACACACGACCATATTTGACAATTTTTCTAAAAGCGTTTTCCCCGGGAATATAGGTGTAGCAGTTGCCAGAAGTCGCACAGCTTGGGAGTCAGGGTATCCTGATCCATGCCTCAACGCCTGACGGGTCTGATATTTAGAGAGGGCGCAAGAATTATTAGGGGGCGGGGTAAACGTGAAAGTTGCCAAAATATCCATAGGCGTAGCCAGGAGGGGGGGGGTACGATGGGTGCGATAACAATAGGCTTTATATATGCGTTATATGCGTTAATGCATGATGCTTTTATGTAGGCTATTAATTACAGTTCTTTTTGCAATATAAAACTGGTATGTTTATGCAAATTCCGATTGGACTAATATAAAGGGATATTGTTTCATTATGTGGACTTGAGAAAGTCCGACATACTCATTGCTTTCAACCCAAAACTTAAAATAGGAAGTTATCAAGATCCCAAGAACACGATCGCTACTTAAACAATACGTTTGTAAAATCCCGGCGATCGAAATGCAATCAAACTTTCGCAATCAGGTGCCTAATTAGTCTTTTGATCTCTAAAGTTTTACGACTGAACGTTTCAATGAACTCGTGAGAAGCAAACGCAATCATCATATAAACATTTTTCTAGTAAATCTAAAAGAGAGTTAAACCCAGTGAAAAAGATCGCGTGTTCATAGGAATTAAGCATATTTCAATTTTGAAATAACAAAAGTCAGTCTCGGAAGAATTTTCCAAACATTCCCTGCTTCGATGCGTTTTTATTGCAAGGGCCGTTTAGCGCCGATATGAATTCATTATAGGGCATTAGGGTTGTGCTTTATTTGTTTTATTTATGTAAATGTTATAAAATGTGTACGACACTTTAATGAATTATTTTTAGGGTAACAATTGCATATTTGACTTTTCCCTCTAAACGTTTAAAATTCATCTTTATACTTTTCTTAGTTTGCTTCAATAAAATTAACATTGGATCCCAGACAGTTATCAAATTCTCAGACATTTGATTAATATAGATATTTGTACTTCCTTTGACCAGTGGTGCTGGTGTGACTGAGATTCGAATCTAATCTGTTTCATTTTTATGTCAATTGAGAGGAATAAAGTTTTATTTTAAGCGTTTTAACAATCTTAACGTTTGGCGTGCAGCTCAACTAAATACACAATCAAAGGTCAAATACAGAAATAAGAACATGCCTTTTATTTGTTATTCAAGCTCGAGCAATATCCCCGTTATAAAACCAAAATAACTGCGGTTAGGTACCATATCTTGATTACAGTAAAGACAGACCATCTCATTCTGGTATGCCAGAGCCACTCTTATCTGCCGATTGTGGAAGGATAAAGACAAAGGGATCGCGGCTATCGCGATGAGGCCATCTCATTTCTAGGAATTATTTCTGCCTCTCATTCACCGGCTTCGTTAAACAGTGCCAAAATATATAAGTCGGAGCCAAAAACAATACTATTTTTATATTTAAATCCCCTCACCTTGTCAATGTCTATGCCGGCATCTGGTTTTCCCACCTTTGGGAGGGAGCCAATATACACATAGATTACTAACTGACCATGGACAGGGGGGGGGGGGCACAGAAACGAACATTCTGGGGTCATAAGGGATACTTGGGGAAGGGGGAGGGGTGGTGGTGAATAGTGAAGTCCGGGAGTGAAGTTAAGGGGTACTGAAATCTTTCTTTTGATATTTAGTGCTTGAATGGAGACTTGTTTCCACTCCCCGCATTCTAGTAGAATTTAAATATTTGATCCAAAGGAGTTATTTTAAATCAAACTTGCATTCCGATTAATTAACACTCCAATGATTGTACCGCTTCACTATTGTCTAAGATAATTATAATGAATTCACGGGACACTATAGTCTTCCTTTTAAACTTTAGTGGTCGGATGGAGACTTGTTTCCCCACCCCGTACACTAGTACATTTGTAAATTATATTTGATTTAGGGAGGTATTTGCAATCCAACTCTGATGATGCAAGACTAGTCAGCCAAGACTAAATTATGAATTTATTATCATTTAGACTATTGAGTTCATTAAATTATAATTCCATAGATATCTTATTTAATCCTGTCAACACAATAATGGTAATAATTGGCATGATATGTAGTCAGAGACGGTTTAGAAAGTTGTTTAGTATAGATAGTATTAGGAAAAATCCATTCTTTAAAAACGTGAAGTTTTCACCATGTTGAGCAGTTTTGAAAATTGTCCAATTTGAACCATCGCCTTGTATATTTCTGGAACTGCCCCCCCCCCCCCTTGACACTCGAGTGTAAGAATCCTTTCCACACTGTCAATGGTTTTACAAAATAGTTCATGTCAGGAAGGGGGAGGGGTGAGTGTGGAGAACAATCACTGACTGCGATTTGTATGATTGAACATTATACACTTATCATAGATTCGTAAAGAATAGTTTTAAAATAAACAGCTTGTTTTATGTTATGATTGGAGTGATGTATGCATAGAAGAATGACACTGGTTTTGAAATATCTTCATTATCCCATTGAATGAAGCCATCCGTCCCTCTGTCCATTCTTAACTCATTACTAGTGGACTGATTTGATTTAAAGGAGAAGTCTCGGTGTAGAACGTGTACACACTAATGGGAACGAGTTTTACTCATTTCTATTTAGGATTCGTTCATATACTAGCGGGGCTTTAGAGCATTTACAAACGCACGAATTGTATTGTTTTAAGGCAACTTTTATGACATATAATGTATTTAAAGCTGATTAATTTTAGATTATATTCGGTTTAATTTTACAAATAATGAATAGTATTACAGTATATCGAAAAATATACAATGATTTACATTAAATTGCGCAGACTGCAAACAATGTACATGGTTGGCGAATTTGCATGCGCGTTCTTGATAATAAGAATTAAAGGTTGAACTTAAAAATCAAACATTTTCTTTTTTAAACATAATAAATCTTTAAATCAAGAAAATAAAAATAAGATTGATGATTGAACTTTTCATAGTCAACTGCGACTGCGTCGACGCATGTTTATTTACTTAGCTAATTAGATATGTAAAATTGTTAATGGCCGCAACGGATAATACGTACATGTAAGCTGTTCGGATAAGACATTTCTACATGATTAATAACAAATCCCGGGCAGAATGTTATACAACAGTACCTGATCTTATCAGTTATTATTCAATTTGGATAATAAATCTATTATATCGTCGTATTGATGTTTATTATATAGTGTTTCTCGTTGTGTATGTGACACTAAAGGAGTATGCAGAATCATGTAAACTGTTCATTTTTGTGAGATTTCTTTCTGCTTTCATTTCTCACCTTACTATTGAAGAGCCATCTTGACCTACATTCAATTACTAGTTTTTTCGGTCAATTTTGGCATGATAATAACCGATGAAGATTGGTTTATGTTATATTTATTTAGTTTATACATTTATCTCGTTAATTATATACTAAACATGTATTAATTTTTTTTACATTAGATAGCACAGATTGTGAGTTCTAAATGAAGCCAGTTATTTTGCACTATTCATATCCTGATTGCATCATAGTAATTGTACACCAGTCTTGTCCTGTCCAGGGGCCTAGGTATTGCATCAGCCCATGTGCTGATCATGAGTGAATACAGGAGTGTACACCTGTCTGGGGTATAAATAGAGACGACCGATGACTCAGCAGGCACTTTCTAGCTGGAACTGAGAGAGGACAGACCTGTGTGCCTCCAGGGATTGACGCTTGATGGACTTAGGCTAATTCTAAGCATATATCTGATGGACTTAGAAGATTTTTCATTGCATATATTGAGGGACTTAGATGATTTGACCCTGATGTACTTAGAGGATCTTAGGCAGATTCGACATACCCGTTGAGGGACTTTGAGGATATACTTAGAGGATCTTAGGCAGATTCGACATATACTAAGAGGCACTCAATAGCGGAATTAACCTGTGGTACTTAGAGGATATTACCCAATGGAATTTAGAGGATATAAGGCAGATTCGGCACACCTGCAGATGGACTTAGCAGGTTTTTAGGTTGATGCATTTAGAGGATATTACCTTGAGGGACTTAGCCAATATTCACAATAGTTGCCTGGAGTTTGATGCCCAGAGGAATTTAAGGAATATTCACGCATATATTGAGGGACTTAGCCAATATTCACAATAGTTGCCTGGAGTTTGATGCCCAGAGGAACTTGAGGAATATTCACGCATATATTGAGGGACTTAGCCACTATTCACCATAGTTGCCTGGAGTTTGATGCCCAGAGGAACTTAAGGAATATTCACGCATATATTGAGGGACTTAGCCAATATTCACCATAGTTGCCTGGAGCTTGATGCCCAGAGGAACTTAAGGAATATTCACGCATATATTGAGGGACTTAGCCAATATTCACCATAGTTGCCTGGAGTTTGATGCCCAGAGGAACTTGAGGAATATTCACGCATATATTGAGGGACTTAGCCACTATTCACCATATTTGCCTGGAGTTTGATGCCAGAGGAACTTAAGGAATATTCACGCATATGTTGAGAGACTTGGAATATTCATAGCTGGCTAGAGGAACTTTGTAGATTTCCTACGTCTACAACTTGATGAACTTAGAATATTACCAGCTCGAGGGACTTAGATTATTCGCCAGCTTGAGGGACTTAGAATATTCATCTTTACCTAGAGGAACTTTGTAGATTTCACACATCTATAGCTTGATGAACTTAGAATATTACCAGCTCGAGGGACTTAGAATATTCGCCAGCTTGAGGGACTTAGAATATTCATCGCTGGCTAGAGGAACTTTGTAGATTTCCTACATCTACAACTTGATGGCCTTAGAATATTCGCCAGCTTGAGGGACTTAGAATATTCATCGCTGATTAGAGGAACTTTGTAGATCTCCTACATCTAAAACTTGATGAACTTAGAATATTACCAGCTTGATGGACTTAGAATATTCACCAACGAGGGACTTAAAATATTCACTGCTGGTTAGAGGAATTGTAGATTTCACACATCTATAACTTGATGGACTTAGAATATTCACCAGCTTGAGGGACTTAGAATATTCATCGCTGGCTAGAGGAACGTTGTAGATTTCCTACATCTACAACTTGATGAACTTAGAATATTCACCAGCTTGAGGGACTTAAAATATTCATCGCTGATTAGAGGAACTTTGTAGA